CACTGACATTGTAAACTTTTTAATCTGTGTAAAGAAGCTAACTTACTTTTGGCTTTAGTCTAACAGATTCCATTTTATTATATCTCGTCTTGCCTATAGTTAGTTAGTTAGTTCAGTCACTCAGTCGTGTCCAACTCTGAGACCCCATGAATCGCAGCACACCAGGCCTCCCTGTCCATCACCAACTCCCAGAGTTTACTCAAACTCAAGCCCATCAAGTCTGTGATGCCATCCAGTCATCTCATCCTCTGTCGTCCCCTTCTCCTCCTGCCCCCAATCCCTCCCAGCATCAGGGTCTTTTCCAATGAGTCAACTCTTCACATGAGGTGGCCAAAGTATTGGAGTTTCAGCTTCAGCATTAGTCCTTCCAATGAACACCCAGGACTGATCTCCTTCAGGACGGACTGGTTGGATCTCCATGCAGTCCAAGGGACTCTCAAGAGTCTTCTCCAACACCACAGTTCAAAAGCATCAGTTATTCGACGGTCAGCTTTCTTCACAGTCCAACTCTTACATCCATACATGACCACTGGAAAAACCATAGCCTTGACCAGATGGACCTTTGTTGGCAAAGTAATTTCTCTGCTTTTTAATATGCTATCTAGGTTGGTCATAACTTTCCTTCCAAGGAGTAAGCGTCTTTTAATGTCATGGCTAAATAAACCATCTGCAGTAATTTTGGAGCCCAGAAAAATAAAGTCTGACACTGTTTCCACTGTCTCCCCAACTATTTCCCATGAGATGATGGGACTAGATACCATGATCTTAGTTTTCTGAATGTTGAGCTTTAAGCCAACTTTTTCACTCTTCCTCTTTCACTTTCATCAAGAGGCTTTTTAGTTCCTCTTCACTTTCTGCCATAAGGGTGGTGTCATCTGCATATCTGAGGTTATTGATATTTCTCCCGGCAGTCTTGATTCCAGCTTGTGCTTCTTCCAGGCCAGCGTTTCTTATGATATACTCTGCATATAAATAAGCAGGGTGACAATATACAGCCTTGATGTACTCCTTTTCCTATTTGGAACCAGTCTGTTGTTCCATGTCCAGTTCTAACTGTTGCTTCCTGACCTACATACAGGTTTCTCAAGAGGCAGGTCAGGTGGTCTGGTATTTCCATCTCCTTCAGAATTTTCCACAGTTTATTGTGATCCACACAGTCAAAGGCTTTGGCATAGTCAATAAAGCAGAAATAGATGTTTTTCTGGAACTCTCTTGCTTTTTTGATGATCCAGCGGATGTTGGCAATTTGATCTCTGGTTCCTCTGCCTTTTCTAAAACCAGCTTGAACATCTGGAAGTTCACAGTTCACGTATTGCTGAAGCCTGGCTTGGAGAATTTTGAGCATTACTTTACTATCGTGTGAGATGAGCGCAATTGTGTGGTAGTTTGAGCATTCTTTGGGATTGCCTTTCTTAGGGATTGGAATGAAAACGGACCTTTTCCAGTCCTGTGGCCACTGCTGAGTTTTCCAAATTTGCTGGCATATTGAATGCAGGCTTTCACAGCATCATCTTTCAGGATTTGAAATAGCTCAGCTGGAATTCCATCACATCCACTAGCTTTGTTCGGAGTGATGCTTTCTAAGGCCCACTTGACTTCCCATTCCAGGATGTCTGGCTCTAGGTGAGTGATCACACCATCGTGATTATCTGGGTCATGAAGATCTTTTTTGTACAGTTCTTCTGTGTATTCTTGCCACTTCTTCTTAATATCTTCTGCTTCTGTTAGGTCCATACTATTTCTGTCCTTTATTGAGCCCATTTTTGCATGAAATGTTCCCTTGGTATCTCTAATTTTCTTGAAGAGGTCTCTAGTCTTTCCCATTCTGTTGTTTTCTTCTATTTCTTTGCATTGATCGCTGAGGAAGGCTTTCTTATCTCTCCCTGCTATTCTTTGGAACTCTGCATTCAAATGGGAATATCTTTCCTTTTCTCCTTTGCCTTTTGCTTCGCTTCTTTTCACAGCTATTTGTAAGGCCTCCTCAGACAACCATTTTGCCTTTTTGCCTTTCTTTTCCACGGGGATGGTCTTGATCCCTGTCTCCTGTACAATGTCACGAACCTCCGTCCATAGTTCATCAGGCTCTCTATCAGATCTAGTCCCTTAAATCTATTTCTCACTTCCACTGTATATTCATAAGGGATTTGATTTAGGTCATACCTGAATGGTCTAGTGGTTATCCCTACTCTCTTCAGTTTAAGTCTGCATCTTGCCTATATTACCCATCAAAAGAAACTTGAGATCGTTTCCCCTGTTAAAGTGGTTCTGAGGAGTTCTTCTGCAGGTCTTCTCACTTCTCACTGGACAGGTCGAGTCATGTCCAGCAGACGTCTGTTCTGGACATGACTCAATCTGATAGATCTCACAGAAGTTTGAACCCTACCTCCTTGTGGGCCTTGCACACTGTGGGGAGAGCTCTTCTCTCTGCCTGTGGCTCAGAGAGTCCCACATGATACATCTGAGCTGAAGGCTGCCTGGTCCCCTTCAGCAGAAGGCAGGAGGTCAGAGTGCTAAAGACAGTGCTTTTTCAGTGTATCCAGGTGGGGTCCATAACCAAAGGAGTCTCCTCACAGTCTTTGCAGCATTCAGCATCCCTGTTCTTCTGTGTTTTGTTACCCCCTTTCATATAAGACAGAAAAATACAAAATCAACTACATGCTGTATCTTGACCTCGCCCAAAGCTTTATGGATTGGGTTTTACTATTTTTGCTTTTCTTTTTTTATTTTATTTTTGCTTGTCAAAGAAGGAAACTGAGGTTCAAAAGGGGGCAGTGATTTGAACCTGTGATTTCTCAGACCCTAGAACTGTGCCCTGTCCCCTGTCCACCCTACACAGCCAGGCTGAGTGCCTTGTGTCAGCTGGATCTGGCTGGTGTTTTTCATGTTAAAATAATTTTTAAGCCTCATGAGCTTGTATGTGTGTGTTTTCCTCTCATCTTTTTCTTTCCCCTGAAGTTTCTTGATTCTCAGCCTGGAATAGAAAAACCAAGGGCTATTTAGACCATTCTTCCAAAGAGACTGGCAGCATCAGAACCACCCCATAATTTGACAAGAGTCACAGATCTGAGGAGTGGATGTAGAATGGGCAAGGGGTGGGCACTACTAATGGACTTGGACAAACTGATGGACTTGGCTTATAAAAGGAAGGCTGGAGTCTGTTCTGGCAACAGTGTCTGCTCACAAAGGCCAAGTGAATGCTGCACACTCATGGGGAGGGAGATGACCAGACAGAGGGCAGGAGCAGGTTTGCAGCGGTTCACGGCTTGGCGCCCACTCCAGTATTCCTGCCTGGAGAAATCCCGTGGACAGAGGAGCCTGGCAGGCTACAGTCTATGGGGTTGCAGAGAGTCAGACACAACTGAAGTGACTTAGTGCACACACATGGCTTGGAGGGCTGGCTGGCCTTAGCTAGGCTCATTGGATCACCCTGTCTACAGAAGCCTCTCTGCATACCCCCCAGGCTGAACTGCAAAGTAAACTGTCTAGCAGCAGCCGTTTGCCCTTGGAATCTGAAGCATCCATCCCCTCTGCAAACATCCAGTACCCACTGTCTGAAGGAGAACACCATGTCCATTGGGGAAGGGAGAGAAGTAGACAGGTGAATCACAAGCAATGATTATTGCTGTGATAAGAATTTATGATTGGAGCACAAGACGCTGAGGAAGAACCAAGGGGTGGTTGCCTAAGTCTTGAAAGCTAATACAATCATGCTAACTGCACTAATTATACTGCCTAATATTTGAGCTATCTGCAATGTGCTTGGTCTTTTCACTTTGCCCCTACAACAAACCCTCCTTCAAAATAGATACTATCATTTCCACTGAGAGATGAAGAGAAAGAGGCCCAGAGAGGGATTAGAAGCTAAGCCTGTTAACTCTCTTAGTCCTGGTTCTTGCCAGAATTACACAGCACTCCACCGCAACTGCCTGCACCCAGGGAATGGGGCATACAAATCGCGACATTCTACAGCGCCCTGACTTCTTCATCCTCACCTCCACCAGTGACCAGGGTGCACACACGTAGAGAGACTGGCTATTAACAACCGCAGATGTTAACTGCGGATTTTGTTAACTCAAAATTGGGAGGTGTAGTATTAAGATGAAGATTCCAAAGTCTTCATCTTTGGAATTTAACAGAGACCGTGGAGCTCACCATTTAGTCCCAGATCAGTCACAGGTTTGTGGCATGGAGGACCCCGCCCAACATGGGTCCTCAGTACCCGAAGGTGGTGGTCGTCCTGGGTCTTCGGCTCCGTACAGTCAGCAACCTGGGCTCCCCCGCCCTCACTCCAAGTCTTAACAAGCACAAGAGTTGGGCTGCGGCGCCCAGGGCCACGCCTCCCACAACACAGCTGACCCGAGAACAGACAAGTCCAGAACCGATGTTTGGAGACCTTCCGCCCTGCGGTTCACGGTGGGCAGAGCTGCCCACGTCCCCCAGCTGAGGTTAACGCTGAGAAGGTACTGCAGACCCTACCCAAGGGGGTCAGCGGCGCTGCACAAAGTGAGGGAGGGCAGTCCCGGACGCGACCCACGAGCTCCGCCTTCGTTCCGCGTCCTAGCCGTACTGGTTGAAACTCGATTGAAAGGCTGTTCCAGGAGCAAGTGCAATCCCCACTCTCAATGGCCAACATGGGTCGCGGTATTTTAGATGAACCCGCCTTCGAGCTTGCATCACCTTCCTACTGGGTGGTTCTGTGAGCCCGGCCATATACAAGCCCCGCCCCTGCCTACACACTGGATGGCCGTCCTGGGGGCGGTTCCAGTGAGCGATGCCCTCCGGCTTTTTAATTCCATTGGTCCGCTTTGACTTGAAGGGCGTCTCCTAGAGCAGACGCTAACCCCGCCTTGCGTTCCCATTGGCTGCTCCCTTACCCGGCCTAAAGCAGCTCCTCACCGTCTGTTGGTTGCCCTGGCCTGAGAGGCCGGTGCTGGCCGCACTCGCGGGACCCGTGGCAGTTCAAGGCGTCAGAGCCGGCAGAGCAAGCGTTGATCGCGGACATGACGCCTGAGGACCAAGAGGAGACCCAGCCGCTCCTGGGGCCGCTCGGCGGCAGGTGAGCGGTAGGGGGAACCCAGGTCCGCGGGCGCGGCCTCACTCCTCCCGCTGCGCCCAGGCCTTGCCGCTAACCAACCGCCCCTGTCACCGCAGCGCTCCCCGCGGCCGCCGCGTCTTCCTCGCCGCCTTCGCCGCTGCCCTGGGACCACTCAGCTTCGGCTTCGCGCTCGGCTACAGCTCCCCGGCCATCCCGAGCCTGAGGCGCGCCGCGCCCCCGGCCCCTCACCTCGACGAAGACGCAGCCTCCTGGTTCGGGGTGAGGCCTCGGGCTCACCCTCCTGCCCTCTTGAGACCCTCCTCCGCCCACCCCTAAGACGGGTGCCGGGGCCCTCCCCCCACTGCCTGGCTTCGGGCTGGCACGGAGACCCTCCGCCGAGTATGTCCGGGCTCCCCGGAGAGGGGTCGCCCTCTCCCCTTCCCCCGCAGCGGCCGAGGGTGGAGTGAAGGGCGAGGTTGGGCCGCGGGCCCCCGGCGCCCCCTCCCTCAGCCCGCGGTCGCCCCTCCCCAGGCCATCGTGACCCTGGGCGCCGCGGCCGGGGGCCTGCTGGGCGGCTGGCTCGTAGACCAAGCGGGGCGCAAGCTGAGCCTCCTCCTCTGCTCCATGCCCTTCGTGGCCGGCTTCGCCGTCATCACCGCGGCTCAGAACCTGTGGATGCTGCTCGGAGGCCGTCTGCTCACCGGCCTGGCCTGTGGCATTGCCTCGCTCGTGGCCCCGGTGAGTGTGTTTCCTCCCAGTCTGGCGTCCTGGGACGCGGGAGAAAGGACAGAACTCCGGGCCTGACTCTCTCCCTGGCTGCGGCCTTTTGGCTGCCTGACACCATGCCCCTCCCCTGCTCCAGCTTCCTTACACTCCCGTGGGGCCTTAGAAAGAGCTGTTGCTTTCCATCCCTGGTTACAGATGAAGCTTAACGGAACGTGAAGTGACAGTCGTTCAGTCGTGTCTGACTCTTTGCGACCCCATGGACTGTAGTCCATGGAATTCTCCAGACCAGAATGCTGGAGTGGCTATCCTTTGCCTTCTCCAAGGGGATCTTCCCAACCCGGGGATCGAACCCAGGTCTCCCTCATTGCAGGCAGATTCTTCACCAGCTGAGCCACACGTCCTTGGTTTAAGCACAAAGTCAGTGGTGGTGCTACTTCTTGAACCCTGGGTGGTGGCACTTAACAGGGCCTCTCTTTGGCTCTACAAATGAGGTGCCCTCTGTAGATGGTCAACAGAAGCCTCACGTGATGGCTTAGGTCCCCCCTGGCCTTCAGACCACTGGCTCCAGTTCAGCAGGAAAATCCCACTGTGGTTTGTCCCCAGGGGCAGAGGCTGCTGGGACCTGGCCCGCCCCTTCACTGCTCAGGAAGCGGCCCTCCAGGTGTTCCCCCCGCTCCTCTCTCACCACCTCCTGACCCAGCACTGCCCAGGCTGCCTTTGGAGCTGGACATGTCTGGGTGAAACCGCAGCCCTGGGCAGAGCACCTCTGTGAGCCCATAGGCAGGAATGATGGCGTTAGCTTGGGCCATAGCTGTGTGGCTTTACGAGAGCCTACACTCATGGCCTTGGTCCTGGCATGGCCAGTCGAGGGACTTGGACCCTCGCAGGTGGGGTTTCTGGGTATTCTGTGACCTGCTGCTGATCATGGGCTTCGATGATCCACCACCACCCACACCCTAACCAATCAAGACTAGAAGTAGTAGCTCAAAATCCCTCCCTTTGCACCTACCACTCATTTCAACTGCATCTGCTAGGTAACAGGCAGCAGCTAGGTTGGATATTATATCTGGATTTTTGTGTGTGTGTTTTTTTTTACTGAGCAAAAACACACCTGACTTAGGCATGGGCATGGAATAACCCAGAAGCGTGGGCAAGCGCTTTCTGGCTCCTGAGCCCAGAGGAAGCTGTGGCAATCACTGGTAGCAACCGAGGTGGAAAGTTCCTGCTTTCACTCCAAGGGCACCACTCAAAGTGTGGTCCTTGGGTCAGGAGCTCTGTGTCTCCTGGAGGTGGTTAGAAAGGCGGAAATCTTGGGCCCACCACATACCTGTTGTTGTTGTTTAGTTGCCAAGTCTCGTATCTGACTCTTTGTGACCCCGCAGACTATACCCCGCCAGGCTCCTCTGTCCGTGGGTTTTCCCAGGCAGGAATACAGGACTGTGTTGCATTTTCTTCTCCAGGGGATCTTCCCCATCCAGGGATGGAGCCTGTATCTCCTGCTTGGCAGGTAGATTCTCTACCACTGGGCCACCAGGGAAGTTCTGCATACCTTCTATGTTAGAATTTGCTTTTTGTCAAGAGTATACAATTAAATGAAAGTGTGAAAAGCTCTGTGCGCCCCCCCCCACCCAGCACAGACACAGCATCCACACATATACCCTTTAAACATGTGCTGTAGATCACATAGATGGGAGCTCTGATGACCAGGGAACTGCAGTTCCGGGCTCCCTGGGCTTGGAAGTGCCCCAGCCGAGGCTGTCCTCAGCTCTGAATGGCTGAGACTTTTCAGTTTTAAGAACTCCTGGACCCGAAGTACACTGTCATCTTAATTACCAACAGGTCTATATCTCTGAAATTGCTTACCCTGAGGTGCGAGGGCTGCTCGGCTCCTGTGTGCAGCTGATGGTGGTCACAGGCATCCTCCTAGCCTACCTGGCAGGTATGGTTTTCATATTATCTCATCTGGTGACTGTTCATGGCTGTGGCTTTCTATCAGATGTAGAAACTGAAGTTCAGAGAGGTCAAGGGACTTGCCTAATGTCACACAGCCACTGCCCAAGATGCCACGTTCCCAGACCACTTACCTGAGAACACCAGGTCGTGTGGGTCTTGTGACAGTATTCTGAGGAGAGCTAGGGAAGGTGATGTCCTCATCTCCCCAGAGCAGAAGCCCATTCCAGGAGTGTAGGGATACCTGATGAGTTAGAGCAGCATCTCCCTGTGCGGTGACAAACTAGGATTCTGGGGCTGGAGGGAAAGTCTTTAGCCCAAGATCTTAGAGGGCGCAAATATGTCTCCCTCAGATCACTACTGGATTTTCAGCCTGAAGGAGGCAGTTTCCACAGAACCCAAGGGTCAGAGCTGGAGCCAGCATGAGGAAGCTTCCAGAAGCACTAGGAAGCTTGCAGAGGCAGCCTAGAATGAACTCAGGTAGAGGAAAGACAGGCTTCATATCTGACAGCCCCGGATTAGGGGAACATGCCACTTACTAGCTGTGTGATCTTGGCCTAGTCAACTGCCCCTGGGAGCCTTAGTTTCCTTGTCTTCAAGAGGAGATTAACCTTACCTAGTCCAAGGCTGTTGAGGGATTAAATTAACTGACGCTGTAAAAAGCGCCTGGCAGCAGACCCTGATATTGTCAAGGGATGGCCTGAGAACCATGAGGGCATGGGGGTTTGGGGCCGGATGGGCAGTGCAGGGCCCGGGCATGTGCCCTGTGGTTTCTCAGAGTGGACAACATGCAGGTCCGTGGTCTTTCCTTTCTACCCACTTAGCGTCCTGACTCTCATTCAGAGTCCTGGCCGCAGTCTAGCTACTTTATGAGGCCAGCAGTGTGCCAAAGCCCCTGTATAGACACTGGTACTCAGGACAGTCACATGGGTGTAGTCACACCAATAGGGTTTCCTCTAGGTCATCAGAAGCCACACTTTGACTGATCAGCTTCTGTGAGTTTTGATTGACATTTTTCAGTGAAAAGTCCCCCTTCTTCTCTGTCCCCCTTCCTCCCAGAGGAGCCAGCCTTGCCTGCTTCACAGTCAGTCTACCGGGAGGGGGCCTGTGCACACATGGCCTCCTGCCCCACCTCCCTTTCACACGCATGGTGCCGTATATCACAGCAATACAGAGTGAGCACCTTTGTTTAGTGGCTGCATAATTTGGAAAACTCACCAGTGGCCACAGGACTGGAAAAGGTCCGTTTTCATTCCAATCCCTAAGAAAGGCAATCCCAAAGAATGCTCAAACTCCCGCACAAATGCACTCATCTCACACACTAGTAAAGTAATTCTCAAAATTCTCCAAGGCAGGCTTCAGCAATACGTGAACTGTGAACCTCCAGATGTTCAAGCTGGTTTTAGAAAAGGCAGAGGAACCAGAGATCAAATTGCCAACATCCGCTGGATCATCAAAAAAGCAAGAGAGTTCCAGAAAAACATCTATTTCTGTTTAATTGACTATGCCAAAGCCTTTGACTGTGTGGATCACAATAAACTGTGGAAAATTCTGAAGGAGATGGGAATACCAGACCACCTGATCTGCCTCTTGAGAAACCTGTATGTAGGTCAGGAAGAAGCAGTTAGAACTGGACATGGAACAACAGACTGGTTCCCAATAGGAACAGGAGTATGTCAAGGCTGTATACTGTCACCCTGCTTATTTAACTTATATGCAGAGTACATCATGAGAAATGCTGGGCTGAAGAAGAACAAGTTGGAATCAAGATTGCCGGGAGAAATATCAATAACTCAGATGTGCAGATGACACCACCCTTATGGCAGAAAGTGAAGAGGAACTAAAAAGTCTCTTGATAAAAGTGAAAGAGGAGAGTGAAAAAGTTGGCTTAAAGCTTAACATTCAGAAAACTAAGATCATGGCATCTGGTCCCATCACTTCATGGGAAATAGATGGGGAGACAGTGGAAACAGTGTCAGACTTTATTTTTCTGGGCTCCAAAATCACTGTAGATGGTTTATTTAGCCATGACATTAAAAGACGCTTACTCCTTGGAAGGAAAGTTATGACCAACCTTGGCAGTATATTAAAAAGCAGAGACATTACTTTGCCAACAAAGGTCCATCTGGTCAAGGCTATGGTTTTTTCAGTGGTCATGTATGGATGTAAGAGTTGGACTGTGAAGAAAGCTGAGTGCTGAAGAATTGATGGTTTTGAACCACGATGTTGGAGAAGACTCTTGAGAGTCCCTTGGACTGCAAGGAGACCCAACCAGTCCATCCTAAAGGAGATCAGTCCTGGGTGTTCATTGGAAGGACTGATGCTGAAGCTGAAACTCCAGTACTTTGGCCACCTCATATGAAGAGTTGACTCACTGGAAAAGACCCTGATGCTGGGACAGACTGGGAGCAGGAGGAGAAGGGGATGACAGAGGATGAGATGGTTGGACGGCATCACCAACTCGATGGACATGGTTTGGGTGGACTCCGGGAGTTGGTGATGGACAGGGAGGCCTGGCGTGCTGAAATTCATGGGGTCGCAAAGAGTCGGACACGACTGAGCGACTGAACTGAACTGAACTAAAACCTTCACTGATGTACCCCCCCATCGTTTCCACACTTAACAATAAAAATGACAACATCAATGACAAACCCTAGGAGAGTCCTGCAAAGACACTGGGGTCCCCACCCTTTAAGCAGAGTCCCTGGTTGGCAAGGGGGCAGGTGCTCCTCGAGAAGATCCGCGCTGGCTAACCCCGCTCTGACGTCTCTTCCCCCCACCCCCAGGCTGGATGCTCGAGTGGCGCTGGCTGGCCGTGCTGGGGTGTGTGCCCCCCTCCTTCATGCTGCTGCTCATGTGTTTCATGCCTGAGACCCCTCGCTTCCTGCTGTCTCAGCACAAGCGCCAGGAAGCCATGGCCGCCATGCAGTTCCTATGGGGCTCTGCCCAGGGCTGGGAGGAGCCCCCCATTGGGGCTGAGCACCAGGTGAGGAGCTGAGAGCCAGTCCCGGGGAGGGGGACCGGGGAGTATCTCCCCTGAGGTCAACACAGCGTGGTGTTGTGGCTGCACATGTGTGTGCTCACACGTGTACACACGATGGCCCATGGGAGTGCTGTCCTGTGGGCCGCTACTTGGCCGCACCAAAGTCTTGGTCATCCCTGGGGAAGCCTGAACCCCGATCTCCATGTCCCAAAAAGAGAAGGGCTGGGCCATGTCAGAGGAGAATGCAGGTGGGGACTCGAGGACTCGGAATTTTGAAACAGGGAGCTATAGGGCCCAGGAGAACACTGAGTCTCTGCCCCTTACCTCTGTGTGACCATCCCATCTTTAACCTGAGTTTCTTCCCCTGTAAAGTGGGGTCATAGCACATGCCTGGCGGTGGTGGTAAGGATCAGTGGGGGCTAGGGAAGGTGCTCGGCCCAGACCCAGACCCAAGGCCAGTGGGACTCGGGAACCCTGGGTTCTCTGCTCAGAGAGCATCCCCGTGGATCCCCCAGAAAATCAGGAAGGGACGTGGGAATGGAGGGTCCTATCACCTTACAAATGGGGAGGTTAAAGTGATGTGGGGCCCTGATGCAGAGGCTTCAGGAGGGCTGCAACAAGACCCAGAGGCTCCCTCACTCCACCAGGCCCCAGGACGGGGGTGCTCAGAGCCGGGGCACCGTCGGGAGAGGTAGAGAGAGAGAAGCCCTGATGCCCAGTATCCATCTGAGCAGGGCTTCCACATGGCCCAGCTGTGGCGTCCTGGCGTCTACAAGCCCTTCATCATCGGCATCTCCCTGATGGCCTTCCAGCAGCTGTCGGGCATCAATGCCGTCATGTTCTATGCAGAGACTATCTTTGAGGAGGCCAAGTTCAAGGTAAAGTGGCCTCTGCCCCGGCCTACCTCACCTGGAGGCCGTTTGGGTGGGGCCCAGTCTCGGGGTGTCCGCCTGACCCACCTGGCCCGTCTCCCCAGGACAGCAGCCTGGCCTCAGTCATCGTGGGCCTCATCCAGGTGCTGTTCACTGCCACAGCGGCCCTGATCATGGACAGAGCCGGACGGAGGCTGTTGCTGACCTTGTCAGGTGAGGCTCCAGGGGGAAGGCTCTGCCCTCTGCAGGGGTCCAGGCCAGCCTCCCACCACAGGCTGGAGGGCCTTAGCTGAGGTCACCATGTTGCGGGAGGAGAACAAGGCTGAGTGTCCCCGAGGGCACGGGCAGGACTTCAGGGGAGCACTCGCTCCAGGCCTGGCCTGTGCTCACCGCGCCACTGCGGCACACCTTGACCTGGGTAGAGAACCTAGAAGAAGGCGCCCCCAGGGCCCGGTTTATAGTGAGGAGACCGACGGCCTGGGGGTGAAGAGGTCCTGAAGCCTGTGGCCTCTCTGGGCAATTGACTACCTGAGCCAGCTTCCCCTCTGAAATGCAGGTGGTGGCGGGTCGTGGAGAGAATCAGCATGCAGTGTGAGGAAGGCTCCTCATGGGCCTGGCGCCATCGGGCCCTCGGTGCTGCGGGGGAAGTGGGCCTGGCTGCTGGTGGTTGCTCCTGCTTCCTCAAAGCCAGGGGAGGGTTTGCTTCCAGAAGCTTCTTGGGGTCGGCTGAGGTGTGAGGTCCAAGCCGGAGCTGGCAGGGCCAGGCTGGGGCGAGGGTGCCCCGGAGGGAGTCTGTTCGCTGCCTCTTGCAGTGGAGTCTAGGCCGCCTGCTGTGGGCCCCGTGCACTGACCCGCCAGCCCCCCGACTGCCACATGCCCGGGCTGCGGGCTGCCTCCCCGCGCCCTCCCACTGCCCTGCCACCGCCACCCTCCCCCCAACAGGTGTGGTCATGGTGTTCAGCACCAGTGCCTTTGGCGCCTACTTCAAGCTGACCGAGGGCGGCCCCAGCAACTCCTCGCACGTGGACCTCCCAGCACACCTCTCCATGGAGCCCACCGATACCAACACGGGGCTGGCCTGGCTGGCAGTGGGCAGCATGTGCCTCTTCATCGCTGGTGAGTGGGGGGCCGAGGGGAGGTTGAGGGGACCGCCGTGTCGCTGCCAGATTCCTGTGGCTCCCGGGAGTCCAGGCCTGCTCGGCCTCACCCCTGGGTTCACAGCTCTGACCGTGTGCCGGGCACCGGCTCAGCCCCTCTCTGCTCCTTTCACGTCTGCCCCACAGGCGCCCTCCGAGCAGGCCCCGTTCCCGCGCTGTTCTATAGAGCCAAGGCCTCATGCATCAGAAGTGAGGGGAGCAACCTGAGACCCAGGCTGGACTCGGGCACCGCTTCAGTCCAGGGGGGTCTTCGGCAAGCCCAGGGCCTAGCCCTGCACACCTGAGGCCTTTCTTGCCCTTGCAGGCTTTGCTGTGGGCTGGGGGCCCATCCCCTGGCTCCTCATGTCTGAGATCTTCCCTCTGCCCGTCAAGGGCGTGGCCACCGGCGTCTGTGTCCTTACCAACTGGTTCATGGCATTTCTGGTGACGAAAGAGTTCAGCAGCCTCATGGTGAGTGCAGGCCCTGACAGCCTCCCCCTCCCATAGTCTGCAGAGAAGTACTTTTCAGAATTACTCTTGTGACAGACTCAGGGTTGGTGGCCTTGTGTGCAGGGTGAAGCCCCACCAGCCTGCGGCCCCATCTTAGTTGGGGGTTGGGGAAGCAGACGGGCTGGGACAGCCAAGGAACCCAGGCTGTGACCACTGGGGACCCTCCAGGCTGTCGAGGTGGAAGGACAGCAGGACTGACCTCCTCCCCCACTAGACTTTGGGGACTTTAGGAAGCAAGGCTGTGTGAGAAACTCCAGCTTCGGAGTCAGCAGCCCTGGGTCCCATCCCCACCTTGGCCGCTTCCTGCTGTGTGACCTTGGGTGCGCTGCTTCCCTGTCTCTGAACCGGCTTCCTTGGCTCAAAGCGGAGAAGGGGGACAGTGCCTTTCTCTTTGAGCTGATAGAAGCATCAGTTCGGTTCCACATTTTGCCACCAGCTGGTGGATGGGCTGATGCAGACATGGTCCCGGTCTCAAGGCCTCCGATCCAATGCAGGCACCACTCTGGTGCAGACAGTCAAGCCATCTATTCAGTCGTTCTCCCCCCACTCCCCACAAAGCTCCTGGTACCTGCCAGGTCCAGGCCTATTTAGGGTGCCAGAGCAGCAGTGAATGAGATGAACAGGGTCCCCTTTATCACAAAGGCTGGTACGACAGTGGCCAGTGGTAGGAGGATGAACCAGCAGGAGGCTGGGCTGGGGCAAGGGGAGGCCGGTCATGATTGGCGTGGATGCTTGGGGCTGGCCTGGACCCTGTAGGGCTGAGCTGCTCCAGGGAGCTCATCAGGAAGACCAGAGCAAAGCCCTGGAGGGGAGGTGACTTCCAGGAGGTTGGAGGGGACCGACAGTCAAGGAGGGGATGGCAGCAAGGGACCTAAGAGTGATCTGGCCATCACTGCAAGACCAAGAGAAAGGCTTCCAGGATGGAGAGGTGGGGTGGCCCGGTGCCCGAGGAAGAGGAGCTGGAAGGCGGCAGCCTTTGCTCCTGGCACCTGGGATGACACGGGCTGGGCGGGGAGGACGCACGGCTGTGACCCAGGGCCGCTGCTCCCTTCCCCTCCGCTTATGGGCCCTGAGTGTCCCCATGTGTGCACACAGCCCCATCACCACCTACTGAGAGCTCACCCATTTCCTCCGGCACAAAGGAGAGAGACTCCAAGGCGGCAGGGACCACAGAGGGCAGGGCCAGACCGAGCGGAGAGGGAAGTCTCTGGGCCCTGGAGTCCGACCCTGGGGACGTGAGCCCAGCTGTCACTTGATGGTGGGCCTCTGACCTGGGGGCAGTCGCTTCGTCACACTGAGCTCAGTGTCCCCACCGCACACCCTCCACAGCTTGGACAGTGCTCAGCTCGGGCTTCTGGACGGCCCACCAGGCCCTGCTCCACATCCCTGAGCCTGGGCGTGGCGGGGTGGGGCCTCGGCTCCTGGGCCCAGGAGGGCTCCTGACCTGCTGCGTCTTAACACAGCCTTGCCCCTCTCTTTGCAGGAGGTTCTCAGGCCCTATGGTGCCTTTTGGCTGGCCTCTGCCTTCTCCATCTTCGGTGTCCTTTTCACTGTGGCCTGTGTCCCTGAGACCAAAGGGAAGACTTTGGAGCAAATCACAGCCCATTTTGAGGGGCGATGACAGCCTCTTCCTATGAGCGGGTGCCCCTCCTGCTGCACCTGCTTTCAGCCTTGGAGGGCGTGGAGCCTATCTGTAACTCCAATCTGAGCCTGAGCTGACAGCCTGGAACCCCTGCCTTTCCCCATAGAGTCAGGAGCCAGAACGGCAGCCCCGCAGAGCCTTGTCCTCTGGGGTCCCTCCTTCCTGCCCAGTGAAGCGCAGGGACCAGGTTCCCAGCTGCTGGGTCCAGTTTCCACTGCTGCCGTGTGACTCGGGAGAAGGAACATCTTGCAGACGCTTTGCTGTCCTGCGGTCAGTCCTCCACACGCCGACTCCATCAGGACAGGAAAGTGACAGCGGAGGAGGGGGCTCTTGGTTCCTGATTTTCTGGAGATGCTTTGGAGGCTGGGCGATGGCCTGTGGTTTCTCCTCTCACGTGGCTGCATTATCAGGGAGGAACGTTGCCAAATAAATATTTGACTCAGAAAATCAAGTCATGAGCTCTTTGTGTGGGCTGCAGTCAAGAAGGGCATTTTCTCATTTCAATGTATGACAAAAACCACTGCAATGATGTAAAGTAATTAGCCTCCAACTAATAAAAATAAATGGAAAAAGAAAAAAAAAGAAAACCCTAAAAAAAAAAAAAGAAGAAGAAGGGCATTTTCTTGTCCCTCCCATAAAAGCAGGCCTCCCACGAACTGAGTCTTGCCAAGAACATCTATGGATCAGCTTCCTTGTGGTCAGCCAGGCCCGCCTTTGGCACTTGGAGGTCATTTCCGGCTCCTTCCTCGGGTTCAGCCCCCTGAACCATTAGTCAGCAAATCTGATTGAATTCCTCCTGTAACAAAATGTTCCTCTCTTCATATTAACTTTAATGGAGCCAGAAGTCTTTTTCAAATTACTTTTATTGTCTGTTGTATAATACACATTTATTATAGGAAAATTAGAAAACACTAATTTATTTAATATAATTATTTTTATAGCAGTTAACCATTTGCTAGGCATTATTCTATATTAACTCCTTTATTTAGATAAATAAAAAAAATTCACACCTATACCTTTCCAAACAGAACTGCTGTTTAGAATTTGGTCTTTAAAGATCTCTCCCCCGACACACACACTTCCCAGCATCACTACACAGAAGAGGGAACTTTTCATTCCAGAACCTGTTTTCTTCCCTTTATTCACTTTATTCAGGTTGTGCAGCCCCCATCATGTGCCCATCTTGACAACTTAAGCTTTGTAATGAGACCAAATGAGACTGTAGAGAAGGGCAACGGAAGCGTGGAGTGGTCCAAGCGGAGCAGTGGAGAGAGCTGGACAAGTCCCTTAACCTCCCTAAACCTCAGTTTATCCATCTGTAAAATGGGCACAATGATGCTATCTCCCTTGGTGGTGGTTATGAGGATGAAAGGAGATGATCATGTAAAGCACTTAGATGCGAGGATGACACTAAAGTGCTCAAATCTGTTTCCTGTGGTGGTGGTGAGACCATGCGGGTGATGGTAGAAGGCTGTGGTGGAGATGAGAAGCAAAGCAGCGTGTGAGGCTCAAGGGGTGCTTCATGGAATATTTGAAATCTTTATAAGTTTTTATTTTCTACCCTATTGTCTCAGCAACCTCTGATTTCTACTAGCACCTACTTATAGGTACCAAGGACTATGGACACACGCACTCTTCAGAGGTCTCCTTATACTCCTTGAGGCCTTCCCATGACAGCACAAGATGCTTCAGGGCCCAAGGCAGCCCCAGCTGACAGTTCTGTATCTGCCACAGGAACCCAGTCCAGGACCATCAGGCACACGTCCATGGAGAAGTGTGGCAAGACAAAATGTCCCCAGAGGACAGGTGCAGAAGAAGCTGTGCTTTACCTTGCCTTGGACAGAAAAGTGTGCTGCCAACCAACATCCATCCCGTCACCCACTAGCACCCCCAGAACAATTTTCAGGGTAATCCTGGCTTCTGAGAACCTAAGGCAAGAAATTCCCTAATGCCACGCTGTGTACAGAGAAGAATCGACACCACTTTGCCAATAGAGGTCCATATAGTCAAAGCTATGATGTGACAGTTGGACTATAAAGAAAGCTGAGAGCCGAAGAATTGGTGCTTTTCAACTGTGGTGTTGGAGAAGACACTTGAGAGTCCCTTGGACTGCAAGGAGGTCCAACCAGTCCATCCTAAAGGAAGTCAATCCTGAATGTTCATTGGAAGGACTGATGTTGAAGCTGAAACTCCAATTCTTTGGCCACCTGATGTGAAAAGCTGACTCATTTGAAAAGATCCTGATGCTGGGAAAGATTGAAGGCGAGAGGTGAAGGGGACGACAGAGGATGAGACGGTTGGATGGCATCACCAACTCTATGGACAGGAGTTTGAGTAAATTCTGGGAGTTGGTGATGGACAGGGAGGCTTGGCGTGCTGCAGTCCATGGGTTTGCAAAGATTCAGACACGACTGAGCAACTGACTGACTGACTGATGATTGTTCCAGTAGTCATGTGTGGATGTGAGAGTTGGACCATAAAGAAAGCTGAGCGATGAAGAACTGATGCTTTCAAACTGTGATGTGGAGAAGACTCTTGAGAGTCCCTTGGGCAGCAAGGAGACCAAACCAGTGAATCCTAAAGGAAATCAACCCTGAATATTCATTAGGACTGATGCTGAAGCTGAAGACCTAATACTGTGGCTACCTGATGTGAAGAGCGGACTCACTGGAAAAGACCCTGATGCTGGGACAGATTTGAGGGCAGGAGAAGCAGGCAAGAGGATGAGATGGCTGGATGGCATCACCGACTCAATGGACTTGACCTTGAGCCAACCCCTGGAGATAGTGAAGTCAGGGAAGCCTGGCCTGCTGCAGTCCCTGGGATCCCAAAGTCAGGCAGGACTGAGCGACTGAACAGAGACATGAAGCACTCTGCTACCTCCCAGTGGCCACAGGTGGGTTTGCAATACTAAGACAGGAAACCCTCTGCTACCTCCTAGTGGCTATTAGGGGTTAAGCACCTACTGAGCCTGTGGCAGGGGCAGAACACATCAGCTAGAAGAGCGCTCTAGCCAAGAAATGCAGGCAGCATCTGGAAGCTGGAAAAAGCAATGAAAACAGACTCTCTGCCGAGAGTTTCCAGAAGGAACATAGCCCGGAAAACACCTTGATTTTAGCCCAGGGAGATCCATCTCAGCCTTGATCTCCAGAGTTGTAAGCCTAGAAATCACTCAAGCCTAAGTTTCAGTTCAGTTTAGTTGCTCTGTCGTGTCTGGCTCTTTGCGACCCCATGGACTGGTCACATGGATCACAGCCTTGTCTAACTCAAAGAAACTATGAGCCATGCCATGTAGGGCCATCCAAGATGGAAGGGTCATGGAGGAGAGTTCTAACAAAACTTGGTCCACTGGAGAAGGAAACAGCAAACCACTTCAGTATTCTTAAGAATGCCATCAACAGTAGGAAAAGCCAAAAAGATATGACACTGAAAGCCTAAGATAGAGAAGGGCTTATCTCAAAGAGATCTGTGGGTGTGACTTGTCTCATGGAGTGAATCCCAGTAAGTTCATAGAAGACCCTACAAATTTAGAATTATATTGGAAAAGCACCAGCGTTGATTAACAGGGACAGAGACAAAATGAAAACAGGTTCAGGACCCCCAAACTCATTTCTCCTGCCCACGTAATACATTCTTATCTCCTTAACGTCAAAAAAATGTCTCTAAAACTAAATTGATCATTAGAAAATTGCTTGATTAGTGAAGATCAACAGGCTTGTGGGACATTTTCATCAATGCTCTGAGGAAGCCCACTTTGAAATATCCCCTTTGGCAGCACAGAAGCCTCCAAGGGCGGAATATTCAGGAAACTCCTACCTTCATAATTCAGATCGAACTCTATTAAAAGTGTGCTTCTGCCCCTGAAATTACTGAAAGACGTTCCCTCCTGCTGACGGATACTTTGAGCGTTCCAAGCCAACCTGTGACTGCCCTGTTCACACTGAGGGGGCCCTCACTTCCTTTAACCCCCCTACCCCAAACTCTCCGTAGGGCTCACGAAGACCAGTGAGGATGGCTGGGGTTGGGCCCCGAGCTGAAGGATTAGCGAGAGGACATCGCTGAGCCGCGGTCCTGGGCACGTCAAATCATTGAGGAGAAACCAGGCGCTCAGCGACGATGCGTATCAGCGCCTGCGCTAAAAGCACCGCTCCCGGAGCCTTAGCGGCCAAGTTGCTTCCTATCCAAGACGCCCGAGTATTCGATTCGGGGATGGACCCCTGCAAGGCATGTACAATAAAGCGTGACGGGAAACACCTTCTGGGAGCAGGAACTGCCGGAAGCCTGGCTAGGAAATACGGTCTACGAAGGTGCGTGGGTCACAGCCTCACACCTAGAGAGAGAACACCTGTTCGGCCAGGAACAGAGCGCAGCGATTTCTGGGAGATGGAGTCCCGTGTCGCAAGAAGGCATGTGCGCATGACCGGAAGTGACGCTTTTAAGGCGCGTCCCCCTTTGGCTCAGAGGCGGGCCTACGACCGCTGTTTCTGAGCTCCAAGCGGTAGCCGTATCCTGGAACCTTTTCACGTAAACGGCAGCGAGCGGGCTTTTTCAAGCGGTGTTCCGCTAGAGACCGAGTCGGCGGTTGCGTCACGGGCTCCCCGGCCGACGCCCGGCTGTGGCTGTGGAGACAATGAGAGACCCGGCTGGACAGCACGGACCCGGCTCAGCCCCGCAGACTCAGATCCGGCCTTTGAGGCGAGAGGCCTGAGAGAAGAGCCCAGAGTGGGGCTGGGGCTGCAGTGAAGCGACGCCGACGCTCAGAGAACTGCTGGGAGGCGGTGGCGCGAGGCGGGACCCGGATGCTGGAGGAAGGAGGTGAGGAGGAGTGTTGGAGCGGTTCGTGGCTTCCAGCCTGCGCGCCAGTACTGCTGTGCGACCCGGTTCGGAACTCAGCGGTTATCCTTTCCACAAGTAGTTGGGGACGGTCCTTTTTTTGAATAATTACGGGGCCATAAAAAGTTGAAGAGCTGAGTCCTGAATCATCTCTGACTGTCCTATTCCTGACTTTGATTTGTTGACGTACCTATGGTATTAAAAATTAGAAGTGGGCATTGGAAAGGGAAATGGGACGTGCTCAGGGCCTCCTTTATTGCTCCTGATCTTCCAGCCCTCTTGAAATGACCAGGGATACTCGGAATGGGATCCTGTTGGCTTCCTGTGATACCAGGGTGAATCCACGCCCTGGGTGGATTCAACCACCCAGGGTTGAAGCTCAGGGTGGATTCAACCCAGTTGGGTTGTGAAATCTTAGCGAATCCTGGGAATTTAGAATCAGAAGGCTAGGATTCCTGTTTAAGCTGGGGGGTACCAGCCAGGTCTCTTGACCTGTGTTTCTTCATGGAGGAAAAGGTAAAATGACGTTAACTACCTCCTTCACCTCTAAGAACTGTAAGCATGAAATAAAGTGATGCTTTTGAAAGCACCTTGAATGCTTTCCAGAACAGAACGAATGTGTGTGTGATAGTCACCAGCGAGACATTGCCATCCTCCCCTAGACCAAGAATTGCTCTGTCACTTATCAAGTGCAATTTCAAATCCAGCATTTCATGTTGTCTTCCCTCAGAGACCCGGGAACACAAGCAGGACGGTTATCATCCTCCCCATAGTAGCAAAGGTGAAAATAAGTACAATGGATAGGTACAGCTCAGTATCGTGAAGTCTGTACTAAGACTAGTGTTCAGACTTGTTTACTTTTTTTAGAGTTGTTTCTGAGGACTACACTACCACTCTTGTTTTTTTTTTTAATTGAGATATAATTTGCATGCTATAATATTCACTTTGAAAGTATACAGTTCAGTGGCTTTTATTGTAGTCACAAAGTTAGTCAACCATCATCACTATTTAATTCCAGAACATTTTCATCATCTCACAAAGAAACTGGCACTACTCCACAGTCTCCTTTCCCCATAGTCCCTGGCCAGCTATTCATCGTTCTGTCCCTGTGAATTTGCCTATTCTGGACAATTCATGAAAATAGAATCATACAGTATATGTGTCTTGCAAACCTTTTCTTTTGAAAATATTTTCATTTTGCTAGGGTTTGTACTTAGGGGAGGAATTACTGTGTAACCATGGTAACTCTGTTTAACTTTCTGAGGAACCACAAGACTGTCTTCCACAGTGGCAGCACCATTTCCCATTCCCAGTGGCAGTGTATGAGAATTTCAGTTTCTGTACGTCCTCACCAGGCTTTCCTGGTGGCTCAGTGGTAAAGAATCCACCTGCCAATGCAGGAGACACTGGTTTGAGCCCTACTTTGGAAGATCCCCTTAAGAAGGAAATAGCATCGCACTGCTGGGAAATCCCATGGACAGAGGAGCTTGGCGGGCTACAGTCTCCGAGTTAGACACGACTTAGCAACTGAGCACATAGGCATTCACACATCCTCATCAGTACTTTATTTTAATGTGTCTTTTTTATTTTAGCCATCTTAATGGGTGTGAAGTGGTATCTCACACTGGTTTGATAAGTATTTCTCCAGTGACTCAAGATGTTGAGCATCTTTTCATATATTTACTAGTTTTTTGTATCTCACTTTAATATCTACTCAAATCCATTGCTCATTTTTAAGTTGGGTTATTTGTCCTTCTTTGTTGAGTTTTTAATATAGAGAAATCTGTATATATTTTGGATATTAGACCCTTAGAAGGTGTATGATTTGCAGGTGTTTTCACTTTGATAGTGTCCTTTAAAGCACAAAGTTTTTAATTTTTATGAACTCCCACTTAATTTTTTTTCTTGTACTTTTGATATCATGTCTAATAAACGTATTGCCTAATCAGATGTTTTAAAGATTTATATTTTCTTCTTAAAGTTTTAGCTTTTACATTTAACTCTGATCCATTTTGGGTTAATTTTTATAGATGGTGTGAGGTAGGAGTCCAGCTTCATTCTTTTGCATGTAGATATCCAGGTGTCCTACTTCTATTTTGTTGAAAAGAAATTTAATTTCTTGGCACTCTTGTTGAAAATAAGTTGTCCCTAAATATATGGATTTATTTCTGGACTCTCAGTTCTTCTCCACTGATCTGTCTATCAATAGTACCACCCTACTTTAATTACTGTTGCTTTGTGGAAAGTTTTGATATCGTGAATATGAGTCTTCCATCTCTTGTTCTTTTTCCAGATTGATTGTTCTATGTCCCATGCATTTGCATATGACTTTTAGGAGCAGCTCCTAAATTTTTATTTAAAAAAACAGCTGGGATTTTGATAGGACTGCATTGACTCAAATTAATTTACTGAATATTGCAATCTCAGGATTATTGTCTTTCAGTCCATGAACATGGAATGGCTTTTCATTTATTTAGCTCTTCTGTAGTTTCCTTTAAAAATATTTGGTAGTTCACAACTGATAAAGGATAAATTTCCAAAATATACAAGCAGCTAATATAACTCAATACCAGAAAAACAAACAACCCAGTCAAAAAGTGGGAAAACGACCTAAAGAGACATTTCTCCAAAGAAGACATACAAATGGCTAACAAACAGATGAAAAGATGCTCAACATTGCTCATTACTAGAGAAATGCAAATCAAAACTGCAGTGAGACATCACCTCACACCTGTCAGAACAGCTGTCATCAAAGTCTACAAATAATAGATGCTGCAAATGGTATGGAAAAAAGGGAGCCCTCTTGCACTGTTTGTGGGAATGTAAATTGATACAGCCACTATGGAAGATGGTATGGAGATTCCTTAAAAAACTAGGAATAAAACCACCATATGACCCAGCAATCCCACTCCTAGGTGTATACCCTGAGGGAAAAAAATATTGAAAAAAACACATGTATCCCATTGTTCATTGCAGCACTGTTTACAATAGCTAGAACATGGAAACAACCTAGATGTCCATTGAAAGATGAATGGATCAAGAAGTTGTGTTATTAATTTAAAAAAAAGTTACATATACACAATGGAATATTACTCAGCCATAAAAAGGAATGCATTTGAGTCAGTTCTAATGAGGTGGATGAACCTAGAACCTATTATACATAGTGAAGTACGTCAGAAAGAGAACGCTAAATATTGTATTCTAACGCATATTTACAGAATCTAGAAAAATTATACTGAAGAATTTATTTACAGAGCAGCAGTGGAGAAACATAGAGAATAGACATAGAGACATAAACATAGAGATAGAGAATAGACTTATGGACATGGGGAGAGGGTGAGATGTATGGAAAGTGTAACATAAAAGTTACATTACCATTTTAAAAATAGATAGCTATTTTTAAAAATAGGGAATTTGCTGTATGGCTCAGGAAACTCAAATAGGGGCTCTGTATCAACTTAGAGGGGTGGGATGGGAGGGAGGTTCAAAAGGGAGGGGATATATGTATACTTATAGCTGATTCTGTTGCAGTTTGACAGAAAACAACAAAATTCAGTAAAGCAATTATCCTTCAATAAATAATTTAAAAAAAGAATCAGACAAAAGATTAAACAAAAATTTGGTAGTTTTCAGTGTAATGTCTTGCACTTCGTATATTCATTTTATTCCTAGGTGTTTTGTTCTTTTAATTCTCTTTTAATTTTCATTTCTAGATTGCTCATTGCTAGTTACAGAAATATAGTTGGAGAACTGTGTATTCAATTCTTTGCCCATTTTTAATTGAGGTGTCTTTTTATCGTTTGTTCACATTGTATCCTGCAACCTTGCTGAACTTCTTTAGCTATGATAGTTTTTCTGTTGATTTCTTGGGATTTTCTGTGTACAAAATCATGCCATTCACAAATAGAGATCATTTAAATTTTTCCTTTCCAATCTGGATGCGTTTGATTACTTTGCCTGATATTGCCTGATTTCTCTGGCTAGAACTTCCAGTGTAGTACTGAGTAGAACTGACAAGAGCTGACATCCTTGTCTTGTTCCTGATCTTAAGAGGAAAAGCATCATTCTTTAGCTCTGGGCTTTCTGGAAATGCCTCTTATCAAGTTGAGGAAGTCCCCTTCTGCTCCTGGTTTATTGGAGGTGTTTTATAGCAAAAGGTATCAGATTCCCTTAAATAGCCTCTTGGTGTTCACTGAGATGATCGTATGGGTTCTCTACCCCGCCCCCCGCCCCCGCCCCTGCCCCACCTTTGTATTAATACAGTGTATTATAGATTACTTTTCATGTGTTGAAGCAACCTTACATTCCTGGGATGAATCCCACTTGGTCACTACCTCTTCTTTTGATTAAGCAAATGTCTTTAATTTGCAGAGCCACTTTCTGCAAAGAACTTAATTGATAATAGTTGTAAGCTGTATATTTACATGCCAGGCATTGTGTCAGCTGCTTTGTCTGTGTTTAAATCTTCACAGAAACTTTACAAGGGATCCCATAGAAAAGTTGCTGGGAAGTGGTGGATCTGGAATGCTTGACAGTCGTTACACTTTAATGCCTTTCTGTGTCTGAGTGGATTAATGGAACTTCTGAGGTAGAAAAGGAAATAGGAAAATTTATACCCCATTGCAATTCTGCAAATTCAGCCCCAGTGAGCCCTGGGACCTATAATGCTCTTCAGAGTGAGAATGTGAGGCTTTCTAGTTTGATGAGCTGTGAACTTTTTTTGCCTCATTGGTTTCTTTCTCTTCCTCCAGAACCACCTTCTCCAGACCCTGCCCTTCCCCAGGAGGAAGACACAGAAGAGGAAGGAATGGCAGCTGGTCTCACAGCAGGGCCCTAAGTAAGTTGGAAATTTACTCCAAGAAGCAGTCTTTTTTTTCTAGAAAAAAAAAAAAAAAACTAACGGTGCTTTTGGTTTTCAATTACAAAAGACACTCATGTTCTTTGTAGAAAACCTGGAAAATGTAGACAATATACTACCCAACCCTCCAGTCACCTTAATTCCTACAAAGAAATAACACTTAACTTTTTGATTTGTGTGCTTTTAGGTACTCTTTTCTGTTGTTTTCCCAGAGACGATTTGTCCTGCTTTGTAACCTTTTTATTTCTATTTAGTAGCACTGTATTAATATTTCCCCCATCATTAAGAGTAGTCTACAGAATTATTTCCAATAAACTCCATTTCATAATCCTTCTGTGAAGGTAAGAACTGTCTTCACCCTTTCCTTTTCTTGACTAGACCAGGAATTGGTCTGTTTTCATTTTTAGAAAGTCTGCTGTTAGATTTCCTCATCAATTCTAATCTTTATTAAAAGAAAACTTTTAGTAGTTTTTTTTTTTTTTGCTTCTGCTTTCCTTAGATTGATTTTTTTTTTAGTGTGTATTATCTTTTTTTTTTCTTATTTTTCATTTATTTATATTAGTTGGAGGCTAATTACTTGACAATATTGTAGTGGTTTTTGCCTAAAATTAATATTTTTAACCTCATGAGTTGAATCCATAATTTATTTTCTTCCTTTTTTGTTCAGATATATTGAATGTTTTTAGCTGGGATCGTAATTTTTTAGATATGCCAAAACTGTGACTTTGGTTTCTTGTCTACACATGTGGCTGGTCTGTGCCGCATGGAGGATAGTTTGTGTCTCTTCTCCACACAAAACATGCAGGTATAGTGTAATTGCAGGGTGTAGGACTTCACAACTCTACATGCTCAACCTTATTAAATTAGTCATTTCTTCCATACCTTTATTTTTTGGTTTATTTTGCATTAAATGTCAGCACTGAGCTATTTAATCTCTCTCGCAGCTATCATATTTTAAATTTCTCCTTGTATTTCCTACAGTTTTTCCTGTATGAATTATATATTTGTTATTTGGTTCATAACCCTTATATCTTCATAGTGGATTTTACTCTCTTGATTACTATAAAAAGACCCCCAATGCTTTTAAATATTTCATTGTTTTTAAAAATGACCCTCTGTCCCATTTAAAGGATTTCTCGGTGTGAAGATGTATTGGAAGGACAGGTAAAATTAGAAATCAGGAAATTAGTTAAGATTTGGGAAATGCTACTGGCTTAAAGAAGGCAGTGGTAGGGGCGTGGAGAGAAATGTGTGCATTCTCATGCTACTGGGGAGGAAGAGCGAACCTGCATTTGACTTGGGAGCTGCAGGAAACGGGAGGATGACATCCAGGTAATGGCCAACAAGGTACATGAAGCACCATTTCCCAGGCTGGTAACAGATAAAAATGTCCCCGCCTCCACGCCTGTGCTCACCATGCTGCCCCCGCTTTGGATAGCCTTCTCTTTCTCCGTCTGAGGAACCTGCTCCTTCAAGGCCAACTTGATAGTTGCCTTCTCTCTCTGCGGTCTTCCCTGAGTGTGCTACCCCTGCCCTCCATCTAGGATTCCTCTTCCATTATCCTAGTAACTAGAATATCCCTCTCTTTCACACATTGTTACAGGTGGTTGCAAATATGCTTGGCTCTCCTGCTTACTGTAAGATGTCTGTCTGAGCTCATGGGAATATTTATTAAATGTTCTGCAAACATTCATCATTCACATTCTTTGCTGATTTGCAGCTGATTCCTTGCCGCATAAATTCACACATTCTAATTTTGTTCTATGTTGGTACTTTTAATTCCCGAGCACCTGTTAGTTTCTGCCCAATTACTGCTCATATGTATACATATTTCTATTTATATATAAAGTCTACAAGAATTATAAACATGTGAAGACAGAGAGACTGTTACTTATTTTCATGCATGAGTGTCCAGTATAGTGTTAGGCATATAGGAAGTGATCAGTGGTGCTTTTCTGGAACTACCCCAAGTCCTTTCAGAGACCTTTAGTAGGTTCACTAACTACCACACCCAGAGCTGCCAGCCTTCCTGCCTCCTCACATTCTAAGGGCACTGGACAAGAAGGAATGTGCTTGTTGTTTCAGGGATCCACACCTTTCAGCAGTTTGACTGTAGATTATACCCAGGGGGGATGGAGGCAGTTGGCCCCTGCTCCGAGGGACAGGTTCGAGGAAGGGATGCCAGAAAAGTCCAGAAACCTGGTCTTACTGGGTAAGGAAACCATTTAAAATTCAGAATTTGTTCAGTTCTGAAAATCTGTGGTACTTCCCAGTCTTGAGTGATCCTGAGTGGCTCTGATGCACCAGAGGAACAGTGTTTATTCCTACTCATTCAGTAGCAAAAGGTCTCTGCATTCTGGGTTGGGAAATAGTTTCATTTTGTTGCCCCTCGAAGCTGTACCTCCACATTTTCCTACTTCCCAGAAGGGGTCCTCCATAGTAAGTTCCCATCTTCCTAAGTAACTTGTTTTATGGGCTTGCTTAGCTCTCTGGCTTGACCCCTCCTTGAGGCTGTTTCTTTATCTCTTTTCAGAAATGCTCTACCAAGACTTCAGCACCATTATCTGTCTTTCTTACTGCTGTGTCCCCTAGTGGCCAGCACCAAGTCAGTGCTCAGTTTATTTATTGCATGAATGAAATGAATGACCTGTTTCACCTCCCCCAGTTCTGGGTAGCTATTTATACTTAGCGCAGATCTCTAAAGTCCACTTCTTTTCCCCTTTAAATAGGACTTCCAGTTTCCCAGCCTGGTATGAACTTCCAGTTGGAACAAAGGGAAGGTTCATGGATGCTCAAGAGAGACGACCTAAGGAATGCCTGTCCAGGTGAGTGAGCAAGGCAGAGTCTCAGGAGGAAAAGCCCCTTTGAAAACATTTGAATATTTTAACAGGGCAGGTAGGTATTGCTATGCCACTTTTATAGAGGAGGAAAATAAAGCTGAGAGAGGCTGACTCACTGGTTCAGAGCCTCCCGGCTAGAAAGTAGCAAGGCTGGGTTTGAAGCAACACCAGTCAAACTCCAAAGGCCTCTATTCCATACCATCTCCTCAGTCTCCCCAGGCTGGGAGGTATTTGGAAGCACAGGTGGTGTTGCTGGCCTCCAGGAAATAAGAGTCATCTTTGCCGGCCCGGCACATTCCCTGCCTCAGGTACACCTCATTGAGAGTCTGAGGTGCCCACCTTTACCCATCCTTCAGCTGTGACACCTGCTGCTGCTCCCCTGTCTGACTATTGGATTCTGCACCCCATCTTCATGGCCATGCTGGAATTTTCTCAAGAGCTGACCCTAAGAAACTGAGGAAAAACAAAAGCACAGGAAACCATAGTTTCTATGTATGTTTATGTCTTCCTGCTCATCTAAGGCTGCTCACTCCACCTTCACATTTCAGCCCTTGCAGGTAAATGACCTCTGGCAGGGCCTGTGGTCAGGCCCAGCTGTGGCAAGGCAGCTACTTTTGATATTTTGAAACTTAAAGCATCAGAGGTACAAATGAACTTAACAGCTTTAAGGTGACACAATTTTAAATTTTTCTAAAAATGCAGCCTAATGCTTTTATATCTGGTTATGGTTGCTGTAAGTCAATGAAAACCAAACAAAGCCTCTGGCTTATTTTCCAGAGGGTTTATCTGCACTCTGCTTCCCATTTTAGCCTCTCTCTAAGCAGCCTGTCACCTGTCACCCCAGTCCTTGTTGTAAGTGCGGGCACCACTCACACTCGCTGAAATCCTTTCACAGGGAGCCTGACCCCCCTGCTGCTTTGCGCCTTGCCGCACCCCTTCCCAGCTCACCATCCTTGTTAGACAGGGCCTTTCCCCCTGAGTCCCGAGACCCCGTGTGGAACTTCAGAGATGGAATGCAGGGTTGTATGGCAATAACTGCCTTTTCCTGGGAAAAGGCTTCATCAGTCTCAGAGAGGTTCAGGAGCCTAAAAAGGGTACTGAAGAAGATTGAGATCACCAAGTTATGAGAAAGAGAAGTTGGGAGAGGTGTTACCATGGAAACTCTGTGCCCCGAGGTGTCAGTGTAGAGGGTTACCATGGAAACTCTGTGCCCCAAGGTGTCAGTGTAGAGGGTTACCATGGAAACTCTCTGCCCCGAGGTGTCAGTGTAGAGGGTTAGTGTGGCAGCAACTTTGGATATGGACCCATGGAAGATGCACCAGGTGCTGGCTTACTGCGTATCAAGTGCATGGATTCAGAGTAAATCACTAAACTGTGGTCATATGTTTCTATATCTCAAAAATGTGGATAACAAAACCTGTCTTACTTGACAAGACTGATACATGTGAAAACGTTGTTGACAGTATAGGACTGTATTAATTCTGTGATAAGTGAAGTAATTGGAGGAGTCTTAAATCTCGCTGGCAAGAGTAACTAAAACACTGCCCTGGGGATGTTTTACCTCTGCTCTGAGGCCCCACAGAGCATCCTGGATATCGCTGAGCCTCATGGGCGGGTTCAGGGTTCCCTGTTATTCCAACCCACCCTCCCACAGTGACAGACACACCCAGGGCTTGGATGTGCCTTTGCCTCACTCTTTGGTCCATGCCTGGGGTTGTTTTATTAATAGCTACTGGAGGTGCAACAGAGAAGAAGATTGAGTCCCTGCTTACATACTAGCAAGGAACGTAAATAAAATGAGTAAACAAAATAACTGGTAGAACATTGAATAGTGGTGAGTACTGTAAGAATGGGAATACCAGTGAGGGCTATTCTCAATTAGATGAATAGGAGAGACCACTTTGAGGAGGTGACATTGGCACTGAGGTCTGAAGGAAGAGAATGAGCCAGCTGTTTGAGTGTCTGCATAAGGAACAGCCTGGGCCACACCGTGCATCGAAGCTTTGAGTGGAAATGAGTTTGACTTCTGTTAGGATCAGAAGACCCTAGGACTCAGTAAATAAGGGTGCTGGGCAGGGCAGCAGACCATATAAGACTCAGAGGCCATGGAAGACGTTCAGGTTTTATCCAAGTAGGAAGATAGGAAGCCACTGAAGGTGTTGAGCAAAAAAAGGATAATATTTGATTTGTGTTTGAGAAGATAACGTGTGTAAACTAGACTTTCAGGGTTGAAGACCGGAAGCAGGGAGATCAGTTAGGACATAACAATAAGAGGATGGTGGTGGGTCAGGACAAAGATTCAGGACATATTTGGTGTTACAGCCAACAGGACTCACTAGGGATTGGATATGAGAGATAAGGCCCTGGTCTGAGTAGTTGGGTGAATAGAAGGGCTGACTAAGTCACTGGCTAGAAAGGGAAAATCACCACTTCTATTTTTGGGTATACTCGGTTTGAGATATTATTAGACTATCTTATACAGGAGCTGGCACTCGGGAGAGGTGAGCTGAGGCAAGACAGTTCATGAACATCACATGGTCTGTTTTTTGTCTCTGTGGTTGGGTATGCTGTATCTTATTTACCCGACCAGGGATCAAACCTGTGACCCCTGCAATGGAAACACGGAATCCTAACCTGTTAGTCCTACTACTGCTGCTGCTAAGTCACTTCAGTCGTGTCCGACTTTTAGCGACCTCATGGACTGCAGCCTATCAGGCTCCTCCGTCCATGGGATTCTCCAGGCAAGAGTACTGGAGTGGGGTGCCATTGCCTTCTCCGAGTAGGTAGGTAATGGTATCTTGCTGCTAAGTCACTTCAGTCGTGTCCAACTCTGTGCGACCCCACAGACGTTCAGCCCACCAAGCTGCCCTGGGATTCTCCAGGCAAGAACACTGGAGTGGGTTGCCATTTCCTTCTCCAATGCAGGAAAGTGAAAAGTGAAAGTGAAGTCGCTCAGTCATTTCCGACTCTTAGTGACCCCCTGGATCGCAGCCTACCAGGCTCCTCCGTCCATGGGATTTTCCAGGCAAGAGTACTGGAGTGGGGTGCCATTGCCTTCTCTGCCTGTTAGTCCTAACCTAACCTTAATTGCTCCTTTCTCCTACTGCTTTTTTTATTATCACTTTTCTTCTTTCCATCTTTCACTCAGATAAGACAGTATTTGAGAGCTGTCAGAGTCTTCTAAGGCCTAATACCAGGTGACATAGAGATACCTTCAACCCGAAAGAGGGACTTCTGTGCTCTTGGTAGATGAGGCTCCAGATGCACATGCAACTCACAGGGAAAACTGCTTAGTGGGAAACATATTTACAAGACAGAGGTTCAAGATAATAACAAGCAGTCATAGAACACTTGCTATATCTCAGGTATGTTCTGGGTCATTTGTGTTTTAGCTCATTTAGTTCTCATGATTCTGTAAGAGAGCTACATTCACAGATAATAAATCCAAGGTATAGTAATTTGCCCAAAGTTGTATCGATAGCAGGAGGTATGGCCAAGGTTTGAACCTAGGCAACCTGGATCAGGGTTCTCTATAGAAATTCAAATAAAGGGCACCTAAAACTAACCTGTTTCCCTAGATAAGGTAGAAACAGGAAGAACCATTTCAGGAAAATTGACCCTTGAGAAAAGAAGCTCCATTGTCTCCCTAAAACTCCACTCCCTGTAGCTATAAGCCTCATGGAGACAGACAGGTGTCTGGGACCAGAGGGTTCAATTAGTTGTAACACTTGCCAAATACTATACATTAACTCACACTTTAAGGTTTTCTCTTAAAATGAATGTGGTCCCAAGGAGGAAGAATCATTGGAACTTCCCTGGTGGTCCAATTGTTAAGGCTCCGCTCATCCACTGCAGGGGGCATGGGTTCAATCCGTGGTCCGGGAAGTAAGCTTCTGCATGCCATGCCACAAGGCCAAAAAAAAGAATCAACTCTTTTAAGAAAATACCACCCACTCCTGTCCATATTATAAAAGCAATTAAGATAACTATTTTATATATTCTTGCACTTAACAGCATATTGTTTATCACTGTGTATTCTTTCAAAGCAAGATTTTTATAACTTATTATAAAAATAATACTGTCACTGGAGAACATTAGAAATACACATAAGCATCAAAAAACATAAAAATTACCCCTGCCTAACGCCACAACTCAAAGACAACACAGCTTACCTTCACATTGTATAGTTTGCCAGGGTTTTTTCAATAAATATCTTTCTACAAAAGGAATTATAGTGCACAGATTGCACACATGACTTAACTCCTAGATAGTGTCTCTTAATTGGCTATACTATAGTCATTCCTTGTTATTAAAACATTTAGGTATTTGCTTTTCATTTGACAAATAATGCAGTGTTGAGAACAAATGATGTCAGTGCAGCTCTATGTAATTTCTCATTAGTTCCTCAGGATAGATTCTTACTAGTGGAATTCTGATGTCAGCATTTTAGACTCTGGACAGGTGTAGCCCAGTTGCTTTCCAGGAAGCTTGTTCCTGTTTATGCAGCCACACAGTATGTGACATCCCAACTGCTGCACCCTTACCCCACTCTAGAATTAACCATTTTTTAAAAAATCTTGCTGATTTCATAGGTGAAAAGGTTCATCCTGCTGGCATCAGTCGTAAGCTTTTTAAAGTGAATTATCCCAACCTGGTAAGTAGGTTGCCCAAAACCATACTGAGAATTGTGAGAGTAAGAAGACAGCTCACGACAACCCCAGGACTTGGCAAAAGCACCAGAGAGGAGTGTCAGAAATAAGACAGGAGAGGTGTGCATCTGAGGCAAGCTCAGGATCCACTTCTGCTGTTTAGGAAGGGGAGCAAAGGGTGCTCATGTCTCTGAAAAGTTTTCTGGTCAGTCAGTTGAGAACAGAAGCATCCTGGGGCTTCCCTGGTGACTCAGATGGTAGAGAATCTACCTGTAATGCAGGCAACCGAAGTTCAATCCCTGGGTCAGGAAGATCCCTTGGAGAAGGGAATGGCAACCCACTCCAGTATTCTTGCCTGGAGAATCCCATGGACAGAGGAGCCTGGTGGGCTGCAATCCATGGGGCCACAAAGAGTCGGACTGAGCAGCTAACACTTACAATACACATCCTGGGTGAAAGGGGTGAAGCATGGAACCAGTCTGCATACAGGCTTAGCCCAGCTCCTTCAGCCTTCATACTGTAGCATCTTCTACCACCAAAAGAATTTTTAAAATTACTTTTCTAAATTTTCTTCAGATTGGAAGATTATATCTGAATCACCACCTGAGCAAGACATTTCTGAAGAATCATTCCAAGATCCAAGTGTAGAGATGCCTTCTGGGGAGCCAGAGCACAGGAACAGTGAGCTGGGGAAGAGCCTCAATCTGAGACCATTCCTTTCTCCACGGCCGAGAGTTCCTACAGAAGTGAGATCCCGGACATGTGACACACACGCAGAGAGCTTTGGGAAGAATGCAGGTACAGTTGAAGCTCACAGAGTGAAGCCGTACATGTGTAACGAATGTGGCAAGGCCTTCAGTTACTGTTCTTCCCTTTCTCAGCATCAGAAGAGCCACACTGGGGAGAGGCCATACGAGTGCAATGAATGTGGGAAGGCCTTCAGCCAGAGCTCATCTCTTATTCAGCACCAGCGGATTCACACTGGAGAGAAACCTTATAAATGCAGGGAATGTGGGAGAGCCTTCAGCCAAAACGCAAACCTCACAAAACACCAGCGAACTCATACTGGAGAGAAACCCTACAAATGTACCGAATGTGAGAAAGCCTTCAGTGACTGTTCAGCCCTTGTTCAGCACCAGAGAATCCACACTGGAGAGAAGCCTTATGAGTGTAGCGACTGTGGGAAGGCGTTCCGCCACAGTGCAAATCTTACCAACCACCAGCGGACTCACACAGGGGAGAAGCCCTACAAGTGCAGCAACTGTGAGAAGGCCTTCAGCTACTGTGCGGCCTTTATTCAGCACCAGAGAATCCATACAGGGGAGAAACCCTACAAATGTAACGCATGTGGGAAGGCCTTCAGCCAGAGTGCAAACCTCACAAACCACCAGAGGATTCACACTGGAGAGAAACCCTACAAGTGTAGCGAGTGCGGGAAAGCATTCAGCCAAAGTACAAACCTTATAATCCACCAAAAGACCCACACTGGAGAGAAACCTTATAAGTGTAATGACTGCGGGAAATTCTTCAGTGAAAGCTCCGCCCTCATTCGGCATCATGTAATTCACACAGGAGAAAAGCCCTACGAGTGCAGTGAGTGTGGAAAAGCGTTTAACCAGAGTTCATCCCTCAGTCAGCATCAGCGAATTCACACTGGCGTGAAACCCTATGAATGCAGAGAGTGTGGGAAGGCCTTCAGGTGTAGTTCAGCTTTCATTAGACATCAGCGACTCCATGCTGGAGAGTAACTGGGAACATAACTGAAGTGGAGACCTGACAGGTAATTTGAACGCTTAGCCCAGAGCCACATGCAAAAGCACCTTTTAATAAATAGTCACTATTTTACACCTTACACCTTGCATGTGGTGCTCCTTTATCAAGACCTTGGTAAGCATAGACTGCCCAGCTCCAGTTACAGTGTTCTCAAGATTTACCTTTAACTCAGAAACCTTGGTTTATAAAGAACAAGTGAAGGACTTGGTTTGTACGTAAAAGGCCAGGTATCTTGCAGTGGTCTGTCTTAGTCATCTCTGCTTGAATGAGGGCTATTGCAAAAGAACTAAGAACAGTGGCTGAGAACAAGTACTCCTCATAACTGGGCCACTAAGATATCAGATTTGGGGAGTGGATTCAAGTGAGGATCCCAGGGTCAACTGTTATTAGAATGGGGATGGGGGAGACTCCCTGATGCTGCACACAGCCTGCACTTTCTGAGCCGTTCAGGGGATCTGACTGACAAGTATTTAGTTACTACTGTCAAGAAGACAGGTTGAGGGTGCACCCTCAGCAAGGTTCAGTTCAGTTGCTCAGTCGTGTCCGACTCTGAGACCCCATGAATCACAGCACGCCAGATCTCCCTGTCCATCACCAACTCCCGGAGTTTACTCAAACTCATGTCCATTGAGTCAGTGATGCCATCCAGCCATCTCATCCTCTGTCATCCCCTTCTCCTCCTGCCCCCATTCCCTCCCAGGATCAGGGTCTTTTCCAGTGAGTCAACTCTTTGCATGAGGTGACCAAAGTATTGGAGTTTCAGCTTCAGCATCAGTCCTTCCAATGAACACCCAGGACTGATCTTCAGGATGGACTGGTTGGATCTCCATGCAGTCCAAGGGACTCTCAAGAGTCTTCTCCAACACCACAGTTCAAAAGCATCAGTTTTTCGGCGTGCAGCTTTCTTTACAGTCCAACTCTCACATCCATACATGACCACTGGAAAAACCACAGCCTTGACTAGATGGACCTTTGTTGGCAATGTGATGTCTCTGCTTTTTAATATGCTATCTAGGTTGGTCATAACTTTCCTTCCAAGGAATAAGCGTCTTTTCATTTCATGGCTGCAGTCACCATCTGCAGTGATTTTGGAGGCCCCCAAAATAAAGTCTGACACTGTTTCCCCATCTATTTGCCATGAAGTGATGGGACCAGATGCCATGATCTTAGTTTTCTGAATATTGAGCATTAAGCCAACTTTTTCACTCTCCTCCTCTTTCATCAAGAGGCTTTTCAGTTCCTCTTCACTTTCTGCCATAAGGGTGGTGTCATCTGCATATCTGAGGTTATTGATATTTCTCCCGGCAATCTTCATTCCAGCTTGTGCTTCTTCCAGCCCAGTGTTTCTCATGATGTACTCTGCATATAAGTTAAATAAGCAGGGTGATAATATACAGCCTTGATGTACTCCTTTTCCTATTGGGAACTAGTCTGTTCTTCCATGTCCAGCTTCCTGACCTGCATATAGGTTTCTCAAGAGGCAGGTCAGGTGGTCTTGTATTCCCATCTCTTTCAGAATTTTCCAGTTTATTGTGATGCACAGTCGAAGGCTTTGGCTTGGTCAATAAAGCAGAAATAGATGTTTATCTGGAACTCTCTTGCTTTTTCGATGATCCAGTGGATGTTGGCAATTTGATCTCTCGTCCCTCTGCCTTTTCTAAAACCAGCTTGAACATCTGGAAGTTCACAGTTCACGTATTGCTGAAGCCTGGCTTGGAGAATTTTGAGCATTACTTTACTAGTGCGTGAGATGAGTGCAATTGTGTGGTAGTTTGAGCATTCTTTGGCATTGCCGTTCTTTGGGATCGGAATGAAAACTGACCTCTTCCAGTCCTGTGGCCACTGGAGTTTTCCAAATTTGCTGGCATATTGAGTGCAGCACTTTCACAGCATCATCTTTCAGGATTTGAAATAGCTCAACTGGAATTCCATCACCTCCACTAGCTTTGTTCGTAGTGATGCTAAGGCCCACTTGACTTCCCATTCCAGGATGTCTGGCTCTAGGTGAGTGATCACACCATTGTGATTATCTGAGTCGTGAAGATCTTTTTTGTACAGTTCTTCTGTGTATTCTTGCCACCTCTTCTTAATATCTTCTGCTTCTGTTAGGTCCATACCATTCCTGTCTTTTATTGAACCCATCTTTGCATGGAATGTTCCCTTGGTATCTCTAACTTTCTTGAAGAGATCTTTAGTCTTTCCCATTCTCTATAGTCTTTCTGTTGTTTGCCTCTATTTCTTTGCACAGATCGCTAAGGAAGGCTTTCTTATCTGTCCTTGCTATTCTTTGGAACTCTGCATTCAAATGAGAATATCTTTCCTTTTCTCCTTTGCTTTTCACTTCTCTTCTTTTCACAGCTATTTGTAAGGCCTCCTCAGACAACCATTTGGCCTTTTTGCATTTCTTTCTCATGGGGATGGTCTTGCTCCCTGTCTCCTGTACAATGTCACAAACCTCCATCCATAGTTCATCAGGCACTATCAGATCTAGTCCCTTAAATCTATTTCTCACTTCCACTGTATAGTCATAAGGGATTTGATTTAGGTCATACCTGAATGGTCTAGTGGTTTTCCCTACTTTCTTCAATTTCAGTCTGAATTTGGCAATTAAGGGGTTCATGATCTGAGCCACAGTCAGCTCCAGGTCTTGTTTTTGCTGACTGTATAGTTTCTCCAGCTTTGGCTGCAAAGAATATAATCAGTCTTTCGGTGTTGACCATCTGGTGATGTCCATGTGTAGAGTCTTCTCTTGTGTTGTTGGAAGAGGGTGTGTGCTGTGACCAGCCTTTGCCCTGCTTCATTCCGTACTCCAAGGCCAAATTTGCCTGTTACTCTAGGTGTTTGACTTCCTACTTTTGCATACCAGTCCCCTGTAATGAAAAGGACATCTTTACTGGGTGTTAGTTCTACAAGGTCTTGTAGGTCTTCATAGAACCATTCAACTTCAGCTTCTTTGGCGTTATTGGTTGGGGCATAGACTTGGATTTCCATGATATTGAACGGCTTGCCTTGGAAACGAACAGAGATCATTCTGTCCTTTTTTAGACTGCATCCAAGTACTGCATTTCGGAGTCTCTTGTTGACCATGATGGCTACTCCATTTCTTCTAAGGGATTCCTGTGCACAGTAGTAGATAGAATGGTCATCTGAGTTAATTTCACCCATTCCAGTCCATCTTAGTTCACTGACTCCTAGAATGTCGACATTCACTCTTGCCTGTTTGACCACTTCCAATTTGTCTTGATTCATGAACCTAACATTCCAGGTTCCTATGCAATATTGCTCTTTACAGCATCAGACCTTGCTTCTATCACCAGTCACATCCACAACTGGGTATTGTTTTTGCTTTGGCTGCATCCCTTCATACTTTATAAAGTTATTTCTCCACTGATCTCCAGTAGCATATTGGGCACCTATCGACCTGGGGAGTTCCTCTTTCAGTATCCTATCATTTTGCCTTTTCATACTGTCCATGGGGTTCTCAAGGCAAGAATACTGAAGTGGTTTGCCATTCCCTTCTCCAGTGGACCACACACAGTCAGACCTCTCCACCACAACCGTCTTGGGTGGCCCCACACAGCATGGCTTAGTTTCATTGAGCCAAGATGAGCCACCCCATGCCTGAGGTCAGGGGCTGCGGCCGAAAGGAGCAACCCCATGTCCAAGGAGCAGCGGCTGTGTGGGCGCAGGACCAAGAGGAGCTATTCCACGTTCAAGGTCAGGAGGGCCGGCTGTGAAGAGATACCCCTCATCCAAGGTAAGGAGCAGCGGTTGCACTTTGCTGGAGGAGCCATAAGGCGATACCCCATGTCCAAGGTAAGAGAAACCCAAGTAAGACGGCAGGTGATGCAAGAGGGCATCAGAGTGCACACACTGAAATCATAATCACAGAAAACTAGCCAATCGATCACACAGACCACGGCCTCAGCAAGGTGCCTACCTTTAAATGGAGTCCCTGAGGGAGGGCTTCCTTAGTGGCTCAGCTGATAAAGAAGCCCCCCACAATGCAGGAGACTTATCCCTGGGTTGGGAAGATCCCCTGGAGAAGGAATGGCTAACCACTCCTGTATTCTGGCCTGGAGAGTTCTATACAGTCCATGGGGTCACAGTCAGACATGACTGAGCACAGGCACACACAAGTTATAGTTAGCTTTTTCCACCTGGAATAAGATAGCTGTAATATGTTATAGACCTAAGGCGATTAACTATAATATATATAGTTGTAATATGTATAGTTAATAAGTCATATACTATGACTTTCACTTTAGAGGGAGGGCTAACAAGACTGGGGCCATCTGACGGCAGCCATGCTTTCCTGGTTCAAAGGCAAATGAGTCATTTTTCCTTTTCCCTTCTTCCTGACAGCCCAGTTATCTTGGATCAAGCTCTTTAGCTTGTTAGCCTTCTTTCTCCATTATACCACCAGTGTAGATCCTACCTGCATAAGCTGCTTCCCTGGTGTTTTTTGATAGGTATGCCAAGTCCCCATTAGTGATGGGATGTAGTGTGGGATGGTTGTCACCCAAGGCCTCTAGCTTTGATTCCTTGGTAACTTTGCCACGTGTCCTGGAAACTCTCCTCACTTCAGAGATCTCAGATAGTCCTTTCCGGTAAAGTTTTCCACACCTGCTTGCATCTGTGGTTAAAAACCATCTAAACCTAAGCTTCCCTGGTGGCTGACAGTAAAGCGTCTGCCTGCAATGCGGAAGACCCAGGTTCAACCCCTGGGTCAGGAAATGGCAACCAGCTCTAGTATTCTTGCATGGGGAAATCCTATAGACAGAGGAGCCTGACAGGCTACAGTCTATGGGGTTGCAAAGTGTCTGAACATACACACAAAACACAAAAATGGGAGAGGAAAGCAACTGGAAGTGAAGGTCGTAGGGCTGTCATTCCTAACCCATTTTAGTTAAGGACCCAGAAAGAAGCCCCTTCCAGGTTGGTATTTCAAGCTTCTGTCTCAGCACCCAGGTGTTTGATGTTCATTTGTTGCATATCAAATCAAATGAGTGAGGCGCTCTAGATAGAAAATCAAAAAGAGAACTAAGGGAAAGACAAGGGAGAGGCCTGGGGGGAAAAGTCTGTTACTGGTTTAAAGCAAACCCTGAGGGTTTAAACCAGGAACTGCTAACTACATTAGTAGACTTTATCCTCGCTTTTACATCAACTTGAGATCAGTCAAGGACCATAAACATCAGGTTCTTTGGTTGTCCCATCAGTAATTCTGAGCCCAAGCTGTGTGCTGGGATGGACAGCAAAGCCCTGGGCATGCAACTCACCAACTGAGTAAACTGGTTTGGGAAGAGCTTCTTCCACTCGTATTTTCTATTATGTTCAACTCCCAAGTTTTCTTTCTGACCAACAGTATTTTCTTGAGGACAGAATTCTGTTCTCCACAGATTGCTGCTTCATCTGTCACCTTGGCCCCAATGACCACAATTTGACTACAAAGACTAGGCTCCCCACAAGGAAGAAGCTACATCAGAAAGTCCACTGGTTGTCAAATGATCCTTTATTTTTCTTTTTCCTTTGCAGTTCTTAACTCTGTGGGGGGGAAAAAGAAACCTCTCAATAACAGGACAAAAAACTTTACCCTCCACTATTGAGCATTTCTAGAACTTTCTATAGTATCTCAAAGGATACATTAGCTCCCCCTCTGGTTTTCACCTTAATTTTAACCATATCAGTGCAGAAGTTACTTACAGCTGGGCACTCCACTGCACCACTGTTGATATCATCTATGATGTCATGAGGGTGGCGGCCATCAACATTGCAGCCCACAGACTGGGCGGTCCCCAGGATCTCTTTAATGGTTCCTGTCGTTAAAGAGAAGGTGGAATCAGAGGGGAAGTCAGTCCCTCGCAATTCTCAGATACCAGAGGGGATACAGGTGAGGAGAGGAACAAGGAATAACTATTTTATGGATTAAAAGAATTGGTAATTGGTAATTGCTCCCCTAATCGAAAACTTAGCGCTCAGTATCATTTAAAAACTCCAAGTGCAAAACTGGCCACAGATCCTATGATACCCAGGCTCAAACCAAAAGACACTCCAATTCCAGGTCTTACAGAGTAAAAAAGCCCTTTCTAATTGGGAAAAGGCCACTAAACGAATACATCTCAAGTTACAACTAAGGTGGCCCCAAACTGTTCTGCTCTTACCAGAAAGTTCTCTAGCTAGAGAACGATGCCGCATCTGCCGGGCAATGTTGACGATCTCATCAAAAGTGATGTTTCCACTGTGCTTAACTGCAGAAAAGAAAAAAGAGAAGCTTTGTTACCACCTGAGGCCAGGGCAGACCACAGTCCATCTTCCCTCATCCATTTCTAGCCTGTTCCCATGCTTTCGGCACAGAGTCATCCACATGAAGAATAACCCTGTTTCCTAAGCTGGGCTTATTTTTAGCTCACCACTGGATTGCACCAGCCAACAGAAAACTGGTCAGGTGCAGTGGCGGGTGGCTAGACACAAAATCAAGTTTTGTTAACCTTACATGTAAGGGACTGTTTTGAAGAGAAAAAAGTGACTGAGGTTGGTAAAAGCTGTCCATATGTCATCCAACTAGGAAGCTGCCCTTCCCCAGTTACTGGCTATCTGTTTCTTCACCCTGTTTGACAGTTCCCTCCTGTAAGTGCTGAGGGGATCTGTTCCACACCAGTGACTGGGGAGAGCCACAGGGCACTTGTGGGCAGTGCCTGGCTCAGTAACATCCAACACCTGTGCCATCCTTATTTCCTTAAAGGGCAAGTACAGCTATCTATTACACTGGACACACCACCACCAATTACCAGGGAAAAAACCACTCACTGTTTTTCTGCTTCTTTCTGTCCCTTGGTGGTTCCTTGAGGGCTTTGATGATCAGGGCAGAAGCAGAAGGTACCACCTCAATCTGCAGAAGAGATTCTCCATGTGAATAAACCCTATGCCACCCTCTAAGGAGAACCAATAATACCATGCACTTTGGCTCTCAGGAACCATGGGCCAGACACTGTTTACCAAATGTACATTCAAGCTAATTTTCACAACCAGAAACACAGCCTACCCTATCCCAGCAAACACTGATTTGCCCAGTATCTCAAAAGTGAGAAGAGTTAATATTTAAAACATGCTCTCGAAACAGCCCTCCCCACAAATAAAATTGCTTTTAGCTCACCACTGGTGGCAGGTCAGCAAAAACCTGCCTCCCAGGTATCCCCACCTCTGCCCTCCCTCAAACCAAGTACCTGGGCTTGTCTGTTCTGAATGGTCAGTTTCACTGTAATCCTCAGACCCTTCCAATCACCAGTTGCCTTGGCTATGTCATCACCAACCTTTTTTGGAGACTGTAGAAATAAAAGGTATATGTAATCACACTGTGCCCTAACTGAAACCGATCTGAAAATCTGCCCAGTCCCTCTCACTTGGGCGCACACAAGCAAGCTTTCTGAAACTCATTTAACTGTCCCTACCTAATCAAGGTATGGCTATCACCATAATTAAATTGGAAAAATGAGGCTACGGGTTTAGCTTATCCAAGGCTGTAACCTTGAGGTTTAAGGCCGTAGTGGGGCCAAGTCCCTTACCTACCCTTTCCTAAAGATCTTTGTGGTATCTTTTACATTTGGATCACCAGGGGATCTTTAAAGACACCATGTTCCTGATGTCTGACCAATCCTAGTCAACCTATGGGGATGCGGTCTGGGCAATAATCCCCTGAAGAGAATTATATAAAGGAGGTTAACCGACGAAGAATTGAAGCTTTTGAACTGGCTGATGGAGAAAACTCTTAAGAGTCCCTTGGACAGCAAGAAGATCCAACCAGTCCATCCTAAAGGAAATCAGTCCTGAATATTCATTGGAAGGACTGATGCTGAAGCTGAAACTCCAATACTTTGGCCACCTGATGCAAAGAACTGCCTCATTTGAAAAGACCCTGATGCTGGGAAAGATTGAGGGCAGGAGAAGGGGACGACAGAGGATGAGATGGCTGGATGGCATCACCGACTCCATGGACATGAGTTTGAGTAAACTCTGGGACTTGGTGATGGACAGGGAGGCCTGGCGTGCTGCGGTCCATGGGGTCAGAGAATCAGACATGACTGAGCGACTGAACGGAACGAGAGGTACCCAGTGAGCACTAGCTGAGCTCAGGGACAACAGAGGTAAGGCGGCCGCTGCTTAAGCAAAACCATGAGGGGTTAACTTCTCAGTCGGGAGCCCAGTGCCCAAAGAATAAAGACCTGATTACATTCAAGAAAAAAAGAGATGAATTAAGTCCGACTCTAGGTGTCTGTTCGTCACTCAGTAGTGTCCGACTGTCTGCAACCTCATAGACTGTAGTCCGCCTGGGATTCTCCAGGCAAGAATACTGGAGTGGGTTGCCATTTCCTTCTCCAGGACACTCAGTAAAGCCAAGTGTATGTATCAGTAGATTGAAAGCAGAGTTAATATTAGCTACTCTAACGTTCACAAAGGTCTCCATTTCATACCCCATGCAATCCTCCAGCAGCCATATGCCTATTTCCCTAAGAAACAGACCAAGCAGACTACACAGTTATCACTCCTGACTTAAAAAACCTCCTCTATCCCATCCCTCATGTACCCTGAGAGCAGCAGTAGACACGCTGGAAAAGTTCAGGTTCCAAGCACCAGCTTCCACCTTTATGGACAAGCTTTCTGCGGCAGCTGGTGCCAGTTCAGTGGCTCAGAGGCTTAGTGGGGGATGGCAATCTGTCCCTATCAATGACACCTCAGAGGCAATCGTGTCTGCGCAAGCTAGAGTCCTAGTAAGTGCCTTCTCCTCCAGGGATGACTTACCAGGCCCAAGGGGCCGATCTTGGGGGCCAGGGCAGACGTGGCACCGACTTCCCCACCGGTGCATCTCAGGTACACTGAGAGAAAGAAAGGATTAGTGCCTCCGCATAGTGAAGTAACGAAAGTCGCTCAGTCGTGTCCGACTCTGCGATCCCATGGACTGTAGCCTACCAGGCTCCTGTCCATGGGACTTTCGAGGCAATAAGGGGCGCCCAAATCACAGCCCTCCCTCCGCAGTCCTCTGCGGGCCTGGCCGCACCACCGTTTGCCTCTTCTCGGAAAAATGCCAAGAGCCTCAGCGGGGAGCAAGGCAAGACAACCCTCCCGCCACGGCGAGAACCGCTCCAGGCGCCACGAGGGAGGGCGGCCTTGGGTTCGGGCACCGCTGCCGAGACCCACACCGCATCGGCTTGGAGGCAGCCCCGGCCGCCGGCCAACCCAGCCTAGGGAGAAGCGCCCGAGACAAACCTTACCCTAAGGCGTGCGGGCTGTGAAGCCGCCACAGGTCGTCCGGTCCTCCCTCCCCATCTACACGTGGGGAAGCCGAGGCCCAGAAAGAGTAAGAGACTCGGCCACGACCACACAACGCCCTGAACGCAGCACCAGAGGGCAAGCCCCGAGGAGGCAGCGGCCTTGAAGCCCGACGCGGGAAAGGCCATCGCGGCGGGGCCGCAGGCCGGACGGAACACGGGGAGGGATGCCGCATCCCGAAGCCCCGGCCACATCTAAAGCACGCACCGACTTTGATCTCGTTGGGGTCGAACTTAGGCGGCATGGTGGAGGCGGCTGGTGTCGGATGAACCCGGATTCGGGACGACCGAAGAAAGTTGCACCTTCGCCTCCTCCTAGCCGAAAGCCGAAAGACCGGAAGGTGGGACGATTGCGCCGGATATAGACCCGAAAGCGCGACTGTCGCGAGAACTGCTGTCTCCGCCCAACCTTCTAGCGACGCCCTTGCTGCCATATTGCTTGTGGGCAGGCACCTGAGGCTAACGGCTGGAGAACCCGGCACCGCGGTGAGCTGTGGCTAGGGGGTCTGAAGGGGGGCTCGGGGCAGCTCTCCCTGAGAAGGCAGACAACAGAGGACTGCTCCCGAGATCTCAGGCCCCAGTGTTCCCCATTCTCCCTTATCCTGAGGGTCACCCCATAGTCCCAATAACCCAATCCCAGAGCCCCGCCCCTCTCCTAAGGGTCCGCATCGCATTCCGAGACACCTCGGCCCCAGCGATCTCGGACCACCTTCTAACTCCTTCGTGATGTATGCATTTTAGCTATTAGAACAATTTTGTTAAGAGTCTAAATCCGGTCCATCTCTTAACTCTTTTAAGATTCTGCGGTCTTCGTTCTCAGACTTCGTCATCCTGGTCTGCATGACTTTCTGAGATTCTGAGTTTCAATCCCCAGTTCCTACGTTTGGAGGAGACCAGACTCTGCTCCGCAGGGAACGTGCAGTGCCCAGTGGCCTGCCACCCCACGTCCATGACCAAGCCCTGCGAGTGATCGGCCTGCCTTCAGGTCCACCCCGGGGAACGACCATCAGGGACCTGTTTATCTGCACAGCAAGGTTGGGCACTGCCCACTCCAGGCTGGGGAGGATGAGTGTGGCTCTTCCCATCTAGGCTGGACGTCGGGGGAGGGGATGGATGAGGAATGGACGTCAGGGAGCAGATAGGGAAGAGCTCATCTTCTAGGAGGGATGGAAGAGAGGTGGCCATTGGGGAGGAAGTGAAGGAAGGTTAGTCATTGGGGAGCGGAAGGATAAGAGCTGGTCGTTAAGGAGAGGTGGGGGAGGGCTGGTTATAAATTATTCCCCATCCCTGCAGACAGCTGGGGCAACCGGAGGGATCTGAGCCAGCTCTGCAGGCTAGGCCAGCTCCCCAGACAGCCCGCGCCTCTGTCGGCAGAGACCTGTGAGCTCTGCCCCTCCCCTGAGGAGGAGGTATATGTCTTCTTCAACTGTATCTCCACCCTGGCCCCTTTCTGCCCAGCTCTTTCTACTGTCCTAGGCCCTGAATAAATGTTTGTTAGATGTGTGGTGGTATGTGATTAACACTGTGCCAAGTACTGTGTTATGGGCTTTACAAATATGGAAATCACTGGCTCCAAATAGAACCAGGTGTTGGGAACATTATATTACTCACACTTTACAGATGAGGAAACTGAGGCTCAGAGAGGTGAACCAAGGGGACATGGCTGGTGGGTGGCCGAGCTGGGATTCAAAAACAGTTAAACAAACAAACAAAATCACCCCAGAGTCCATGCTGTTAACCATAAGCTTCTGTGTATGAGTGCATCCTGACCCACTGATGTTCTGTATCAAGTGCTGACATTTTCTGATACCGGGCAGGCAGTGAGTTCAGGACAGTGTGTGCTCGGTGTGTGTTAAGTTATTAAAGCACCAAGGAGTTGGGCAAACTCCACGGGATCAGGACTTGACAGAGCAAAGGTTCCAGACTGGTTTGGACCACAGTCCAGCTGTATAACCAGATAGCTGAACTTGATGAGCATCAATTTTGTTACTATAAAGAGGGCTGTGGTGAGAATCAAATGGGGTCATAATAACTTGGAGAGTGGCAAATTACCTGAGAATTGCTTTTGAATTTTTATTTGTTAGTAGTTCAGAAACCTCTTTGGTTATGATGTAGCTGAGTTCCCCAGGATCAAGGACAGAGCTGGCTAAAGCCATGCTGCATTTGGTGGTTTGCTGATGCCACTCTGATAGTGTTTCGGGGGTTAGAAGTGATTCATCAGCCGAGGCTGTGAGAGTCCTCAAAGAGCCTCCTTGGAGAGGACCCGAGGAAACGTCTCCAGATCAACCCCCTTGTCTAATGTGGAGGAGAGATGGGGGCCCTGAACAGAGAATGGGTATGTCAGGGGCTCACAGTGGGTCAGGGGCAAATGTGGGCTCAAAGCCAAGTCACCTGGCTTGCTGTTATGCTTTTCCACATCCTGCTGCTGCTTGTTTGGCCAACAAAGAACAAATGGTATTGAGCACCTGCCGTGCCAGGCTCGGGGCACAGATGGATGGTCAAGATGGACATGGCCCTGCCCTCAAGGAGCATATAGTCCAGCAGATGAGCTCCGTGCTCTTGTTACTATGCTGCTGTCCAGGGTGTTGGGGGAGCGGTGACAGATGCCCCAGGCCCTCACCCCTCTCCTCCGCCCTAGTGTGGTGAAGATCGCTCTAGGAAAAAGGAAGGATGCCACTCTTCTTCCGGAAGCGGAAACCCAGTGAGGAGGCTCGGAAACGCCTGGAGTACCAGATGTGTCTGGTGAGGGAAATGGGTTTCCTCCGAGTCTATGCCCATCTCTACCTCCGCCCCAGGCAGCAGGGCTCCACGCTGCACTTCCCCTCTGCAGACTGACCACGCTTGGTGTGACTTGTTCACACTCTTCCCTGCTGGACCTTGAGCCAACTTAAAGCCAGGATCATTGGTGCACCTTCAGAATGGACTAGTTGAACCAGGAGGGTGTCTGCAATTCTTTGAAGCCATTAATCCAATGTTTCTTTGCCTGATTTGTCCACCCTGGAAGGATGTTTTGCTCGAACCCTTTTCCTTTTCTTTCTTCTTTTTAAAACTATTTATTTGCCTGCACTGGGTTTCAGTTGTGGCACGCTGGCTCTTTTAGTTGTGGCATGTGGGATTTGGTTCCCTGACAAGGGATTGAACCCTGGCCCCCTGAATTGGGAGTGTGGAGTCTTAACCACTGAAAGTCCTAGAAACTGCCTCCCCAGCCCCCCCCCCAGCTTTTTTTTAATTCTTTTTATCCCTAGGCAAAAGAAGCTGGAGCAGATGACATTCTTGATATCTCTAAATGTGAGCTCTCCGAGGTAAAGTGGGGTGGTTGGTGTTCTGCTTGTGAAGTTTTATCTGCTCTCTTTCTTGGCTCTGCTGTCCCTGGGAAATGATAGATGTGGACTGAGACTTTAAGAGGCCAGAAGCTCTAGTCAGGAGATGTTTCCTTAGCTTTTGTTCTTGTGAAAGAAAACAGAGATGATCTTTTGGCCTCAGCATGGTCTTCAAGAGTCATAGAGTCCAAAAAATGTGCCCACAGATTCCTGAGGCCTTGGGAGAGCCTGGGATTCTCTGTAGGACATCAGAGATCTTTTTTTTGCCCCTCGGAGTTCATGATGGGGATGGGGTGGGTAATTGGGGAAGTCACCCGATGGCTGATTGGGCTGACCACCCATTGCAGCTTCCTCCAAGCCTTCCTAGGGCTTAGACTTACTTCCTGCCCCTTCTTCCTGCCACTCAGAAAACAGGTTGAAAACTAGCAGGAAGGGAGGCACTGATTCTTCTTTATCTCATCTTAGATTCCATTTGGGGCTTTTGCAACATGCAAAGTTCTGCAGAAGAAGGTGAGACGGATCTACGTTTTCAGAAAATTATTCATGGCATGGTTGCTTGTTTGAAGTCAGGTGGGGATCCTGGCGTAGACATCCCTCTTCTCTCTGAATGGCACCCTTTCCACCTGCAGCAGGTGTCCTCACAGGGGAGCAGGCTCTTGCATCAGGCAGCTCTGGCTGGGCCCCTCCTGAATCGGGCAACTTCCTTACACTCTTACATCTCAGTTTCTCCATCTGTGAAAGGAAGACATCCATCGTTCTCCTCTTGCAGAGCTATTGTGAGAATTAAATGAGTGGCAGGGAGGTAGAGATAGAGATGTCAATGGCCTGAGTAGAGTGCCTGCCACATAGTGGACCCTGAATAACCACATGGTTATTAATAGTAAAAATCACACTCATTTCATTCTAGTCAACTAGGGGAGGTTAAGAGTGGAATGAATGATTTTTCAGAAAGACCTTGCAGCCTTGAATGCAGGGAGGTAAGAGTATTCTAAATGAAGTGTCCAAGAGCAGGTAGGTAAAATGTGTTCTATGCCCACAGAGGCGTGAGCTTGACACTGGGAGTGTCCACGCAGGGGTCAGCGCCTAACAAAAGTAGTAGCATGTGACTCTGAGCGTCTTGCCGTGTCCCAGCCCTGGGCTGAGTGCTTTCTGCCTGTTAGCTTGTTAGCATCCCTCAGCGGCAGGAACTTATCATTCTGTTTTCCACAAGGGGCTTCCCTGGTGAGTCAGTGGTAGAGAATCCACCTGCCAGTGCAAGGTTCAGTCCCTAGGTCAAGAAGGTCCCCTGGAGAAGGAAATGGCAACCCACTCCAGTATTTTTTCCCGGAGAATCCTATGGACACGAGATGCCTGGTGGGCTACAGTCCATGGGGTCACAAAGAGTCAGACACGACTGAGGGACTAGACAGCAACGACGACATTTTCCACAAGATGCTGCTGAAGCTGAGGGACGTTAAGGTCGCGACAGCTGCACGGGGATCCCTTCTCAGGATGGAAGGAAGAGTTAGACCTCTGAGGTCCCTTTCAGTCTTGAGATTCCAGAGTTTAAGGTCATCTGGTTTTCCCATGTCTGGAGACGTCGCTTGTGATGTCTACGGGAGAGAGCTCTGGGCCGGGCTGACCGCTGGTTGTGCTGTGATGGCTGCCCCACCTCCAGCCTCTCTCCCTGCAGCTCTCCTTCAGCCTAACACGCCGAAACTCTTTCCCACACAGGTGTTGATCGTCCACACGAATCTGCTCACCTCCCTGCTCCCTAAATCCTGCAGCCTCCTGAGCCTCACCACCATCAAGGTACCAGGGCCCTGCTCCCAGGAGGCAGCCAGCACGCCCTTCCCTTCACGTCTCAGCTGTCAGAGTGTATGCCAGATGCGCCTCACGTCATCAGGACTCTGGGTGTGATCGGGCTTGTGTGCGGTGAGGTTGCAAAGAGAACCAGCCACAAGCCCCGCCCTCAGGGAGCTTACCCGCTAGGTGGAAAGGCAAACCATAAACTCATAACAAGCAGACTGACAGAGAACCAGGGGATGGATGGGCCCAAACAGGAAGCAAGAGGAGGGATGCCAGGCATCGTGTGGTCAGTGCGTGGAAGCGTGGTGAGCTGGGTGACCCCCTCCTGACAGTCAGCTCCCCCAGGACAGAGGCTGGGACGTGGTCCTCCCAGGCTGTTCCCCATAAACTTGAGCTGTGACCGAGGCTATGTGGAATATTCATCTGCCACATTATTTTTAACGTGCATGCCTTCCCATCATATCTCTATCTCTGTGTAGAGACTGGCCGCGGAGGCATCAAAGTGATTTTTGTGGCTAATGCTGGTGTGTAGGGATTAGGGGTAGTTCTTACTTCTCTTTATTGTTCTGGTCCAACACACATTATTTTTATAAGCGGAAGAAAGAACATTAAAAAGCTTTCATATTTATGTATATTTCATATATATGCATTTTATATGTATACATATATATATATCCTACTCCATTTTGCTCATTTTCATTGTTAAAAATATTACCAAATACAGTTAAGCATAAGGAAAGAAAGAGAAGTCGCTCAGTCGTGTCCGACTCTTTGTGACCCCATGGATTGTAGCCCACCAGGCTCCTGCGTCCATGGGATTTTTCAGGCAAGAGTACTGGGATTTTTCAGGCCATTTCCTTCTACAAGTTAAGCATAAGGAAAAACATAATTTCATACTCTAGAGAACTGCTATCAATATTTTATTGCATATTTGGTAGTCTTTTACTATGCAAATATATATCTAGACCATGAGGAGTTTTCAACATGAATATGTACGCATACTGAATAAATAAGAATGAAATGGTATAATACTTAAAATAAAAAAGACGGAGTGGTCGTTTAGTTGGGGAGGAAGGGGTGGGTGCTCTTGCTTTGAACACCAGAGGCACAAGGGCACCCCACCACCACCACAGCCTGTCTCCCTGGTGCCTGAAATCACGTGGGCTTTCTCAGTCGGGGACTTCAGGTGCTCCACTCGTTTCCCTTCCGCAGGTTCTGGATCTTCATGATAACCAGCTGACAGCTCTTCCTGAAGACACAGGGCAGCTGACGGCCCTGCAGGTATGGCTGCAGGAGACACAGCCCACCTCTGACCCCCTAAGTAAGAAACTGAAGCCGCACAGAGCTAGAATGTTCTGGTCGTTCTCTGGCCCGGGCTGCCCTAGGTGCCGCCAGCTCCTCCGCCTTTACTATTAAGATGCCCAGGGGTGGTGTCAGCATTGCAGTCTGGGCTGTGGGCATCTCTCCACAGAACTTTTAGCATGTGTGTTTGGGATTGCATCACTAGCTTCCACAACTTTACAGAAAAAGAGCACCCAGCGATCCCACCATTTCCAAATGATGAAGTCAGCTCTCCGACTCGGCGTCCCACTTCTGCTTCTTGTCAGTGGCAGCCCCTTGGATTTATCAAGTGCCCGCTGCATGCCAGCATCAAGCTAAGAGTTTCACTTGCGTTGTCAACCGATTGCTCACAGCCCCTCTGTGAGCACATGTCAGCATCATCCCCAGTTCACAGAGGAGGACACGCCATCCTTTCTTACATATGTGTTTTTGTAGAATTGGTGCATTCACTGTTCTGTAACTTTTGGATACCTGATAAGAATCACTTACAGCCATCCTTTGGTTCATTGAATATTCATCTGCACATTATTTTTAACGTGCATGCCTTCCCATCATATCTGTTTATTTTTAATGGTTACTTCATGTGTCATCCTGTCAGCCTCATTCACTTCATGATGCCGCCGATCAGCCCAGGTTTCAATCCCAGCTCCACCAGCTGCTGGCCCCGCAGCCTCAGGCGGGTCCCCCTGCCTGGATGCAGCTCTGCTTCCTTCTGTTCACTCGGGGATAACAAGGCTTCATCACGTGCCCCTCACCTGTATCCCCTTATTATCAGGTGTTTGTGGGCAGCATAAATGGTACAGCCTCAGCAAGAACCAGGCTCAAAGTCTAGCATTGCCTTCTGGACACAGGCCTTCACCACTCCGAGCCTCAGGCTTCTCATCTCTCAGACGGGGTCATGACAGTTGGTGTCTTCCTCACAGGGCTGTCAGGAGATAAAGGTGTGGGCGAGGCGCCTGGGTGATGCCTGGCCAGAGTGGGGTAGGCATCATTTTGTCTGTGCGTGTGCCTTCTCATGCCATTCTCCCTCTTTCTTAGGTCTTGAACGTGGAAAGGAATCAACTGACCTATCTCCCACGTTCCATTGGGAACCTGATCCAGCTCCAGACCCTCAATGTGAAAGGTAGGGGGCCGGGAAGCTCTGTCCACATGACCCTCGGTCTGCTCTGAGCTGACCCAGCTCGTGTCCCCAGGGTGCTCGTCCTGGGACCCATTGAGCACGAAGGCAGCCAGCCCCCAGGTGTCACTCAAACCGTCGGACCTCCTCTGTGGTCGGTGTGTCTCCATGGTAACCGGAGACAGGGCATCTGAAGGGTTCCTGCAGCTCCTCCCAGCTGGGGCCTTACAGGCAGGAGGGCAGACAGTGTTGACAGCTAGGCCCCCAAGACTCTCTCACTCGTGTTTAGAACCGTGGGCGATGGATGGTGAGAATGTGGACTGACTGAGAGCCATTCTGAGTACCCCTTCCCACCCAGTGAGGAGCGCTTCCACACTTGGGGGTGCCACAAGTGTGTGAGAGAGAGGAAGGAGGTCTTATTCCCAATTTACAGATGAGGAAAATGAGGCTCAGAGAGCCGTGACTTGCTCAAGACCAGCCAGTGCGGTAGTGACTGAGCCAAAATTCTAACACATGCCTCCCTGTACCCCTAGCTCTCTCCTCTTTTCCTTCAGTTCTTTCTGCACAGGATGCTGTAGTTTACCCATTTGTAACATATAAATAATCATAAACATAATAGCACCCAATTTACTAATCACTTACTGTGATAGGTACATTATGTGATAGGCCCTGTGCTGAGCACCTTTTCATATGCATCATCTCTTTGAATCCCTCAGTATTCCTTTAAGGCCAAATAGTGTGGGCACCCCCATTTTACTGATGCAGAAACTGGTCCAGGGAGGTCAAGTCAGTTTTCCAAAGTCACTCAGCTCATAAGTGGTGGAGCGGGGACTTGAACCTGGGTCGTTGAAACTCCACTGCTCTTTCTCATGGAGCTGGGGTATGCCCCAGGCTCAGAGGGGGGCACCCACTTCTGCCCAGTCCTGGCGGGTGTCAGACCAGCAGCTGGGGAAGGGGCCTTGGGGTGCTGAGCTGTGCCATTGGGACCCCTCCAGACAACAGGCTGAAGGAGCTGCCGGACACGCTGGGAGAGCTCCGGAGCCTGCGCACTCTGGACATCAGTGAGAATGAGATTCAGAGGCTGCCCCGGATGCTGGCGCACGTCCGAACCCTGGAGGTAGGTGAGCCATGTTCTCGCCTGGGGGCCTGCCTGGCCTGCCCGCCCCTCCCCTCCCACGTTCCTGGAGGCCTGCCCTGGTCACAGGATAACAGGTCATGGAGATCTCAAGGTCCTCAGGGGTTCACAGAGGGAACTGAGTGTGAATGACTGTAATTAGGTGACTTGTCATAATGGAGGCAGCAAAGCATATTCCTAGTAGAGTTAAAAGCTAATGCTGAATCCTGATGGGTTCATTAACACTGTGAAAGACACGGTGTTTGAGCCAGACCTTGAAAGAGGAGAAAGCTTTGGAGAAGTTGACCGGGGTCATGGGAGCATTCGGTGGAGGAACAGTTCGGCAAAGGCAGGAGGTGGGAAAGCCCAGGGCGTGTTGTGGGAGGAGCAGGGGAGCCAATGTGGTTGGGTCTGGAGGGCGCTTGCAGAGAGGGAGCAGCCTTGGCTCTGAGCTGCAGAAATCGTGATTCCTCAGAGCTGGGGGCAGAGGGCAAGGCGGTCACCTGGGACACTGTGTTGTCTCCCGGGGCTGTTCTAACGAAGCACCCCAGGCTGGGACCTTAAGACTTCTGGAGGCCAGAAGTCCGAGATCAAGGTCTCGGAGGGGTTGGTTCTTCTAAGGCCTCTCTCTCCTTGGCTTCTGGACTGCTGTCTTCTCCCTGCGTCCTCCTATCCTCCTCCCTTGGAATGCGTCTGAGTCCTGATTTCCTCATCTTTTAAGGACACCAGTTCATGCTGGACTAGGGCCCATACTGGTGACTTTGTTTTGAACTTGATTATCTCTTTAAAGATCTTACGTCTTGATTGTGTTGAGCGGTGAAGTGAACGACATATAAAGATGGGTCTCCTGTGTCTGCAGACCCTGAGCCTCGACGTGTTGTCCATGGTCTACCCCCCGCAGGAGGTGTGCAGCACGGGCACTGAGGCCATTCAGCAGTTCCTCTGCAAAGGTAAATAAAGCCAGGCAGCCCGCCTCCTTCACTGAGCGAGCACAAACCATGGCCCCTGGGACTACTCTGTGCCAACGAGGCAGTGGAGGCTCCCTGCTTGCCCAAAGCTCTGCAGATCTGGCAGGAGAAACAGGGAAAGATGATTGTCACGTGAGGAAGTATGATGGCTCAGATGGTAAAGAATCTGCTTGCGATGCAGGAGACCTGGGTTTGATCCCTGGGTTGCGAAGATCCCCTAGAGGAGGGCATGGCAACCCACTCCAGTGTTCTTGCCTGAAAAATCGCATGGACAGAGGAGCCTGGTGGGCTACAGTCCATGGAGTTGCAAAGAGTCGGACACGACTGAGCAACTAAGCACAGCACAGCAGGTGTAAATGTGTATGTGAACTATTTGGTTTTGCTATCTTAAAAACATAAAAGAAAAAAACCCACAGAAGATGTTGTACCAGGTGATTCTATGCCCTGCCTTTTTCACTTAATAGGTCCCGGGCCTTTTCCTGTCCCATAACGTGTGGCTCTGTCTGTTGTAAACTGCTGTAGAGTATTTCTAGTGGAACAACTGAAAGTTATTTCCCATTTGCTCTTGGAATGAACGTTTTACCCCACACGTCTCTGGCACAGTGGGCAGGCAGGAATTCTTGCCTTTACTCCAGTATTCTTCTCCAGGCAAGAATACTGGAGCAGGATGCCACGTCCTCCAGGGGATCTTCCCTGGGCTTGAATCCAGGTCTCCGGTAGGGCAGCGGGGTTGGTAGGTGAACAGGGACAAGCACTCTGTATTGCCTCTGAAGAGGTTACATAGGTTTACATTCCTTGAGGAATGTAAATCTGAGAGGACTCTTCTTCCCCACAGCCTGGCTAACGCTTGGTGAGATAAAAGTCTTCTAACCTGATGGGTTATTAAAAAGCAGAGACATTACTTTGCCAACAAAGGTCTTGTCTAGTCAAAGCTATGGTTTTTCCAGTAGTCATGTATGGATGTGAGAGTTGGACTATAAAGAAAGCTTGAGTGCTGAAGAATTGATGCTTTTGAACTGTGGTGTTGGAGAAGACTCTTGAGAGTCCCTTGGACTGCAAGGAAATCCAACCAGTCCATCCTAAACGAGATCAGTCCTTAGTGTTCATTGGCAGGACTGATGCTAAAGCTGAAGCTCCAATACTTTGGCCACCTGATGCAAAGAGCTGACTCATTGGAAAAGAGCCTGATGCTGGGAAAGATTGAAGGCAGGAGAAGGGGACAACAGAGGATGAGATGGTTGGATGGCATCACCAACTTGATGGACATGAATTTGAAGAAGCTCCGGGAGTTGGTGATAGACAGGGAGGCCTGGCGTGTTGCAGTCCATGGGGTCACAAAGAGTTGGGACACTCTTTGTGATTGAACTCAGATCACACTCTGAGTGATTGAACTGAACTGAACTGAACTGAACCTGATGGGTAAACAAGAGGAAGAGGATGACAGAGGATGAGATGGTTGGATGGCATCACTGACTCAGTGGACATGAGTTTGAGCAAGCTCCGGGAGATGGTGAAGGACAGGGAAGCCTGGCATGCTACAGTCCATGGGGTCGCAAAGCATTGGACACAACCAAGCACACTCACAAACAACAAAAAAAGATAAATTACCAGCTGGAAGAAGATAGCTGCAACATATGTTATAGATCCAAGGTTATTAACTGTAATGTGTAAAGAGTACTTATAAGTCAGCAAGAATAGGACAAAATGGGGAAAATGTATGAATCCTTTCAAGTATACAGGAGGAAGCTTCCCAGGAAATTGTGGGTAAAGCTGGGTCTTGAACCCAGGCTTCTCTACGAAGTGCAGGCATTTTTCATCTCCGCATTCTCACGTGGATGGTAAAGAAGCAGGAGGCGGGAAGATTTATTCACTCAGCTGACGCTTATTGAGAGCTTGCCACATTTAAGGCCCAGGCGTTAGGCCTGTGAGCAGCACAGGAGGGCTCAGCATCAGAGGGGAGCAGTGGACTGCTTTGGGTTGCAAGGCGGTCTCCTTCCCTGTCGGTCAGCCTGTGTCCGTCTCTCGCAGAGTCAGGGCTGGAGTACTACCCCCCATCTCAGTACCTGCTGCCAGTCCTGGAGCAGGATGGAGCTGAGAACTCCCTGGACAGCCCCGACGGGCCCACGGACAGGCTCTGCAGGGAGGAGGAGGAGTGGCAGGTAAGGCACGCCGCCTGCTGGCATGTGGGGTGGGCGGCGGGAAGGGCTCTGCACACGCAGGGGCGTTCAGAGCTTTGGCCCCCAGATTCCTCCATCAAACTAGAATTTACCTCTCTTCAAACAGACATACTGGGAGTTTTCTCATGGTCTTGTTGTTTAGTCGCTAAGTCATGTCCGACTCTTTGCAACTCCATGGACTGTAACCCACCAGGCTCTTCTGTCCATGCGATTTTTCAGGCAAGAACACTGGAATTGGTTGCCATTTCCTTCTCCAAGGAATCTTCCCGACCCAGGAATCAAACCCTTGTCTCCCTGCATTAGCAGGCGGATTCTTTACCTAGTGGCCTCGTGGTTAAGATTTCAGGCTTTCAGTGCCGTGACCCAGGTTCCATCCCTGGTTGGGAAGCTGCAATCCCAGAAGCCAAGCGACTCAGTTAAGCACTTGTACATGTAGAAGTTTTCACAAGGCCTCCTAGGCGGCCTCACCCCACTAGCTCACCAGCACCAGCTTTGTCCCACTCCTCTCTGTCCTTGAACGTCTGGGGTGTTTGAATAGGGGGTTCCCTCTGCTGGATTCTCCCCGCTTGTTTTCTCCAGTCTCATCCTTCAGCTCCCAGCTGAAATAGCACATTTTCTGAGAAGCTTTCCCCGACGCAACAGCCCAGGTCAGGTCTATGGAAGTTCTCAGAGCACCCTGTGCATTTGCTGGGAGAACCTATGTTGCTGAACTTGGGTTCAGCTGCTCATCGCTCAGGAATCCAACACTGAAAGACAAGTGTTGGGTGAAAAGAAAGATAGGTTTACTGGGGAAGCTAGTTATCCTGGGGAGAAGCTGGATGCACTTCCCCAGGAACCAGCTTCCCACTGTGGGTCAGGGGGCAAAGGGTTTTAAAAGGGGAGGTTTTTCAAGGGTGTGGAGGCAGAGGAGGGGGCTGCGTGCAGAGCATCATCTTGAAGTTGGTTGTGCAAACCTGATCAGCACCATGTTGATCGTTTTGGGCACAGTTCATCTGTAACTGCAGAGTCGGTTTGTTCCCATTTCTTTGAGGCCAGTTCTGGGAATTGTGTGAGATGGAGCAGTTCATGTCATGGCTGAGTCTGGTCATCATGTAGCTCATTTTTCCCACCTGGTGGGGGTTTCAGTGTCTGCAAAACAGCTGAGTAATATGACGCAGAACATTATCTGTAGCCTTTGAGGAGGAACTAAAGGTTCTTGCCTTTGTTTAATGGCTAAACAGTTATTTTGTCTTGCTTGACTATTTTGCTTCTGTGTTTCCTCATTTCTCTTAAGTTACTTCTTTGGCTAAAATCTCTACAGACAAGAGGCAAGTGGAGGATGTTGTGAAGGGGGAGGGGATCTGTCCTGGGAAGGCCCCACAGGGCCCTACTCCATTACAGCCACAGCTGTAATTACATGAAGAATTACTCAAGAGAGGATTTGCTTCCTGTCTGTCTCCCTGCTTGATGGAGCTCGAGGGGAGTGGACCCCCCGGGTCCCTGGGGGAGACCTAGCATAGGTCAGGGCTGCAGGAGGAAGCTCAGTGAGGGTTGCCCACAGTGACCAGGGTGCCTCTGTCGGTGAGGCCAGACAGAAACTGCCTCTGCACCCCACCCCCTACCCGTATGCTCCTCCACAGGAGCCCACAAATCGAGGCGCCTGGGAGGGGGCACCACCTGTAGCCAGCTAGGCTTCACATCTGATTGTGGTGATGGTCACATGACTGTATGCAGTCGTCAAAACTCATAGACATGTACACGTCTTTAAAAAGATAAATTTTACAGTACATAAATTATACCTTCATTAAAAAATATGTTTATATATGCAAACACATACAAATGTATATTTTTTTTTCTAAAGGCACAAATTGTAGGTAGGTAGATGCATGGACTTAGGTCTAGTAATGATATTTACATGGGAGCAGGGCTAGGGAGGGTGGGAGGGAACAAGGATTAGGCCTGGGAGTAGTCAGTGGATACTTTTATATGCCTTGCTTAGTTTTTTACAAGGAGAATATATTCAGGTATTATCTATAAACTAAAGATAAGCTCAAATTTTACTCGTACTTCGGCATAGGGAAAATCTTATTTCTTTATAGGATGCTGGTTTTACAGCTCTAACACTTGATCCTGATCTCAGAACCAGATAACTAAATAGAAAGGCTGGTTTAAAAAAAAAAAAAAGTGTGTGTGTGCACATGCATGCTCTGATGTTGAACTACAAAAGTAATTCATGCTCCTTGTTATAAATCTAAACAATACAGAAATAAATGGAGTGAGCATCTCCCCTCCTGTCCTGCAGTCCCAGCCCCTGGAGGCAGTCACCATGAACTGATGAATAAATCTCCTTCGTGGCTTTTGCTCAGCCACCCCAGAGCTGGGAGTTGAGTTTTGGTGGTGGTGCTTTTACAAGAGAGGAATCATGCTGTACAGACAGTGAAAGATGGCAGACATCTTTCTGTAGCTGCGCCCATGATTGCCCCATCATTCAGTAGCTCTGTAATAATCCACTGTGTGAATGAATCTTGACTTAGAAATCGCATGCTGATGGGCATTTGAGTTATTTCCAGTGTTTTCACTCTTTTGAACAATTCTGCAGGAACTTGCACACACACACACCTTGGTGCATTTGTAGTTGTTTTGGGGGCTGGAGCTGGGAGCTTGCAGGTGTGCCGTGCAGACGTACAAGGGGTCAAACACTCATTTCTTGGTCTCTTTTTTGGAACACCCATGCCTTCTCAGAGCTGCATCACCAGAACTTAAGACTTGAAGCTCTTAAACCAAGCCCTGTGGTTCTCAACCCTGGTGTCCATCAGAACCATCCAGAACCCTTTATCAAACAGCCAACCCCTTCATCCCCCACCCCCTACCCAGCCCTCCAAGGCAGTCCCTCTGGATGAACCTGCAAGTTTGAGGGCTGTCAGGCTGCCTGGGGATTCTGGGCCAGTGAGAACCCCTGCTGCCCACCTTCTGTTAACCACTATCTTTTCTTTTTTTTGCCTCCCAGAATAGGTTCTCAGACTATGAGAAGAGGAAGGTAAGAAGATGTCTTTTGTCCTCTGTCACTTTTCTTCTCATTAAACATCTCTTCTGTTATATTTGAGGAGACAAGTTCTTCCAACCTCTAAATCAGAGGGTAAAGTAACGGTTGCCCCATATGTATATCACGTCTCCACAGTCTCACCCAGCCTGGGTGGGTGGGAGGACGTCCCCAATTTACAGATGAGAAGACCGAGGCTTGGAGAGATTGAGCCCATCCCTTGCAGCTCTCACGTGCTAACCCCCCAGAGCCTGTGCCAGCATCACCAGGGTCTCCGTTCTTGCAGGAACAGAAGATGCTGGAGAAACTCGAGTTTGAACGGCGCCTGGAGCTCGGGCAGCGAGAGCACGCCCAGCTCCTCCAGCAGAGCAACAGCCAGAAGGATGAGATCCTTCAGACGGTCAAAGAGGTTCGTGAGCGGCTAAGTGGGGTCAGGCCTGTGTGTTCCCTCTGCCGGGGGCCTCCTGACTCAGGCTGTGGTCCCTCTGATGTGGGAAGGCAGTGGGGGTGACCTCTCTCAGGCCCACCCTCCAGGACACAGGGTTGGGGAGGAGTCGTCGGTACAGATCAGCTAGTCCAGGCTCTTCCCATTTGTGGACACCCTCAGGCCTAGCAAGGGGAGGACTTGGTCCAAAGACAACAGACAGCTGGCAAGGCAGAGGAAACCTGGTCTCCTCATCTCAGGCCTGGGCCCCTGGCTGCTCTGCGGTGCCTGGAGGGGTCCCAGCAGACCCCAGACCTCTGCTTGTCCTGCTGCAGGAGCAGTCCCGGCTGGAGCAGGGCCTGAGTGAGCACCAGCGCTTCCTGGACGCAGAGCGTCGGCGGCTGCAGGAGCAACTGAAGCAGACAGAGCAGAGCATTTCCAGCCGGATCCAGAAGCTCCTGCAGGAGAACCAGAGGTCAGGCTTCCGCCTCCCCCGTCCTCAGACCCAGAAACCTCATCCAGAAGCTCCTGCAGGAGAACCAGAGGTCAGGCTCCGGCCTCCCTCAGCGTGATGCCCACATGGGGCTCAGTCTCTCTCTTACCATCTCTGATTCTACCCAAGGTCTCGGTGCTACATTTGGCACTGACTTTAAGAGAATCTGGTTTCCCCGATGACTTAGCGGGTAAAGAATCCACCTGTAGTGCCAGAGACACGGGAGACGCGGGTTTGATCCCTGGGTTGGGAAGATCCCCTGGGGGAGGAAATGGTAACCCACTCCAGTGTTCTTGCCTGGAGGATTCCATAGACAGTGGACCCTGATGGGCTGCAGTCCATGGGTCACAAAGAGCTGGACAGGACTGAGCAGCTAACACACTTAGAATCTGATCCAGGGATGACAAGGTTTGCCTCTTGGGGGCTGCTACGGATTGGATCTTTGCCTCCCAAGTTTTCCATCTGTAAAGTGAGTGGATTTAACAAGTTAAAATCACATCCTGCTCTAATATTTTGGCTTTCTAGTCACTTGTCACTCTGAGGTCAGCCATTTGCCTTATGGTGAGATTTACCGTAACAGATTCCGTCCAAGGCAAGAGCCACAGGGAGCAAGCTCCGATGGGAGAAACCAGGCCGGATAGAGGTCTCAAGAAGCCTGAGAAAGTTTAACTGGGGGTCTCTTGGGGAAAGATTCCAGAAACAGGCTCTGCCACACGCCCTGCTGCTTCCAGCCTTCTGTCCACTGTCCTCCAAGTCCTCCTCCCTCGCCTGCAGTTGAGTGCCAGAGGGAGCTGGTTGGCCTGCCACGTGCAGTGTGCCCACCCCCGGCGGCACCCAGGAAACTGCCCTCTGTCGGCTGCCGCTTAGGTGTGAAGCACTTTATGTCTGTTTTCTCGTTCACACTTTACCAATACTCCATGAAGCTTTATAAAAATATTCTTGCCATTTCACAGATGAGGAGCTGGGATTCAGAGTGGTTGAGGAATTGGCCTGAGAACACAGAGCCCCTAAGTGGCCGGTTCGCAAGCCCCGCCTCAGCAGTTCTGTTGGAAACAGACCCACCAATGACTGCCGGCTTTTCATGGTTTCCTTCACAGGCAAAAGAAAAGTTCCGAGATTCTGAAGTCTCTGGAAAACGAAAGGTCAGTGTTTTGCTCTAGCACATTCTCAATGACTGCCTGCCTTCCTGCAGGTGAGCAGACCTGGGGAGAGAAGGTCTCATGATTCTCGAGGGTTATGTCAGAAAGATCTCCTAGAGCTGTGAGGAGATTCAGGCTTCCTTGGTGGCCCAGATGGTAAAGAATCTGCCTGCAATGCGAAGACCCACAGGTTTGATCCCTGGGTCAGGAAGATCCCCTGGAGAAGGGCATGGCAACTTCCTTCAGTACTCTTGCCTGGAGGGTCCCATGAACAGAGGAGCCTGAGGGGCTGCAGCCCCTGGGGTCACAGAGAGTCGGCCCAGCTGGTGACTAACACTTCCGCTTTATCATGAGGAGAGTCACCCCCTTACGGAGTTTGAATTAAAAAGAATCGCTGCCTTCAAGTTTGTTAAAACATACTGTCCTGAGAAAAGTTCAGACATGAATAAGAATGTATGTGTATTTATGTCCAATTGTATTTCTAGTGTAAATAGAAAAGAAATTTCTGGAAAGAAAAATTTGTTTACATGAATTATGTACAGAGGAGTAATCTGTAAGCATTAAATGTCTTATAGAAGAATATTCCTTGTTAAGGAAAACACTATATTGCTAGGTGGAAAAGTGGTATCTACAGTGTATCATTTCTTAAAGACAACCTACTTGTATCTATGCTCAGAAAGTAGAAGGACCCACCCCGAATGTTTACACTGAACATCTTTGAGTGGTGGGAATTGGAGGTGGTGATCTTTGTTTCATTCCCTTTGTGTTTTCTGCACTTTCCAAATTGGCTGTGTTAAGGTGCCCCCCTTAGTCATTAGAAAAGGTGATAGGTGGGGTAGCCTCACCCCCCACTCCCTGGGGGTGTTCGCGTGAGTCCCTCCTGGTTCTCAGGGACCCCCGGGTGTCAGTGTGGACCTGGCTGCTGCCCTTGGGGAGCCTCCCTTCCCATGGGCCCAGCCTTCCTGGCTCCTGACTGCCTGGGCAGGCCTCCGACGGGGGCTCACGTGGGGTTGCAGGGTTAGCCCCAGCACCCTGCCCGTTTCAGCTGGGGGCTGTGGCAGCTGGGGGTGGTCAAGGCTGAACCAAGCTGTGGCTGGCTGCATCGACTCTTCAGCACACCGAGCCAGTGCCCTCTGGGCTGGGCCTGGGCTCCAGGGATGCAGCAGGGGCGGTCTTCCCTTGCACGGCCTGTGGGCCTGGGCTGAGTGCTCGGGTGATTCATGCTGCTTCTGATGCAGTCAGACCCTGCAGGAAACGTGAAGGAGGTTGTCCGCCCCTCAACCACTGCGCCAGTCTGGTGTGTGTGTATGGGAGGTGGGGAATAGGTGTACACACAAGCAACGTGCACACATGTGCAGTTACTTTTTTATTTTCACTTCACTGATGTATTTCCATGCCAAAAACCTCATTATTTGTAATAACTATATCTATATAATTATATCGTAATTTATGTAGTTAGTGCTCTGAACATTTAAGTGGCTTCCGGTGTTTTGTAATTACAAACAATATAACAGTAAACATCTTCTATATATACCCTTAGGGACTTGGGTGAACGTTTATAGAAGGAAATATTGGAAGAACACTTAGCTAGGTATTGCCAGACTGCCTTCCAAAACACGTTTGACTGTTCACATCCCTCAACAGTATATGAAGTACCCATTTCTCCCCCTTCACTGCCATTGCCAGTGATTATCTAGTTTTCTTAAGCTCAGCCAACCCAACATTTGAAAAGAAAGTTTTACTTTTTTCGTCATTAGCGGTATTAAGAATCTTTCCACCTGTTCCTTTTTTTTTTTTAAGGTCACTTTTATTTAAGCATCAGTGAATTGGCTGTTTGCATCCTTGGCCTGTTTTTCTAAAGGAATGTTCATCTTTTTATGCCGCAAGCTCTTAACTGTAAAAGTTAACAGGGCCCCAGGGGAGGTGCGTAATGCCACAGGCATATCAGAGGGCATGTCCAGCTTGGTACATAAGGGAGGACTTCTTGAAGGAGGTGGTGGTCATCTGGTGAGATCTCCTGTTGGAAATGGTACACTTGCTCAGTACGTGGGTCACTTTCTTTCTAGAATAAGAATGGAGCGGTTGATGTCCATAACGCAGGAGGAGGCGGAGAGCCTGCGGCGCCGTGAGATAGCCTGTGAGTCTCGGGGTCGGGCGGGGCCCTGGGAGCAGAGGGGACAGCCGTCCCATCCCCCTGTTGGTCACATTTCGGGAGTGCTGGGGGGTTGCCCCTCAAGATGGTCCATCAAATCCTCCATGTCGTGGAGCATGGGCTCTGGGGTCAGGCTGGACTTGGATTTTAAAAAAATCCCAGCTCAGGCACCATATGACCTAAGGGACATAACTGATCCCTGACTTTTCCGAGCCTCAGTTTTCATATCTATAAAATGGGGAGGAAGGTAATAATCTGCCTCGTTGGGTCATTACGAGGGTCCAATAAGATCATGCTGGCACAGAGTGAGCATTTCATAAACCATGGCTGTCGGGGCTGCTCTCTTTGAGAGCTGCGGTAGCTCCTCTTGTGCTCCTGGGAGCTCGCCTTCCTGCTGCTCCCTGAGGGGTCCCAGGGTGCTTCACTGTCCACACAAATGAGGGCAGTGGACACCACACCGTTCTTCAGAGCCTGAGTGATAGGATGGGATGTTCTGTGCACCTTTAGCCCAAGTTCATCGTGTACCCGGTGGTGGGCCAGCATGTCCCGTACACCATCTCATCCCACTCCTGCCCCGTGAGGGGTCATATCATTAACTTCTGAATTTGAAGGTCACTGTTGTCCACCATTTATAAAGAGAAGCCTTGTGTTTGTATTGCCAGATGGATGTTTATCAAATAGCTGATTGGAAATAGGCTTAGTATTAGGGGGCTTTTGTTTTCACCTTTTCAAACTTCCCTATTGCTTAGCTTTAAAAAAAAAGGCGTGTATTATTTTTATAACTGAAAAACATCAAGAAAAGTAATGAAAAGGTAATAACCCAGAGTGGTGGAGGGTATATGGTGTCAGGCTATCCTGTGTGCTGCCAGAGGGAGTATAAATCAGCTGGATCTTTCTGGCAGGCAGAAAGGGTAACTCGTGTATATATTATTCATGACCTTAAACCTGTGCACTTCTAAGAGTTATTCTAGGAAGTGATCAAATAGTGAGATGTGCACAAAGATATTTGAGCAGGGATCTTTGTAGAAGCACCATTTGATAATCACAAGAAGACTCTGGATGCACTGAAACAAAGGATTATTTTAAAACTTCAGTCATCCATGGGCTTCCCTTGAGGCTCAGCTGGTAAAGAATCCGCCTGCAATGCGGGAGACCTGGGTTTGATCCCTAGGTTGGGGAGATCCCCTGGAGAAGGGAAAGGCTACCCACTCCAGTATTTTGGCCTGGAAAATTCCATGGACTGTATAGTCCACAGGTCACAAAATGTTGGACAGGATCGAGCAACTTTCACTTGCACCTTTCAGTCATTCATGCACCATAGCGCTCTGTAGCTGATAACATGGCCGTGTTGATATAGGGATGCATTCATGAAAGGTGAGAAAGGAGGTATATTTAATGTGATAATCATTTTAATTTTCTTGTATTATGGTGAAATATACAAAGCATAAAACTTAGCATTGTAACCACTTGTAAATGAATAGTTCTGTGGCATTGATAGTTCTGATGGTGCATTATTCACCATCACCATCATCAGAACCTTTTCATCATCCCAAAGTGAAACTGTATGCCTACTAAATAGGAGCTCCCCATTACCCTCTTCCCCAGACCCTATAGAATCACCATTCTACTTTCAGTCTACTTTCTGTCTCTGTGAATTTGACTGCTCTCGGGACCACGTGTAAGTGGAATCATACAGTGTTTGTCCTTTTGTGATTAGCTTCTTTCACATAATGTCCTCAGAGTTCATCTGTGTTGTAGCTTATGTCAGAATTTCCTTCCTTTTTAAGACTGAAATCTTACAATGTATGGGTAGACCACATTTTAAAAAATTTTATTTATGGCCGTGCTGGGTCTTGGTTGCTGCAAGGGCATCTTTCTAGTTGTGGCAAGTAAGGGCTGCTCTTGAGTAGCAGTGCACGGCTTCTCACTGCAGTGACCTCTCTTGTTGCCGAGCACAAGCTCTAGGTGTTGCAGACTCAGTAATTGTGGCACATGGGCTTAGTTGCTTATGACGTGTGGGATCCTCCTGGACCAGAGCTCGAACCTGTGTCCCCTGCTTTGGTAGGTGAATTCTTAACCACTGGACCACCAGGGAAGTCCCTAGATCATGTTTTGTTTATTCATTTGTCTATCAATAGGCACTTGGGCTGTTTCCACCTTTTTTTTTGCCTGATGTGATCAGTGTTGCTATGAACATAGGTATACAAATATTCAGGTCCCTGCTTTTAATTCTTTCATTTAAATTTTTTAAAATCCATCAATATACATTAAAAATTGACCAGAAGAAGATATATCAAAATGTAATATTTCTGGGTGACAAGATTGTAGAAGATTGTGCGTGTGTGTGTTCAGTCTCTTACAACTCATCAGCCTTTTAAACTGAAGTTACTTCTATAATTTAAAAAAAAAAAGATTTTTTTCCAAGGGTGACCATCAGGTGGGTGACCAGGTGACCCCATAGGCCATCAGGAGCGGCTGCTCAGCCCTGCTCCACACTGCTCCCCCCCCCCCGCCCCCAACGTGTTTCTCCAGCCGCCATGCAGCAGATGCTAACCGAAAGCTGTAAGAGCCGGCTCGTCCAGATGGCCTATGAGTCTCAGAGGCAGAACTTGGTCCAGCAGGCCTGCTCCAGGTAAGATGAGGAAGGGGCTTCCTGCGTGAGCAAGTTGGGAGAGCTGGCTCAGAGCTGTGGAGTGAGCGTTGGCATAGGAATCCCCTGCCACGTGTGGGCCACCCCACCCCCGGCCAGGTCCTCAGGAATAAGTGACTGCCTGTCTTTGTGGCTTTTCTCGCCGGACCCTAAGGAAGCACAACCAGCCAGTGGCAGAGCTTAGGGTTTGACCCGGGCAGTGTGCTCTTAATTGTGGCGACTCATTCTCCCAGGTCACAGGTCAGGAGTGGGGTGCCCTTGAGGGTATGGTGAGGGGGTCGTCTCGTGCTGACGGCCACTCTGGGCCTGGCCCTCAAGTTCACCCCAGCGCCATGGTTGTGTCTGGAGGAGCTGCCGTGCCCAGCAGGTGAGCAAAGTGCCTTTGAGGCCCAGGCGCCCCAGACAGGACAGGCCAGCAGCTCTGACCACTGTGGTGTCTCTCCTCCCACTGGGCAGCCCTGGTGCCCCTGGAGCATGCCAGCCCTTCCCCCCCGCCCCCGTGTCCCTGCAGGGTCAGGTGTCAGGTGTTTTTAGGAGCGCGGGCACTCGGGGCAGCCCTGTGGAGTCACATCCCGCTTCTATCTTAACTGAGACATCTTGGGCAAGTTATTTTCTCTCCCTCAGCCTTGATTTCCCATCAGTAAAATGGGGATTAATGACAATATCTACTAGAGTTACCGGAGGACTTGATAGGCCTTAGTGATCATAATGTCAGCACACGAGGGTTCAATAGATAGCAGCTGTTATCATGACACAAACTGAAAACCTAGATTGTACCTAAATAACAGACATATTAAAGTGACAGGGTTTGGATTTTTGTGACACTAGACTTGTTCTAGGGGGACGAGGGCAGATCCATGGCCAGGCTGAGAAACACTGGGTTGGAGGGTGAGATGTTAGTGCCAGGAAGGACAACTTTGTCTTGGCCTAAGGGGCTCGCCTGAGAGGTCATAAGTTCCCTGTTGATGGAGGGTGGGTGGGCAGAGGCAGGCCACCACTTCAGGGGGTTGTCATAGAGAGGATTCCCAGAGATCACCTCCCCAGCTCCAGAGACACAGACTCCGCCACCACCCTGCCAGGGCTGTGGGATTCAGACAAAACTCCCATGTCCACCCAGCCCAGGACATGGTCCCCAGCGGGTGGTCCATAAGCCTTGTTGAGTGAATAAATGGTTTATCTCCATCTCCTCCAAGGTGCCTGGCACATAGTATGTGCTCAGGAAATGTTCAGAGAGTGAGTGAATTTGCTGTCTTTCCGGCAGCATGGCTGACATGGAAGAGCGGTTCCAGCAGATTCTTTCGTGGCAACAGATGGATCAGAACAAAGCCATCAGCCAGATCCTGCAGGAGGTGAGCCCTTGCCCAGGGCATGGGGAGGGGGCACAGGGAGGGCGCAGGGAGCCGAGAGCGGGGCGGCTCAACACCATGTGGAGGCGCTGTTCTGGAGAGCGTAAGAACCAAGATGCTCAGAGAGTTTAGAAATGCACAGACCGTCAGGATGAGGGGCAGGGGCAGGGCTCTCTGGGTGGTGGTTTCCGCTCACTGAAGTCAGGAGAGGTTTCCTTCCCGGGCACCCCCTCCCCTTGCTGTGTGGGGCTCCCTCGTGAGGACCTGGTGGCAGTGCCCACCCCCACCCGCCCCGCAGAGTTGGAACGAGCCCCCGACTTCTCCCTTCCAGTCCCGCCACCCTTCATCTGCTCTCCCTTGGGCTTAATGGGCTTAATGGGTGCTAGTGTGTGGACCAGCCCAGGAAGGACCCCTCTTGACTTCCCCCTTCCTCTGTCCAAATTGTTCAAGTCCCAGGTTTCCCCATGGAAACAGAGTCCCCCCTGTCAGGGTCCCCCACCTTCTTCTCTCCTTTCTCCCTCTGTGACGTCATCCTCCCATCACAGGCCCATCGCTCCCTTTCCTTCCTCCCCAACTCCGATCTCTCTTCTTCCCCCCCAATGATGCTGTGGACTTAGTCCTTGCAGGATTGTCTGAGGAAAAGGCTGTATTTCTCAGAGAGGATGTCAGGCCTTGGGGTTAAGATGAGGCTCCGAGCTGGACAGACTTGCATGCTAGTGCCAGCCAGTTCACTTTCCCAAACCTCACTTTCCCCATCTGTGAAATGGGGCAGTGAAGGCACCTCCCCCCACCCCTGTCCTCAGTCGTTCCACGCACACCGTGGGGAGAGCCCTGAGCACATGGCCAGCAGGTAGTAAGTGCTTAATAAGTATTATTTTTTAAAAAATTAAGTGAGCTGAAAAGTTGTTGTCTAAGAAATGGAAAAGGCATAGGTTAGGGTGTCTTTGAGGCAGGTTGTGTTTGGGCCCCCTGAGCGGCCATGCTGTCTGTCACAGAGCGCGATGCAGAAGGCAGCCTTCGAGGCTCTCCAGGTGAAGAAGGACCTGATGCATCGGCAGATCCGAAAGCAGGTGAGCATGGCCCTGTGCCCTAGGCCCGCCCTGTGGGCTTTCAGAGGCCGCAATTAAGGTCTGAGTCCTGGCTCCTCCAGGCCAGACTGGCAGGAGGTCTCCCCAGTACCTCCCTCCCCTCACAGAGCCTCACAGGGTGTCACCTACTCGGGGCATCACCTACTCAGGGTGCTGGAGGTGCCTGGGACAGCACTGTGGGTGCTGGCTGGTGGGACCTGTGCCCACCACTTGTCACAATGCCCAGGGCTGAGGTCGGGAGGCCCTGATCGCTGAGCAGCCCCGCACTGACCAACCCCTCAGCAGGAGGTTGGTTGGGCAGGACACCTCAGCTGGCTCGAACCGCAGCGTCCTGTGGCCCGGATGGAGGAGCTGGGGACAGGTGATGCCCCACCTGGGCGGGCGGAGCCTGGGGCGTGCTCTCGCGTGGCCTCCGCTGCTGACCCCTGGGTGACCTTGAGTGAGCCTTTGCCCAGCAGGGCTCTGTCTGGCTCGCTGTGTTCCCTGAGCAGTGGCAGGGTGGCTGGAGACAAGCGAGCTTTCAGGCTATGGGACGCATATCACGTCGTATTCAGCACACTTTCAATTCCACATTTTGCATGGTTTTTTTTTTTCCTTCTTCTTTTTCTTCTTTTCTCTTTTGGCCAAAACCAACTTACCTTTTTATTTCTCCTTTAATTTCGACCCCACATTGCCGGACATGAATCTCATTCCTCTGACCAGGGGTTGTGGGGTCATGGGGCAAAGGTCACAGGGTCATAGGCACAGAGTAGAGAAGTCACTGGTTGTGGGGGTCTGACCTCCAGGACTAAAAGCCCCCAGTCACACCCTGGAGGTACGTGGTAACCCCCTAGACGTCCTCACTGTGGGTGGTCTGACCCACCAGGCCAGCTGCTCCCCTGGAGACCAGAAGCAGGGACACCTCAAGGAAAAGGCACACTCATTTACCGCTGTGTGTCCTTGGGCAAGTTGCTTAATATCTCCGAGCCTCAGTTTCCTCGTCTGTGAAATAGAGACAGTAATACTTCCAACAGCAGAGGAGAAGCAATGGAAAAGACGCATAAAAAGTGCATAGCACAGTCCTAGTGTGTGCCGTCTCAATAAATGTCAGTGACTATGTTATTGTTACTGTAATTCAGTTCCTTCCATTACCCTCTGCTCTCCTCTGTGTACAGCTGCCTAGAGGAAGCAAGAGAATTGAACTGGCAAGAGGCTCTGAGAATTCCGTATCTGTTCTTCACTCTGGCCCACACCTTGAAGGAAGCCCCTTTATCCCATGCACCTTGATGGGCACCCCCTCTGGGCCAGCCCTGTGCCCGGCATTTGATCAGCAGTTCTGGCCAGGATAAGCACTCAGGCCCTTGAGATAACGAATTCTGTTTAAAGCCCCACTGATAAGGTTTACCAGGTTCTCAGTCCCCTTCATTCCAGAGCCTCCCCCCAGCACCCACAGAAAGGATTCTTAGGTCCACTTGGCCATCCAGGAGCAGCAGCGCAGGATTGAACCATGGTTAATGTGAATTAAAAAACCCCTGTCTCGTCTTCTGTTTAGATTAAGTTAATAGAAACTGAGTTATTGCAGCTGACACAGCTGGAGTTAAAGAGGAAATCCCTGGACACAGAGGCACTGCAGGTATGTTTAGGGCTCCCTGGCCTGCCCTGTCCCCCCACTCCACCCCTACTGATGAGACCTCCCGCTGGTGCCCCCACCCCTCTCAGCTGCCCTCCTGCAGACAAAGCGGTGATGCTGGAGGATGCTGCGACCCCAGAAGGCTCATGGGGGCCCAGCGCAGGCCCAGGTTAGGGGTGGGTCAACCTGTTGCTAGGCAGGAAGGTCAGAGGAAGGAGGGTTTCATTGCCAAGGCTCACCAGGCTGCATTTCCATCTCCGTGTTGTCTTTGTTTTAGAGCCGGGTCACTGTTGAGCTCCCTGCCTCTCTTAAGCCATGCTTCTGGGGCACTGGTTCTCACGGCTAACACCCCCGAGGGGACAGCATTCTTGGTAACCCCAGGATGTCTGGAGGAGAGGGCATAGCAGGGACCATGTCACTCCCTGCAGGCAGTTCCTCTGATCTCTGGCCCTTGCTGTGTGCCCTGGGCCAGGAGGGGCAGAGGGACGGCCCTTTCCCTATTCTATGCCTTGGTCTCCCAAGTCATTCACAGAGGGGCTGGGTCCACGGTGTGAGAGGGCCTGTGCCCCGTACCAGGGTTTAAAGCAGAGCCTTCTGTCTGTCCCCGTCCCTGTGTCTGTCCTCGGCGGACAAGTCTTTGTTTCTCCTGTGGGATTCTCAATGTAGAAGAGAGCTAGGGTCTGGAGTCCTGGTCACAGCTCTGCCACTGTGTGACCTTAGGCAGGTTGCTTCCCCTCCCCGGGCCTCCAGGTTGCCCCTGCATAAAATAGAAGGAGTCTTCTAGACCCATCCTGTGTCATGGGGCCATCAGAGATCAGTGGGACAGGCCTCAGCCATGCAGAGGTTAGGGGCGCTCAACCCCCAACATAGGCACCCACCAAGCACGGTGGTTATCTCCTGCCTGTTGGAGCTGTGGGGCTCCCATTTTTGGGGTCTCCATGGGATATTCAAAGAGGAGTGGAATGTGGACACAGACAGGGCTCTCTGGGGTGTGCCCATTCCTCCATGCTGGCTGGCATGGGTCCCTCACCCCTCTCTTGCCCTTTGCTTCTGCCCAGGTGCTCTGTAGTCAGTGAGCCCGAAGTCAAGGCCCCTGCTGCTTGTCATTCCCTTTGTTTGATGTTTCTCATCACTGCACTGTCGTTGGTCACTAGAGCCCATGCCCGGCCTTAACCCCCTGCGGAAGGGAGTTGCAGGCTGGGGAGAAGGGCACCTCCACTCTCTCCCCCGATCCTCAGCCAGAGATCAGAGACAGAGCCTTGATGGGAGTCAGGCCCACCACGGCCCCCAGCTGAGAACCAGTTGGGGGGGTGTCCTGCCGCGCCGTGGGGACCTCGGGGGCCGGGTGCTGTGAGCTCCCAGCACTGGCCATGGTCTTGTGTCGCAGGAGATGATCTCGGAGCAACGCTGGGCCCTGAGCTCGCTGCTCCAACAGCTGCTCAAGGAGAAGACGCAGCGAGAAGAGGAGCTCCGGGAGATCCTGGTACGTGTGGCATCCACGTCGTGCGTGGGGTTGCTTTACCTCCGCGCTTGTACGTCCACATTGTGCGCCGGTTGCTTTCTCTCTGCCCTCACACTGTTCTTAGATCCACATCATGCGCCGGCTTGCTTTCCCTCCGAGCTCACTGTTCTTAGAAACCCTTCATTATCCTAGACATCCCCTGAGCTCCACTGTAGGCCGCACCCTATGCCAGGAACAGACAACAGCGAGGCCAGTCTCTTCCCAAGCCCCGCACAAGCCCGGGTGGTACGTTTGTGCCATTGGGCACAGACCACATTAACATGTGCTGTGCGGGGCCAGACTTGTTGTGGCCAGGCTACTGCCCACAAGGGACCTTGGGGACTCGCTGTCCACCCCAGCAGGACATGACCATCAGGGTCACAGGCTCCTGAAGGGGGAGGTGTGTTCACAGTCCAGAGAGGGCCAGGCCAGTCACTTAGCTAGGTCCAAGAGGGACCACCCAGGGAGCTGGGGGACACCCAGGTTGCAGTCCCAAAGCCCAGCGTGCAGCCATAGTCCTGGCTGGGCGGCTTGGTGGCTCAGAGCACAGGCTCCAAACCCTGGGCTGAATCTGGCTCTGACTCGGGGCGGCGCTTGGATCTTGAGCAGCCTGTTCATCACTCTACCAGTCGCTCAGTCTCCTCACCTGTGATGTCGAGATTGCCTCCCAGAGTTGTGAGAACTGAGTAAAATGGCATCTTGCAGCAGGCAGCACAGACTGGCATGAAGCACCCTGATGTGACTGCTGCCATGACATGCCGTGCCACATGTTCACTGCTCCATCCCTAGCAGCTAGAATGGTGCCTGGCCCAGATCAACGCTCGGGTTGCTTATTGAGTGACGGGACGGAGGAATCAGTGTGAAAATAGCTGACTTCCTCGTGCATTTGTCTCTATGCCCGTGTCCTGTGTGGGCACGCCTGTCTCCTGTTCTCAGTGCTCCGGCTCTGTGGGTGAAGGTGGGTGACGTGCCCTCCCGAGCTGAAGGTGCCCCTCGGGTCCCAGCTCTCTCCCTGCTGGCTCCCAGAGGACGCACTCAGCCTCTGGGGGAAGGACACGGCTGCCGACTGCTTTGTTCTTCCCACTGGGAGGTGAGAAGGCGTCTCCCCTCCAAGTCATGATGCCCAGGGCGGCGGGGGGCAGGGGCACCAGCTGTCAGCCGCCCAGGTTTCTGCAGATGAAACAGTGAGACTTATTGGAGAGGGATGTTCTTTGTAAAACACCCAAGTCCATCCACATGCCATTCACAGCCATCCGTGCCATCATCGTTTCTGTTCCCTGACTCGTAACTAACAGTGTCTGCTTCCTTCTTGGCAGACAGAGTTAGAAGCCCAAAGCGAAACCAAGCAGGAGAATTACTGGCTGATTCAGTATCAGCGGCTTTTGAACCAGAAACCCTTATCCTTGAAGCTGCAGGTGAGAGTTGCGGGCGCGCCCACCCCACAGGAGCCCTGGGCCCCGGCAGCACCAGCTCGCTGGTCCATCTGACAGAATTCCCTTCCCATCTCCGGTGATGGGTGCACCGGGGCCTGTGCGATCCCCACTGCAGGGGCTCGGACAGGACAGGGGTGGTCCCTTCTCCCTCCTCACATGCACTTTGTTTTCTTTAAAATAAAAATGGAGCCTCAACAGTAGTGTTCTCCAGCCCCGGGCGTGTAGATCTCCTTGTGTGTCTGGATCTGGTGATTTAGGATCTGGGTGATTTCATTTGCTTCAACAGTTCCCCTCCCTTTGATGGGCACTTAAGTTGGTCGCGTTGTCAGGTCTGCCGCGTGGCAGTGAACTAAGTTCTTCACGCATCTGTCGCTATGCCCCTACATAGCCGTCTTGGTAGGAAAAGTCCCAAGAATATGTTTTCCCTGTTACGCTATATGTGTCTGAACTTTGTGTGCTGTTGTAAGTCCCGGCCTCGTGGTTTTTCCTGGTCCGTCGTGCCCTCGGCTTCTCCCACGGGTGTGTCTTGCAGGAAGAAGGCCTGGAGCGCCCGCTGGTGGCCCTCCTGGTGGAGCTGTCGGCCGAGCACTACCTGCCCATCTTCGCCCACCACCGCCTCTCACTGGCCATGCTGAGCCAAATGGGCCCTGCGGACCTGGCCAAGGTGAACAGCGGCAGCCCCTTGGGGGAGGTTGGGGAGGCGGGCAGGGCCCTGACCCGATGGCCAAGGAGGGGACTTGCTCTTCATGCAGTTCTTGGCATGGTTTGCCATCTGCAGATGTACTGGGGCCCCCTTGCTCCCAGCAGGCCAGAACACCTGCCCCGTCTGCCCCCAGTCACTTGACTACGAAAGCCAGAGCTGGGGGTGCTGCGGAACCCAGATCATCCCGTCCGCCAACCCCTTTCAGATGGGATCTTCACATCATAGGCTGGGCAGGTCCTTGGAGGTCATCTGGACCATCCTTTCCCCACACCATGGGTTGACAGTTGTATCGGCGGCACTGCCTGCGCCTGGTACATTCTGCGTGAATTCATTTACTCTTCAGAAGAGACAGAGACCAACTCTGGCGAATACTTAAAAGTGCTTGACACTATTCTAAGCATGTTTTACATATAAACTCATTGAATCCTCATAATAACCTGGGCTTCCCAGGTAAGCACAGTGGTAAAGAATCTGCCTGCCAGTGCAGGAGACACAAGAACGTGGGTTTGATCCCTGGGTCAGGAAGATTCCCCTGGAGAAGAAAATGGCAACCCACTTCAGCATTCTTGCCTGGAGAATTCCGTGGATGGAAAAGCCTAGCCGGCTGCAGTCCACGGACTCGCAGAGAGTCAGACACAGCTGAGCGCACACACACGCTAACCCTGGGCAGGCAGGTACGTTCATCATCATTTTCCAGATGAGGACGTGGAGACACAGCAAGGTAGCAGTTTGCCTGAGGTCACATGGCAGAGCCACGTCCAGCCCAGGCAGCTGGTCTGGTGCGGGGGCCGTGCTGTTGGCCACTCTGCTGAGCTGCCTGGTCCCTCGACAAGAAGCAGACGCAGACACTGGGGCTCAGAAGGACTGTGTGGGCCACCTTGCCCAAGTTCAGGAGCAGTTGCTCTGAGGCTGAGGGACTGTGAGCGTCTGGTGCGGCCACTTTTCAGCAGGTCGGCCTCGGTGTGAACCACCTGACTGTGAGCTGTGAGAGCCCACAACTGTCAGCTCAGCCCCTGCACTCGCTGGACCCGCTCTGTCACCAGCGCCGATTTCCCTCTCCTTCCACCGCACTGATTGCCGGCCAGTCAGCCTCCACGTGTCCAGTCGAAGGTGCCAGAAGTCAGGGAGGAGGCGGTCCTGGCAGCTCTGTGCTGCGCCATGGGCCCCCTGCCCGGCCATGCCCAGGCCCTGACCCGCCCCCTCGGTCCTCACAGGTGGGCGTCTCGGAGGCTGGCCTGCAGCACGATATCCTGCGCAGAGCCCGGGAGCTGCTGGATGCGGCCAGGACCCAGCCAGGTACCAGCACCGCGCCTCTCCTAGCAGAGCCCTTATGCGGGGGCATGGCTGGGCCGTTACCTGTTCACCTTTCAGGACGAGTCCCAAGGGCCACTTCCAACCCCTGCCAGTCCTTAGGCTTCCCTCCTAAAGGAGCCATTTGTAAATGAGAAAAATAGGCCCCCAAATGGAAAACATGAGCTTTTCCTACGGTGGTGGAGCGACCCTCCCGGCTTCCCTAAACCCTCCCTACTGACATCAGGAACCACATACTCGGGGTCCCTGGAGTAGTGGGAGAAACCCACCTGCCCAGCTCTGCGCCTGGGCCAGGCGTGTGGTGTGGACTGGGGTGGGGAGGGGCTGTGGCTGAGTTGGAGGCAGGAGGGATTGTGGGCAGGGGTTGGGGGGTGTGTGGGAAGGAGTCGGGGTCTCCTGTGGGCTGAGCAGGACAGGTGTCAGGCATTTGACACAATCACCATATCAGGTCTCCTGTCCCTGCTGCTACCCTCCTTTGAGGGATGAGGAAACTGAGGCAGAGAGAGGTTAACCCTAACCCTGAGGGCTTCTCCCTGACCCTGGCCGCCCTCTGGGGAGGGGCCGGGGTGGGACAGCTCCTTCTTAGCTCAGAGCCAGCAGATCCTCAGGCATCTTCCTGACAGTTCTCCAAATCCCAGGACTCAACATGTGTTCCATGAAATACAGACGCGCCCTGGCCACCTTCCCCGCCCCCCGACCCCCCGGTCTACCCTTAGAAGGTCTAGGGTGGTTGTGACAAGCTTTAAAAAAAAAAAAATCATAAGGTTTTTTTTTTCAATTATTAAGAAATACTACTTGTAATTTAAACCGTAGACTAAATGAACAACGTGTGCTGTGAGGGGAGGGGGCTCAGGGGTGAAGAGACTCGGGCGTCACTGGTGTGATGAGAGATGGATTCTCACGTCCTGCTTCGTGCGGCTGGGACCCGGGCAGAGCATGCTTGTTCCAGGGCAGAGCAGTGGGTGTGCTGGGAGCTTTCCCGGGGCGGGGACCAGGGGGATCAGCCTTGAGAGCTATTTCGTCCTCTCTCTGCTCCTCTGGGCCCCCCTGCACCTGGGCCCCTGGTGGAGAATCTGTGCTCAAGGTTGGGTTCTCCCCAGAGCCCCTCACCCAGGGTTCCTGGCCTGCTGGCTCCACCATCAGGCGGCCCTCTGGCCTTAGGCAAGCGGCTTTCCCTCCCTGCTTTCTCATCTCTGACAGTGATGAGCCCTGTTTGCAGGGTGGCCCAGAGGGGTTCAGGGTGTGTTGGGGTAAGAGGCCCCAGTTGCCTGGGGTCCCAACCCTCCCACCTTATAGATGTGGAATGAGGCTCAGCAAAGAGAAACAAGAGGGTATGTGGGAGCACCCCCCCCCCAACTCTCTGTCCACTTACGGCAGGCTGAGCCGGGGAAGGACCGGGTCAGATGGTCAGGACCCTGGCTTAGCCGCTGTGTGTCCCCACAGAGCTGCTGAGGCCTCCCGAGGGCAGGATCTTGCCCACAGCCCCCGAGGAGCTGCCCGAGGCAGTGAGACCCTCGGCTCCCCCAGCAGAGCTGCTGCAGGTGCAGACCTCAGAGTGTGTGGTGTGCCTGGAACGGGAGGTAAGTCTAGGGGTGACGGGCCCAACCCCGGGGCCACCGTCCCCACCCCCACCCACCTGCCCAGAGCCTGCCACCCTCCTGAGCCTCACAGGCACGGGTGATTCATTCTGCAGAGTTTAGAAATATGTTGGGTTCATTAGAAATTTTGGAAAATACAGGAAATTAAAATGACCCATGATCCCAGGACCCAAAACATGAGTAACGCTGACAACATTTGCTGGGCCTTTTTTCTTTTTCTTTTTTTAACAGAAGTTTTTTTTTAAATTCATGCAGGGAAATTTCCCAAGTCATTAAATATCAACAAAATTTTCTCTGGAGAGGTTTTTCCAAAACTCTTCATTTTAAAAACAAAATTAACAGCTGTTATAAAAAAATTAAACAACGTAGCACATAAAATAAACCAGTTGCCTCCACCACGTGATCCTACTTAGAAAAGGCCTACTTAGAAAATGTTAACAGTTTGATTACCCCGTGGTCTTTGCTGGACCAGGAGAATGCCATGATATGGGGATGGGGAAGGACTTGGTGGTTATAAATTTAACCAAACCCCTGCTCTGGGCCCCAGAGATGGCTTCCTGTCTCTCCCAAAAAGAGGAAATGCTGAGGCAAAGCATGGACACGTCCACAGCTTGTGATCCATAATGTTGGGGTCATTTTGAGGCAAAGTGCATAAAAATCCCTAAATTGGGAGCAACCTGCACATCCTGTAACAGCAGGGCTGGTGAGACAGGCTGTGGACCACTCCCACCCCTACCCCCCACCCCCAATGGCTGGTACAGAGGGCCGGGGCATCCTGTGATGGACGGGGAATGGAGTCTGACGACCATGCAGTCAGATCTTCAGGGGGAAGGACGTGGGGCCCTGACGTTCCCGCTCTCCACCCGCCAGGCCCAGATGATCTTCCTCAACTGCGGCCACGTCTGCTGCTGCCAGCAGTGCTGCCAGCCCCTGCGCATCTGCCCGCTGTGCCGCCAGGACATCGCCCAGCGCCTCCGCATCTACCACAGCAGCTGAGCACCAGCCTCTGCCACCCTCAGGCCCAGGGCTCCGGCTCCCTCCTGTTCCCCGTGGGCTGGCCGGGCAGAGACAGGAGCGTTCCTGCCCAAGGACTGAGCAGTTTAAATCCTCTAGAGGGGCAGGGGGACCCCTGCAGCAGGACAACAGGGTCTGGGATGGGAGCAGCGGCAGTCACACCTCTGTCTGAGCAGGACCGAGGGTCCCAGCTGGCTGTGGCAATCCCCGCCCCTCCCGCAGCCTTAGTGTCCTCCTCGAGGGAACCCAGGCAGTGCTGTCCCACTCAGCAGGGGTGGTGGGAGTGCTGGAGGGCCCTGGCCCAAGGGAGGGGCAGCCACCACGGCCTGTCCTGGGATCGACTGGCCAGAAGGTGTTCTGTGCAGGCCTGGTGCCCTGAGCGAAGTCAGCCCCTCCTGGCCTCCCTCCCTGCTGCCCCCCACCCACCCCCTGAGCTCTGGGCCCCTCTGCCCTGCAGACCTGCACCTCCTCTCCCCACGCGGCTCAGAGGTAGACCCTGAGCTTCAAAGACCTGAAGCAGGAACATCAATAAACTTGTTTCCAGCCTGCTTCTCCCGAGTCATCACTGGGCTCTAGTGGAGCCCAGGGAGGGGGGAAGTGGGTGTGAGGTGTGTGAAGTTACCCACACCTCCCTTTTGTAGGTGGAGAGGCTGGGCTCAGGAGGAGGTCTCGGAAAGTCCTCGGAGCAGGTGGGGCCGTGTGGGCCGCCTGTGTGCTGTGTAACCATTACCCCAGATCAGGGGGCCTGAGGCCCTGTAACCGGGACAGAAGCGTCTCACTCCGAGCCCGTGCAGCTGTGCAGGTTGCTCACTGCACAGGTCCAGAGGGAGCCGTGCTCCTTGTGCTTGCAGCAGAGCTGAACTTGGTCATGCGTTCTGGGGCAGATCGTTTTGAGCCAAGGGCAGCTTTCTCTCTGGGCTAGAGGCGGGCCTGCTCGGGCGCCTGGGCTCTGCCTCTAGGTAACTCGGACCCGGGCCAGCCTTCCAGACCCTACATCCCCACGTGTTCAGTGAGGGACATCAGGGGAACTGACCCAGGCTGGCGGCCACCAGGGGGCACTGCGCGCTCATCCCGGGCCCCGCGTTAGAGCCGGCAGGATGTAGGGCCAGGCCCTCTCTCTCCCTGCCTCGCTGAGCCAGTCAGTGAACCCCCTTTCCAGGTTACCTGCCCCACACCCTCCTGAGCTGCGCTCCGCTAAGAGGGGAGATGGCGGCCTGAAATGGGCAGGGCCACGCAGAGCAGGGCGTTTGGCGGGTCTCCTGAACCCTCATGAGGCCACCTTTTATAGGTGAGCAGTTTGAGACTGGGTTCGGTGACTTGCCAAAGTCAACAGCAAGACCCGGCTGAGCCCTGGTTTTCTCACCTTCACCCTTGTTGACAGACCTTCGGCCACAGTCCCCCATCCCCCAAGATGCCCACTCAGCAGGGGCAGCCTGTCCCCACCAGCTGGCGGGGCTGGAGGTGTCCCCATGACCCAGAACCTCCGCCCATCCTCCCTGCCCCCTGGGCCTCAGTTTACACACTGGCGTGATGATGGTGCCTGTCCCCCAGGGGTTACCTCGTCCTGCAGGTAATGCGCACAGCCCATGGTAAGCACTCAGGAGTGCTCCCCTTGTGAGCAGGAGTCTTAAACCCTGGCTCACAGTGTGAGCCCGCCCACCATGGCCATAAAGCAGCTGCCCTCCCCATTGCCCGAAGCTGCCAGAGGCCCACCCTGCACAGAACCCCCGGCAGAGGAAGCTGTCTGAGCTACCACCAGGCTAGTCACCTCCCTGCTGTGCCCCTCCTTACTGAGCCTCAGTTTCCTCCTCTGGAAAATGGGTTCCTAGGAGCACTCTCTGGTCACATGCACCTGTAAGCAATGAGCCCCCCAAGTCAAGGTGCACAGGTCCATCTCCAGCCCAGGTCTCTCACCCAGCCAGCATCACACATGGGCCACTGGCTTTAAATAAAGCATTTTATTGATTAGTAGAAGCTTAAACAGTTTGCATAATATTTTCAATACAATATCTGGGAAGGATGATTGGAAAGTCCCAAGAGAAGGCACCAGAGGAGCGCGTCTTCAGACGGAATGTATTGGTGGGAGAGGTTAGTTCGGCGTTGAGATCGGGGCTGGAGGGGACTCGAAGGGGGTCCCTGAGCACCAGCCAGCGCCGCTCGTCCTGTGGGTCCCAGGAAGCAGACCCAGGGGATGGGAGGTCCAGAGGTGGGGTGCGGTGAGGACCCTGAAGGAGCGGGTTTCTGCCCTGCCTGCCCTCCCCTCAAAGCAGCAGAGGAGAGGGCCTGGGAAAACCAGGCGGCCCCAGCCCCTGGGGGTGACCTTGACTTAACCCTCACCCTCAGGAACAAGCGGCTGAGGAGGGGGAAACAGCAAGGCTATATGAACAGTCCTGGAGTTGTCAGGGTGTGGTGTGTTAGAGCCCCAGCCTGCCCCAAATGCTCGTGCTGTCCTGGGGCACCACAGCCCCTCCCCCAGCCCCTCCCGAGCCCCGCCAGCTCCCTTGGGGGACAGCGTGTACCTTGGAAGTGGACCGCGGAGAAGACAGCGTCCACACCCACCCAGCCCTGTCTCTGAGCAGTGTCTCCACACCCAGCCCAGCCGGACAGAGGGACTCCTAGAGACCAGACCCCAGCAAGTGGAGGCGAGCGGAGTCTCAGCTTCCAGAAACCCCCCAAGGGCACCCCACCCACCCCGCCAGCAGTACCTCTGCAGAGGTCACCCCCTCCTTCCCTCAGACACGTCCTTGCCCCAGACCAGCACGTTCCAGGCCTTTCCTATTCCCACCCCACCTCGAGAGGCAGCCCTCCCCCAGCACCCCCAGCCTCAAGACCCGCTCCTTGCACATCCCTTCACCTGGGGTGGGGGAGCCAGGCCAGAGTCCACTCCGAAACTGGCCTCAGGGGCCCAGAGACGGGCCTTGGCGCTCGGGCTTCCTGGTTCTAACAGGCCCCCTCGGTGACAGGAGAAGCCAGGCAGTGGACGCGGCTCTCACCGCCCTCCTTCCGCGGGTGGCAAGACGCACCAGGGGAACGGGCCGCAGAGGCAGGCAGGCAGGGAGGGTGGACTCAGGGAGCCAGGGCCGACCCCCGCTGTGCCCGGCCCACCCCCCCTCCCCAGGAGCAGGAAAGCCGCGATCATCCCACAGAAGAGAAAACAGAGCAACCAAGTGTGACCAAACCCATAAAGTGACTCAAGTGGGCCCATCCCCGCCCAGCCCCCTCAGTGCCACACCAGCCCTGCCCCCGCCCCCTGCCCGGAAGGCACAGATCCTGTGCTCCCCGCCCAGAGCCGAGCCAGAGCCCCGGAGTGGGTGGCCTGTGTGCTGTGTCCAACAGAGGCTCCAGGGGGCGACCAGCTTAGAACTCGGTCTGCACCCCCGCACTGTCCTCGGTGGTGGTGTGGATGGGGGGGCAGCCGCCTGGGCCAGACACCTGCTCGCCGGTCTCCTGGTCGCTGGGCTTGGGAGGCTCAAGGCCCACGAGCTTTTCGGACGGGAGCTGCCGGAGGGGTGAGGCGGGCGGCGAGGTGGCCTCGGGGGCCAGCCCGGGCTGGGGGCTCTCCTGCACGGGGGCCCCGTTGAGCAGGGGGCCGGCCAGCAGGGGGCTCTCAGCCCGCAGATCCCCGGCCAGCAGGCCACGGAGCTCGGTGACGCCGTCTGGGGACGAGGGTGATGGCGGTTCAGGGGCGGCCTCGAAGGGCAGCCCCGCCTCCTCGTCCTGGACCACGGACACCACCTGCTTGGCACGCCGGCGCTTTTCCGAGAGGGGGGCTGCTTGCTGGATGCCGGGGTCCCCACCGCCGCCGCTGTCTCCATACTCCTCGCCCCAGTCGATGGGCGCGCCCTCGGCCAGCAGGTGCAGGTTGGGGTCGCTGTTGTGCATGACCACGCTGTCCCGGTACAGGTTGTGTTTCCTCTGCACGGCGGCCTCCTTCACGGCTGTGGGACAGAAGCGGGTGACGGACACTGAGCGGGGGCGCTGACGGCCACCAGCACTCCCTGCACTGTGCGACCCACATCACAAGCCCTCGGCCTGAGTGTGCACTGTGACCAGACAAGGCTTCTTTGAGGCCTCAGTGTGGGGAGCAGGCGGTGGGACCCTAACTCCCATCTCTCACCTAACACCCCCCGGAATGTACTCCCCTCAATGTAACTAAGGCACGGGGACGTGACGCTGCCCCTGGCCCGTGCCATGAACAGTGGGCCCACCACAGCCCACGGCCTGACTCTCCCCTTTGGAGCTTAGCTGAGCCCCCAGGAAGCCTCTGAGCGCCCACCTCCTCCACCCACCAGCAGTGAGTCCTAACAGAGACCACACAGCTGGGAGCCCCACCCAGCTCTGCAGCTGCCCGCCCCCGGGGGCCGCGGCACTGACCCTGGAGAATGTCCTTCATGACCGTCTGCAGCACCACCTCCTCGTACGTGTTCTCCACCAGGATGAACCTGGCAAAGTCCTCGAAGATCAGCTCCTGGAACCGGGACAGCTCCTGCCGGCCAGGGCAGACGTGGGGGCAGAGAGAGGGGCAGTCAGGGCTGCGGGTCAGGCTCTGGGCGGGGGACAGGGGGTGGGCGGAAGTGGAGGGCTGCTCACCGACTTGCAGGTGGGTGCCAGCTTCTTGAGCAGGAATGGGATGGTGATCTGCAGCAGCGCCTCCCGGAAGAAGCGCTTCCGCACAGTGCTGCTGTCGTAGTCGTATTTCTGCCGGGAAAGAGGGGCCGGGGTGTGGGGAGCTCCGGGTCAGGGGGCTCCATCAGCCCCCCGTCTCACCCAGGCCCCCGTCTCCCCTCCAGGGTGGAGGGGCAGGGCCTGGCCAGGCGGCTCACCTTCAGCACCCGCTCCAGGATGCGCTGGATGGACTTGCACAGCTCCTCCTTGGTGGGCCCCTTCCCCAGCTCCTGGTGCAGGAGGGTCTCGAAGGTGTACACAGCGTTGTCCATTTGCTGGAGGTGGAGCGCACCACAGGGCACGTGAAGGCATGCCCCCCGGGGAGGTGTAGTGACCCTGGGAAGGTGGGGTGCCCCCTGGGAGGAGGGGTGACCCCAGGGAGGTGGGGTGTCCCCCCGGGGAGGAGGAGTGACCCTGGAGAGGTGTGGTGCCCCCTGAGGGAGGGGTGACCCTGGGGAGGTGGGGTGCCCCCTGAGGGAGGGGTGACCCCGGGGAGGTGGGGTGCCCCCTGGGAGGAGGGGTGACCTTCTGGGGAGGTGGGGTGCCCCCTGGGAGGAGGGGTGACCCCGGGGAGGAGGGGTGACCCCCCGGGGAGGTGGGGTGCCCCCTGGGAGGAGGGGTGACCCCTGGGGAGGTGGGGTGACCCCTGGGAGGAGGGGTGACCCCTGGGGAGGTGGGGTGACCCCTGGGAGGAGGGATGACCCCGGGGAGGAGGGGTGACCCTGGGGAGGTGGGGTGCCCTTGAGAGAGGGGTGACCCCAGGGAGGTGGGGTGTCCCCCCGGGGAGGTGGGGTGCCCTCTGGGAGGAGGGGTGACCTTCTGGGGAGGTGGGGTGCCCCCTGGGAGGAGGGGTGACCCCAGGGAGGAGGGGTGACCCCCCGGGGAGGTGGGGTGCCCCTGGGAGGAGGGGTGACCCTGGGGAGGTGGGGTGACCCCTGGGAGGAGGGGTGACTCTGGGGAGGAGGGGTGACCCTGGGGAGGTGGGGTGCCCTTTGAGGGAGGGGTGACCCCAGGGAGGTGGGGTGTCCCCCCGGGGAGATGGGGTGCCCCCTGGGAGGAGGGGTGACTCTGGGGAGGAAGCGTGCCCCTGGGAGGAGGGGTGACCCTGGGGAGGTGGGGTGCCCCCTCGGGAAGAGGGATGCCTAGGCACTCAGACACCCCTTCACTGGCTCACTCCTCTGCTGAGTGTCTAGAGCGCTGGCTAACTGCCAGGCACCAGCGGCAGCCCCCCTCTCCCAGGGGAACAGAGGGTCTGGGCCCTATGGGAAGAAGCTTAGGGAGTCAGGAGGACTTCCTGGAGGAAGGGGTCTCTGAGACCCAAGAGGTGAGTCTGACTTAACCAGGCGGACAGAGGGACAGGCATCCAAACAGATCCAAGAGCATGTCCAAGAGATCGGAGCCGGAGAGAACATGCGGGATTGTGGGGAGACTTGAGGGGAGAACTGGGGTGCAGGCAAGCCCTGTGCCCACCTCACGCATGTGGATCTGGGCTCGCTGCTTGAACACAGACATGCTGGACACGTCAAAACGCTGCTGCAGTCCGTCAAGCCTCAGCGGCTCCATCTTCTCGTAGCAGCTGTGCATCTTGAGGGGGTGGTACGCCAGCTGGGACAGCTTCTCCATGTACTGCAGGGAGGCAGGGACACACGAGGGACCTGAGTTGGGGCCGCGGAGGGGCCAGGCAGCCCCCGCAGCCCCTGGGCCCTCAGAGTCCAGATTCCAGGGCTGGCACTGGCACCAGGGAAGGCCATTGTGGGGGGGGGGGGGATCACCAGGGAAAGCGCTGGAGGACCTGGGACAGGAAGGATGAGGATCTGCAAGCAGGAGAGCGGTACGGCAGCACAGCGTGTGGAGACAGGCCGGCCTGAGTGCTGGGCAGCCCTGGGCAAATCGCTCACCATCTCTGAGCCTTGGTATCCTCGGCCTCCAAATCTGGAGATGGGTTTTCGTGATCTCTAGGGTCCTCTACGGTTCTCAAAGTCTATGACTATTATTGTCAGTGGAACTCCTCGGTTTGGGGTGGAGAAGAGGCCAAGATTACAGGGCTAATTCTATCTGCCAGACCTGACAATTATGTGGGCCTCCAGGCAGTTGACTACCCCAATATGGGGTCTGTAGAAGGCTGTTCAACCCAAGAACCAGCTAGCTCAGAAGTAAGAGGGGCCGGCTCCATCTGTGAGGGGCACAAAAATGGCATCTATGGACGTGCCCGGCTCCATGCCTCCTGCAGATCCTCTGTTCACAGGTTATGCCCAGGAGCAAAAGGGCCTGCCCTCATCACAGTGAGGGCCTGACGGGGGCCAGACCAGACCCAAAACCAAACCCAGGGCCCGTCTCACCTCGCCCAGCTTGTCGATGCCACCCTCGTTGATGACATTCAGGTTCATGTCAGTGACTTCCTTGAAGAAGACGTCCCGCACTTCTGTGAAGCCCTGGCTGGTGGGTACCATGAGGGCCTCCAGGATGGATGGGATGTAGGGCTGGACATGGTTCCGGACACAAACCTCCGCCTTGGGGAGGATGGAGGCTGCGCCAAGGGAGCTGGTTAGCGGACAGCACCCCCAGGGGCAACCCCCACCATCCCAGGTCTCTAGGCTAGAGGCAGGCGGCTGTGTCATTCTTTAAAGAAGACCACTGGTGACAACATGAGCAAAGGGAAGAGTTCTTGAGGAATGGTTAAAATGGAGCACAGATAACAAAGCCATCTCAGATCAGCTTCTCAAATTCCTGAAACTAGGATGTCAGGAAATGAAGAAAATGACCATGTAAAGGTCTCAAGGTCAGCAGTTTTTCTGTTTAGCTGGAGGAAGAGAAAACTCACCTTTGGGGCCTGGGGCGGGGTCTTGCTCATTTGTTTTTTCAAAAAATGAAAAACACCCCAGTGGATTCAAAGAGCCTCTGGGTTGTGCAAACCCTGAACCCGAATCCTACTCTGGCTCAGCCTAAACTGTGGAAAAGGCAGCCTACCCCCGGGCAGGGACCATCTCCAAGACGTTCCACCAACACATTTTCACCCAGGGATGTTCTGACGTCCCTCCTCTTCCCCTGTCTGGCTAATGCTGCTTGTTCCACACAATAAATGTCAACTCGGTGTCCTCGCCAGCTCACGCTGAGTACAACTGGTAGAGAGTAACCCTCGGGGAACTGATGACCACCACAACCGTGACCAGGGTGTGGGGAGCAACAGTGAGCAAAAGGACCCCGCCAGGCTCAGGACAGAAGTGGGCACCAGCTGACCCGGGAAAGACAGGCTGGTTCAACATGGTTCACCCGAAGTCCAGATGATGTTGCTAAAATGGCCCGTGGTAAATCTGATTGACCGAAGATGAACAGAAGGCTGGAGCCTCCTAACATCACTTAGGTCACCAAGATCTGGGTCTACAGACATAAAAGCCCCCTGGGACTTCCCCGGTGATCCAGTGGTTAAGGCTTCCTGCAGTGGAAGCGCACATTCAATCCCTGACCGGGGAACTAAGATCCCACTGGCCGCACCATGAGGCCAAAGAAAAAAAATAACAGCCACCAAACAACTCACAGGGGTTAGAAGAACAAGGGCTCAGATTTGATTCTGGCTTTTAAAAACTAATGAATCAAGTCACCACCGTGACATGTACATGGACCCCTGAAAGAGGCAGGAGGGAGGCCCTGATCCCAAAGGGTGGGTGGTCCCAGCCTGCCCGCCCAGTGATGACAACCAGAGCAGGTGGTCTGCCTACCTCGGATCTTGCTGGCCAGGTGCTCCTTGGAGGTGATGATCTGGTCCATGTCGGTGCGGATGACTGCCTCCATGGCCGGCCGGGCCAGCTGCAGCTTGGACAGCACCGCCTCAAAGCGTGCCTTGGCCTGTTCGTACACCATGCGGTACACGGCATCTGAGATCTGTGGGCAGGGCGTCAGCGTCAGGCTGGGGGTGCCAGGCAGCTGTGGGCCCCCCACCCCCACTCCTGAGCCCAGGCCACCCACCTGGATCCACTGCCGCTGTCGCTCCTGCGATTTCCCCTTCAGCCGGGGGACCAGCTCTGCCTTCAGCTCAGGGCCCAGCTCCTCCATCACCAGGTTACTCAGGATCTGGGACCAGGAGGCACAGGCAGGAGCAGGGTTTGGAGCGTGCCCAGCCCCTCTCCACGTTCCGGCAAACCCGGCTACTCAAGCCCCGCTCAAAGCTGCCCTTTGCTTCACATCTCCACTGCCCTGTCTGCAGAGCATCCCTCCCGGAGGCCCCGGGTGACCCGCTTGACTGTCTGCAGAATCCAGCAGGGCCCCAGCTCAGGCCCTCTGCATGCGCAGCCTCCCCATCTACCATACTCCCCAGGCCCCCCTGCCGGCACATGGAAGTCAAATGTGTTTCTCCTGCTAGACAGAGAGCTCCTGGGGGCCAGGGCTGTGCCCCTCTTATTCTCAGCGGCACCCAGCCCCTAGTCCAGGGTTGGTGCTCGGGTAACAACTGAACAAAAATAACCATCTGTGTGGCCCACCTCGGCCTCCCCGCCTCCTCCCCAGCTTGTCGTCTGGGTCCAAACCTGCAGCCAGTGCCCCGGGGCCCCGCCGGCGTGCCCAGTCCAGCCCTGGGCCCCAGGTGGACTTCTGCAGCCTCCCCGGCCTCACCTGCACCTCGTTCCCACACAGCATCTCCCAGGTGCCGTACAGCTCCTTGGACTGGCGGTACATGCGGATGGCGTCCGTGAACGCGGGGCCCTCCACCTTGGAGTCTTCGGGGATCCCTGCCCGGGACAGGGACGGAGGGAGGAGGTTGGCAGGATGGCCCCCGCCCGAGGCCCCCACCACTCTTGTAGTAACGGCGACGGGAGAGGTTGCAGTGACAGTTAACAGCAGTAACAATCCACCAGCAGCAGCAAGACATCCTCCTTCATCCCCTCCTCATCTCCTTAAACCCTCCCACCAGCCCAAGACGTGGGCGCTGTCGTTGCTTCTGCTTTCACAGATGAAGAATCAGGCTCCAGGGTCAGGCCACTGCTGAGGGGCCAAGGCCAGCGAGTGACAGAGTCAGGACCAGACAGGGAGACAGAATCTCCCCCCACCAGGAGAGGCCTCGAAACACAGCAGAGGGGGTACCGGAGGTGCCCAGAGACCCTCCTTCCATCAGGGGCCTGCACACTCCCCCCATAGAGGGCCAGATGGTAAATGTGCTCTGCTTTGCAGGCTGGTGATCTCCGCCCCAGCCATTCCACCCACTGCTGTAGCAGGAAAGTTACCGCAGACAGGGTGTGAACGAACGGGCCAATAAAGCTGGATTTACTCAGACAAGCGATGGGCCCAATTTGGTTCCCTGGCTGTCATTTGCCAAGCCCTGTGGAAGATCATCGAACCCTAAAGGGCCTCAATGTTCCCTTCTGAACAGTGGGAGCAATGACCAGCCTGGCCTCACACGCCTGGCCTCACACACCCATGGAGGGGCTGCAGGGACCAAAGTGCGGACTGGGAAGGCCAGGGTCTGGCTGCAGGCCTGGTGGGCACTCTCTGCGTCAGGAACTGCAGCCCTGACCGGCTCCTGGGGCCCTGGGGCCGCCATGCCCACTGCTGTGCATCCGGGAGACTGGGAATACCATTCCACTACTTTTGTTAGAGGAGGTGGCAGTGGGGGCCCAGAGGAGTTTGCCCACCTCCCCCATGCTGACCAGAGGGTTGCTGAACAAGACGTGGACCTCCGCCCGGGTGCTGGAGAGGCAGGCTGCAGGAAGTTGCAACATCCGACTTCAGGAAGACGTGGTTAAACACCTCGGAGCCTGGCAGCGGGCAACCCCCCGCCTGGCCTCGTGCCTCTGACCGCTGTGTCTCCAGAGCCAAACAGCAGCCGGGGCCTCTAAAATCCCAGCTCCCACTGTGATGACTATGGGCTGAGTCACCCCCACAGAGAAAAAGCCCCTCTCTGGCTTGGAGAGGGCCTCTCCTCCCACCGTCCGGGTGACCCACGAATCACTGCCGTTCAGGGCTGGAGCGGGGCTCAGCAGTGGACAAACAGGCCCGGAACCCAGCCTGGCAGTGGCAGCTCCCAGGACTGGGACGGGGCCGTAAGCATTTCAGAACCTGCATCCACGAGGGTCCCACCGAGCCCTGGGGTGGGTACTGCCCAGCTGGGCCCAGGGGTGGGGGGGGAAGCAGGCTTAATTAAGGAGGGGGACACTGTCTCCCAGAGACGAGGTTTTGCCTAGAAAATCTGGCTGTGTGTTATACACACAGCCTCACTCGTGCATGGACATTTGCATTCTGCAGACAGCAAGCCGGGCGTGCTGGGCAGGGGCTGCTTTCCAGGTGGCAGGACAGGCTGGGCAGCGGCAAGGAGGCGGCTGACAACCCAGCCTCTGGCCGGTCAGACGTGCAGCCTCAGACCCTCATGACATCCCTTCTCGGCACGCCGAGGGGCTGAGTCAAAAGTGAGGGTGGCCCCTCCCGAGCCCTCCCCCGGAGCCTGGCTGTTGGGGACTGACTCATGTCCTGACAAAGTGCCGCGATGAAGTCCTGACCCCCAGCTGCTCAGAAGGGGACGTGTCTGGATGAGGAAACTTAGGTGCATGCGTGTGCGTGCTCCGTCACTTCAGTCGTGTCCGACTCTGTGTGACCCCAGGCTCCTTTGTCCATGGGCTTCTCCAGGCAAGAATATTGGAGTGGGTTGCCATTTCCTTCTCCAGGGGACCTTCCCAACCCAGGGATTGAACCTGCATCTCTTGCATCTCCTGCATTGGCAGGAGGGTTCTTTACCACTAGCGCCCCCTGAGAAGCCCAGGACTTAGGTAATTAAGTTAAAAGGAGGGGATTAGGCCGGGCCCTAATCCGATATGACTGGTGTCCTTATAAGAAGAAATCTGGACAAAGAAACGGCACACACAGAGCAGGGACTATGCAAGGACCCCAGGGAGACGCTGGCTGCCTGCTGGTCAAGGAGACTCAGAAGAAAACAACCCTGCTGACACCTGGATGCGGGGCTTCCAGGGTCCAGAACTGTGCAAAAGCTAACTTCTAATGTTGAAGCCACCCAGGCTGTGGCCCTTTGTCACGGCAGCCCCCAGTAGGCTGAGGCCGAGACCCCACACGCGTTCTCGCAGCTCTCAGAGGGGCCGGCAGCTCTCAAAGCCCGGGGAGGTAGTCACACAGTCGCTAGAGGGCGGCTGCCCCAGGATGGAACCCGGGCCCAGTGACTCCAGCAAGACCTGGAGCCTTCCCGCCTGCCCGTGGGGTCCTCGGGGTCAGGCTGAGAAAGGAAGCGGCACTCCTTAGTCCCGCAGAGAGGGGGGGGATGGCGGGCAGACAGGAAGAGGCCTTGACCTCGGCACCCCCGGCCCACCCCGAAGCCAAGCTCAGCGCCCCTGCTGCCCCCAGCTGCTCCAGGAATGCAGGATGTGAGGGGGACCCTGGACGAGCTGGCGTCCACCCAGCTTGGCCTCCTCCTCCCCCCCCCACTTCCTGGCAGCCCCCGGAATGAGCAATTCCAGGCCCCACAAATTCCAGACCCAACCTCCAAGGAAGCCGAGAACTTTCCCACAGTTCTGGGGTGGGTGGGGGGCGGGGGAGGCTCCTCTGAAACCTCCCCGTCAGCTCCTGACACGGAGTTGCAGGACGCCCCTGCTCCCCACCCGGCCCCAGCAGCTCTCCCCTGGCCTCCCTGCCTGCCCATGGACCCACACCCACCCCCTCAGCCTCCCAGCTGAGCGCTTGCTATGTGCCAGGCACAGGGCCAAGAGCTCTACCCAGGACCCGCCCATTCATTAATCCCCATAATCTAGCAATCTAGTTGATCACAACCGCCATTCTGCACGTGGGAAAATGAATGGCGCTCTTCTCCCTGCTGGTCGGTCCCCAGCCAGCCTGGCCTGGGGTCACCTGGCCAGGTCTGCCATTAGCCTTGGAAACCTGGAGACTGAGGGGGCCTGGGCCAGGGATGAAGGGGAGGGAGGGAGTGGGGAGGAGGAAGGGAGGAGAAAAGGTACCCCAGGCCAGGCGGTCAGAGCCCAGAGCGCCCTGCCCAGTCCTGGCCCCTCAGCCCCCAGGGACCTGGAAACAGGAGGCCCTTTGTGGGCGGCAGGGTTTGGCCTGACCGAAGCCCTGGTTCCTGCCGCCCAGCAGATTCCAGCCGGGGCAGAGGCAGACCTGGAGAGTGGAGAGGACAGAGGACAGGTGGGGTGAGCCAAGTCTCTGCACACCCCGCCTCTAGGCGTGGGTGCCCATGGTCCGGCCTCCAAGTGGAGCTGTGCCCGAGGTGCGCCGGCAGCCAGGGAGGGTAGAGCAGGGATGGGGCGGAGGCGGGCCTGGTCACCAGGAGGGAACTTCAGGGTCCAGGACAGGGCTGTTCCTCCCCCAGAGGCAGAAAGCCCCTCATCCTCCACACCCTCCCACCAAGAAACAATTAAGCCTTTCTAATCAAACTCCTCTGAGCCTCATGAGGCCCTCCAGACCTGACCCCAGTGCTCCGACAGTTCCATTTCCGGGCACCCCCTCCCAAGTTCAGGCCCTCATGCGTCCTCCTCTAAACTGCCCCCGTGCCAGGCCTCCCTTCATGCTCACTGCGACCTCTGTCTGGAACATGCCTCCCTCCATTCTAGAATTATGCATCCTTCAGGTCTCAGCTGAACCATTGCCTCCTCGAGGATGCCGCCCTCATCAACCCCTCCCCCCATACAAGCTCAGCAACTCCCCAGTATATACACACCCTCCAAGCTCCCTGGGGGGCTCCCAGCCAACACCTATCACAGTCCTGACTCATCACCCCCTGGTGTCCTCATCTGTTTAACATCTGTCCCCCCTGCCCCCAGGCTGCCGGCAGGGAGTGGGTAGGGACCAGGTCTTGCTTCCCTGTTACATTCTCAGCACCCAGCCCTGGGTCTGGCTCAGAGAAACACTGAAAGGTTTGTTGAATGAATAAGTGAGCCGGAAGAGACCTTGTAACTTCACAGACGAGAACAAGGCCCTGAGGGAGGAAGGGAAGTTCCTACACTACCAGGCAGGTCAGTGATAAGAAAGAAATGACACCATAAAAAATCTTTACCAAGAACTGTGAATCCTCCCAAACCTTCTCAGATACAGGAGAAGATATTATCCCCATTTTACAGAGGCTCCAAGAGGTAAGTTGATCTCCTAGGATCATGTTGCTGGAAAGTGGCAGAATCAGGGTTTTTATTCTGTGATTCAGGAGCTCAACAACCGCATCCCTCTGGAAACAATTTCCTATATTTTTTTCTCAGCGTCACAGAACAGTCTTCATCAAGGGAGAGGGTTAAGGACAGCATGACAATGGTTTCCAAAAACCAGAAGGAAAAGTGGTGGTTGGTGGTTCAGTTGCTAAGTCACGTCTGACTCTTTGTAACTCTATAGACTATAGCCCACCAGACTCCTCTGTCCATGGGATTTTCCAGCAAAAATACTGGAGTGGGTTGTCATTTTCTTCTCCAGGGGATCTTCCCCACCCGGGGATTGAACCTGGGTCTCCTGCATTGGAGGAAGATTCCTTACCAACTGAGCCACCAGGGAAGGTCAACTGAGTCACCAGGGACATTAAGGGCAAAAGGTCCATCTGGTCAAGGCTATGGTTTTTCCAGTAGTCATGTATGGATGTAAGAGTTGGACTATAAAGAAAGCTGAGCACCGAAGAATTGATGCTTTTGAACTGTGTGTTGGAAAAGACTCTTGAGAGTCCCTTGGACTGCAAGGAGATCCAACCAGTCCATCTTAAAGGAGATCAGTCCTGGGTGTTCATTGGAAGGACTGATGTTGAAGCTGAAACTCTAATACTTTGGCCACCTGATGCAAAGAACTGACTCATTGGAAAAGACCCTGATGCTGGGAAAGACTGAAGGTGGGAGGAGAAGGGGACGACAGAGGATGAGATGGTTGGATGGCATCACTGACTCAATGGACATGAGTTTGAGTAAACTCCAGGAGTTGGTGATGGACAGGAGGCCTGGCGTGCTGCAGTCCATGAGGTCGCAAAGAGTCGGACGTGACTGAGCGACTGAACTGAACTGAACAGACCATGGTTTCTAAAACCCCAGAAGGAAAAGGAAAATGGCTCATAGAGCAGGGGTGCCACACCACAGTCGGCCACTAGGTGTCACCACTCAGCAATGTGCCCGGTAACCCCGCTCCCAGCTCCCCAGGCCTCAAGGGGACAGCTCACCGTTGTTGCAGTGTCGGACACAGTCCTGCAGGACGGCCTGCCACTTGTCCTGCTCAGCTTCCGTCATCATGCAAAAGTAGTAGTGACGCGCCGAAGGATGCCAGAGGATGAGCGGGAACTGCGTGGGGCACTTGAGGATGGGGGCGGAGCCCGATTTTGGTGTGGTCCCTGTGGAGACAGCACCCGCTGAGCGGCTGCCCTCTGTGGCTTCCCTTGGCCAGAGGATGGCCAGCAGCGGACCCCTCACCCTGCCCCTCCAGGACCAGAGAGGGCTGGCCTGTCCCGGAATGACCAGAGTCAGTGCGGAGGCCGCTTCTCTCAGGCTCCACAGCTTTGCTAAGAGAAGGCCTGCCTCCCCAACCCTCCAGCACCAATTCTTAGAGTTGGTAATGGGTCCACTTCCCTGGGGTCAGGTTCTAAACTCTGTGCAGGAGGCACAAATAACACAGGATTGGAGCCCTCAGGGTCAAGGGCCAAGCATTACTGTCTTGGGTTTCCCTTCAAATTTCAGCTGCAGAAGCCAAAGGGTGGCTTAAATGTCCAAAGTAGGAGGGAGGCGTGGGGGCAGGGGATACAGAATAAATAAAAGGGGATTTTTCTCTCTGTGTTTTGTCCTCATGGATATTCGAGATCCAGAGAGATAAGTGGTCCTGGGCTGTGACCTGGTCACTCCTGTTAATAACAGAACAACGGCAGTTCTTCTTTGGGTCCTGGCTCTGGGTCCCTGTGCTGGGCTCAACACACACACAGCACCTCGTGGGGTCTCCACAACACCCCAAGGTCAGCCCTCCCAGTGCAGGGGCTGGAATCCAGGAAAATCAGACTCCAGCTGAGTCCTCAATCACCAAGTCCCACACAGGGGTATCTCACTACCCCTTGGTCTCCTTGGGATCAGCTAAGAGGTGGACGTGATCCCAACAAAGCTTCTGGTTGTCCCTGATGGGGTGGGGTCACCTGGGACGGCTCCCCACAAATGCAGTGTTGACTCAGTGGTTTACAAAGGTGGGCACCTGGATCATCTTCTCCCAGAACCTCTCAGGGACCCAGGGAAGGGGCAGGGTACAGAGTGAGCTCAGGAAGTGGGGGGTGGGTGGGTCTCACACTGGTGTGGCCCCCATTCACTGGGTGACTTCAGGCAAACCCCTCTCAGGCCTCCCCTTGGAAGTCCAGGTTGTGCTGGGCGCTTGCCACCAGCTCTAGCCCAGCTGCTGGACATGGAGTTTGGAGTTCCAGAACCAGGGATGCCCCCCACCCTCTCCGGCCAAATCCCTGGGCACTTGGCCTGGGATGGGTGGTCCCTTTACCTGGTAAAGAGTTGCCAACGAGCTCGAGGTACTGGTCCAAGGAGGTGAGGATTTTGTAGCCCGCACTGTTGATGACCGCTCGGGGTGGGATCTGCCGCTCATAAGCCTGAGGGGGGGGCAAGAGAGATGGTGGAGGCAGCTACAGGTATGGCCAAGCCCAAACCCAATGTCCGTACCTGGCTCCAGGGCCCCACTCAGTGCTCCCTGCCCAAGACAGGGAGGAGGAGGGGTAGGGGAAGAGAAGAGAGAGAAGGCAGTTTGATCGTCATTGTGACTAGAGGCAACATGGTGTCCTGAGCAGGACCCAGGCTCGGGGCTCACATCCTGGCCTCACCAAGTACGTGTGTGACGTTGAGGATAACACCTCCTTTGCTTTAGTTTGGGCGTCCCTGGCGGCTCAGCGGTAAAGAATCTACCTGCCAATGCAGGAGACGCCAGCTCAATCCCGGGGTCAGGAAGATTCCCCTGGAGAAGGAAATGGCAACCCATTCCAGTATTCCTGCCTGGAGAATCCCATGGACAGAGGAGCCTGGCAGGATATGCACCACTTAGCAACTAAGTAACAACAACACGCTTTAGTTTCCTCATCTATAAAACCAGGGTGATAATATTTCCTACCTCACAGGGCTCCCTAAGGACCCAGGGAGATAATTGGGTAACGTTCAGCACAGTGCCTGCTATAGCAAGGGTCAGTAAGCACTGCTGATGTGATTATGGCTGGGTTTGTCAAAAAGTTCGTTTGGGGTTTTCCATAACATCTTATGGGAAAAAAACCTGAAAAAAAACTTTTTGGCCATCCTAATATTATCCCCACTGCTACAACTGCCTCTACAAGGAGCAGTTATCACTAGCCTAGTGTTCGTTACCTACCAGGTACTGTGCTATGGGCCCCAAATGCTTCATTTCACAGAATTCTCACAATCCAGAGGTGGGCACCATTACGAGCCCCAAGGCCACATAACTGGTATAGTAGCCAGCCTAGGACATGAACCTGGCCTGTCAGCCTCTAGAGCCCAGGGTCTTTGATTACCCTGAACTGTCCACTAACTTTCTAGGTCCTGAGCACCACACAAGGCCGCTTGGGAGGAGAATAATATATTCATTGGAAGCACTGATGTTGAAGCTTCAATACTTTGGCCAGCAGATGTGAAGGGCCAACTCACTGGAAAAGACCCTGATGCTGGGAAAGACTGAAGGCAGGAGAAGGGGGTGACAGAGGATGAGACGGTTGGATGGCACCATTGATTCAATGGACATGAACTTGGGCACACTCCAGGAGATAGTAGAGGACAGGGAGGCCTGGCACACTGCAGTCCATGGGGTCACAAAGAATCGGACACGACTGAGCGACTGAACAACAACTGCTTTCTTATACCAGTGGGAAGAAAAAATAGTTCTGATGTAGGCACTCATACAGCAGGGCTGCTATGCTGCAGCCTGCCACTAGGTGTCACCACTCAACGTATTTCTTGAGAGCGGCTGAAACCTCCGAGGCAATGATTTTCAAAGTGGTCCCTGATGAGCCGCATTAAAATCACATGAGAACTTGTCAGAAATGCATATTCTTAGCCCCACTGCAGACCTGAATCAAATTGAGGGTAGTCCCAGCAACCTGGTCTGTTTGTTTGTTTTAATTTCTTTTGGAATTTTTTTTAATTGAAGGATAATTGCTTTACAGAATTTTGTTGTTTTCTGTCAAACATCAACACGAATCAGCCACAGGCAACAACCTGTTTTTACACCAGCCTTCCAGGTGATTCTGTGCACTGAGAACTGCTGCCCTGAGGCATCGGTTGCTCCTGACTCTGCTTCTGCTACTCTACTGCAAAGAGATCAAACCAGTCAACCCTAAAGGGAATCAACCCTGAATATTCACCGGAAGGACTGATGCTGAAACTGAAGCTCCAATACTTTGGCCACCTGATGTGAAGAGCCGACTCACTGGAAAAACCCTGAAGTTGGGAAAGACTGAAGGCAAGAGCAGAAGGGGGTGGCAGATGATGAAATGCTTAGATAGCATCACCGACTCAGTGGACGTGAATTGGAGCAAACTCCAGGAGATAGTGGAGGCCAGAGGAGCCTGGTGGCTGCAGTCCCGTGAGGTCACAAAGAGTTGGACACAACTGAGCGACTGAACAACAACACTGATTTGCCTCAAAACAGAGTGCTCAAGCCTGCCCTTTGGCTGCTCGAGAGGAGTGTGTGGCAGAAGTTGGGTCTGTGGTTCAACCAGGTGGGACCTCCCTGAGGGCCCAAGGCAAAGGACACTCATCCCCAGACTGGTGGTCCGGTGGTTAAGAATCCGCCTGCCAATGCAGGGGACACGGGTTCGGTTCCTAGTCCAGGAAGATTCCACCTGCTGCTGGGCAACTAAGCCTGAGCACCCCAGAGCCTGTGTTCTGCAACAAGAGAAGCCACTGGAACGAGAAGCCACAACAAGAAAAACGCCCACACACAGCAACAAAGACCTAATGCAACCAAAAATAAATAAAATTTTAAAAAAAGGACAGTCATCCCCCCGCTTCCCTGCTTCAGGGCAGGGAGTTGCAAGCAGAGGCATCAGGAAGGAAAAAAGACAGGACCAGCACCCAGGGGTGCTCTGAGGCAGGGGAATGGCCAGTTTGCTGTGGCTGTGGCAGCCCAAGGCAGGAAGGGGGCTGATGGGGGAGGAGGGCCCTGGAGATGGAGAGATTGGGAGGGCCGTGGGGGTGGCCTGGAGCCAGTAACGGGCTGCTTCTGCGGGGGAGAGGCAGAGTGAAAGGGGACCCGGGCGAGCTGGGTGCCTGGATGGGTGAAATGTCACTGAGAGGGAGCGCCCAGCTTTGGGCAGGCGGGAAAGGGTGGGGGGAAAGATGCTAAGGTTTGGCTTTGGCCCTGGTGACTGCGAGGCGGGTGCGGGTGGCCGGCTGAGGGTGGAGGTGTGGGGTCTCACGTTCAGGAGTCAGGGGGGCGTGTAGCATTAACAATCGCAGAGTATTGAGCTGTGGGGACGTGAAAGCAGCGCTGGGCCAGGCCTGGGAGGCCTGGAGGGAGCCTCACCACTTTGTTCTCGTAGAGCACCAGCCCGTAGTTGTGTGGCACAAGGCTGAAGCGGTTCCTCCACTTCTTGTTGTCCTCCTGGTACTGGAAGAGGTTCCCCGAGAAGATGATGCGCTCCTCCAGGGGTACCTGTGGGCGGCGAGGGGCGGGGAGTGAGGCTGGGAGCCCTTATCTCACTCCTCACCGAGGCCTCTGAGGCAGCACGGCATCACACCCATTTGGCAGATGGGGAAAATGAGGCTGGGGAGCAGTGAAGGCCCCTCTACACTCCAGGTCCAGCCAGAGGCACGGTGATGCTGGGACTAGAACCCAGGCCAGGCACTGTGACAGGGGAGCTAGCCAGGACCCCGGCCCGTCCTGGCCCCAGGCAGACACGGTAGCCTCTTCGGGAAGGTCTCCAGAGCCCGAAGCAGGCTGCGTCCCTGTCCACTCCCCCTGCAGTGGGACTGCCATGGTCACTCCAGCCGGAGGGGACAGGCCGGGCACCTGAGCACATCTCTCTTCCTGCTCTGAGCCTGTTTCCCCTCAGGGCAACACAAACTTGACCAAGGTGGTGCCATAGAGCCTCCCCGGCTCTGACAGGTGACAAGATGGTCTCCACAAACCCGGATGGGGGAGGAGGGGACTTCAGCCCAGAGGGTTCCCGTCTGACCAACACCCTGGCAGACTCGGGGCCAGCGTGGGCAGCAGAAACACCGAGACCTCCCCGCAAAGCCTTAGCTTCTACCCTACTACAGGATTGGTGTGACTTCAGGCCTGCCCCATCACCTTTCTGAGCCTCAGTTTCCTCATCTGTAAAATGGGACCGTGACAGCCCCCAAGACAGGTGCAGGGATCATGCAGGCAGTCGGCACCAGGCAGCCAGTCCAATACACAGGAGCTGCCGTGACCACTGCTGGGGCTGTCTGCGTCAGTCTCCCAGCTCCTCAGACTGACATTTGGGGAGGGGGAAGGGAGAGTAAACAGACTTCCGGAAAGGAGATAACAGGAAGCCAAGAGGGAACAGCCCTGCTCCTGGGTGGGAGGAGCGCGGGAGTCAAGGGTTCCTGTCTCTCAGAGGCCTCTGTGGGCTCTACAACAAATATGGGGCCTTCTGCAAAAAGCAACATGTATCCTGTGTAATAAAGGAGAAGGTATAATTTGACTGGTGCCTAACCTCTCCTAGCTTCCGAGCTCTGCAACTGCAGTCAGAGGCGAGCGGCCCCTCCCAAGGCACCCCCCACCCCCAGGCCTGTCTCCTCACCGGGCCTCTTCTCCCCAGCAACCTCCCTGCCACTCTTCGAGGGGAAATGCCAAAACATTCCTGGAAAATGAGGGCCCATTGTACTCAAACAATAGGACCCCGAAGACTGCTTCCTACCCAGGGACAAAAATATTTACAGGAAAGGAAAATGGTTCCCCCCCACCAGGCACCCCCTCCCCACCACGACAGTGGGCTTTCCCCTGGGCTGCGTGGTCTATATTTAGACTGGGGCCTACTCTCACCCCAGCTCCTGAGTTCCCGTCTCCGCTAGAAAGAAAGAGCACAAAGAGGTCTCCAGACACGCCGGGCAGACCCTTGTTCTCCCCCGTCTGCAGCCGCCACTCTGGCTCAGAGCCGGAACCCAGGGCTCAGGCTTTCCCGGGTGAGTGGGGCTCAGCACCCTGCCCCCTAAAGTCCACCCTCAGATCCTGGGCAGCCCGTAATGGCTGGTTGATTGGTTTTCAGATGTGGGTTTGGGTTTTATTTTTAAGACTTTCAAATGGCAGAGTCGTGTTTCCACTGGAAGGTCTGCAGGAAGCGGAACCCAGGAGACAGCCCAGGCCAAATATTTTGGACTCTGCAAAGCTCTCTTCTGCCGCCGACCGGCATCTTTGGGGAATGGTGAGAGCACAGGCCCCCAGGCTCCGACAGCCTATGCCTCAGGAGCCTGGACAAGCAACTCTCCCTCCCTGAGCCCCGGTGTCCACCTCTGGGAGGGGCGCCGGGTCATAATCACAGTCCTTCTGAGCCATGTCATGCCAGCTGGATGCAGCACCCGCACAAAAGAACTGTTGTTTTTATCACTACTATTATTATATTAATAGTAGTGTTATTTCTAACAAAAACAGTTTATGTGATGATGATAATGATTTCTATTATCATTGTTACCATGACTTAGCCTCATGATGGTCAGTTTGCTGAGTGGTGAATGGGACCCAAAATCCCTCCTCTTCTGAAACTGTGGGTGATTTCATATTACTCTTCCTGCTGACACGTTGCGTCTGTTTTCTGACCATGAACACTCAACCTGATGAGTGTGAAAGGCATTTCCCATGCAGGATAAATGCTGATCGCATCAGGTGACCCCGCTCCTGACTTGGGTTATTGGAATTCAGGCTGCCTGTGACATTTCCTTTCAAACAGGGGAGCAACCCACAGGAAGCAGCTCCCTAAGGTGGGTCCAAAGCCCTCTCTGCTATCACATAGGTGTGCCCCTGCCAGACACCCAGTACAGGCCACAGCTGCCCTCTGCTGTAAAAGGTCAGGAGGTTGCCATGACATCAGGAGACCAGACAGATTTTCCTGGGCCCCAGATCAAAGTGACAGGTGATGCTCTGACACACAGCACGGACCTTCCCTCCACCCAGGCAGACTGGGGGTCAAGGCAGAAACAGGAATCAAGTCAGGAATCTAGAACCTGGCTTGAGTCCTGCCCTCCACCATCCCAAGCAAGCCATGGGCTCACCTCTGGGCCTCTGCACATGTCACTGCCTGGGTCTGATATTCCTTCTCCCATAAGGTCTTTAGCTGAGATGGCCCTTCTTCCAGGAAGCCCTCCCAGACCACCCAGACAAGGGCCCACTGCAGCACCCCAGAAACAGCAAGGCCTGGCTTCTCTCCCCAAGTGCTCAGCCCCTCACTTCCTCAGTGCCATTCCCACCCTGATGCCAGGGGTGACCACAGGATCCCGTCCCTGGCAGGCTCTACTAGCCTCCTCTGGCCCATTCCGACCCCTTAGTGGTGAGCAGGCAAACCTGGACAAACCTTTACTGTGCAAACATAACCCTACCACTGGTAAGAGGATAATGACAAGGCCAGAGATGATTACACATCAGCCAAGCATCTGTCCAGCCCTAGGCACCCAGCCCACAGATCTTTAATCCTCACGGCCACCTGGCGCAGGAGGTGTGCCCATCCCCATTCACAGGTGAGTAAACTGAGGCCCCACGAGGTGAGGTCATTAGCTTGAGGGTGCGTAGACTCTAACAGGAGGAGCTGGGCTTGGACCAGGCCTGTCAAGATGACTCAGAGCCCCAGCCCAGTAGGAGGAGGGGCCAGCCTGGGGAGGAGGCGCCCATGGGGGCCTCGATGCCACCACCAGGTCACCTCCCTATTCAGAAGCCGGGGTGGGGCCCTCAGACACCATCCAGCAACCACGGGAAACCGAGAGGGAAGGATCCTTGCCAGGCCCTCAGAGGTCGCCCTGCCCCTGCCCAGCACCTCTCACCTTGCGCCAGAGCAGCTGGGCCTGCGGCAACCCAGTGGCCTCGATCTCGTGTCGCATGCTGTTGAAGAGGGCCACGCCATACTGGTCCTCGTAGAATCGGAGGAACTCCGTCAGGATCTTCCCAGTCTTCTCTGAAAGGGAAGGACAAACGGGCTGTGAGGTTGGCATGACTGCTTCCGGGCAGTGACCTGAGCCAGGGAGGGGCATCCGCCTTGCCCCAAATCCCAGCTCATAAAACTGTCCGTATGGGCTCTGCACTCGCATCTGCGTTGCATTTCTGGCCAGGGTAGGGCCTTTCCCACGCACGGCTGGGTGAGCCTCTGGGCGGGAAAAGGGGCGATGACCGTGACGGTGAAACCAACAGAGACGCAAGAAACCAACAGACAAGTGAAAAGATGCTCAGTCTCGCCAGCCAGCAAATGAACGCAAACGGATTTCCTTTTCCCCATCAGACCAGCTGGGACGCAGAGCACAGGCACTTTAACCGGAGCTGGGGGAGTGGCAAGATGGGACTGCGTGTTTGGAGGGGGAGGGTGGTCGTGTGCACGCGTGCCCTTGCTCCTGTAGGAATCCAGCCCACAGAATGCACCAGAACTTGCCAGAAACAAGCCAATTGTGCACGGAGGTGGGGGGGGAATGATTCGATACCCAACAGTTCACTGAGGTCAGGCAGAAGATGAAGGGGACCTCGGTACACGTAACAAAAGGAAGGTGTCCGCACTCTGCCGCATCAGGAGCTCTGCAGGCTCCCATGTTGAACAGCATCGCATTTAAGATTATTCCTGTAGGTGCATGTGATTTATTTACGCTTGAGGACCTCAAAGAAGAGGTCCAGGAGGCAGCACTCCAGGCTGTTATGGGCGGCACATCTGAGCGTGGGAATGAGAAGCAGAGGGTGGGTTTCAGGTTCTGCTTTATTCATTTGTTTAGCATTTGAATTATTTTATGAGCATGACTCTTTTTACAATAAAAGAAAAAATCCACATTCTAAAATGAATTCATCTACCGGACTAACCACCACTTTGCAGTCACTGGCTGTTGGCCTCACTCTTTTGCTAAAGCAGGTTTTAAACAGAGAAGGGGATGCCCCAGGGTGCAAGAGCAGGCCCAGCACTTGCTGCCCAGGCCTCCTCATTGACAGATGAATAAACTGAGGTCCAGAGAGGGTTGTGACCCACACCAACGGGCCTCCTCCTTAGGCAAGACTTCCCCGTCCTAAGTAGCTGGACTTGGGGTCTGTGCTGGCCCGCTGTGCACAGTTTCCCCTGTACACTGGGAGGACCAACTCAATCATGGACAGGCCCTACCACCTCTAACAGTCTTGGATTCAAGGTTCCAAAGACCTGGTCCTTTCTCAAATGAAAAGTGGCTGACATGACGCCATCCCTCCCACGGCTGGTCCCTAGATAGCAAGATCACCCAGCAAGGATAGAGCTTCATTTAATCCTCCCAATAACTCTATAACACTTCCCTGGTGGCTCAGTAGTAAAGAATCTGCCTGCAATGCCGGAGTCACAGGAGACACAGGTTCAATCCCTGGGTCAGGAAGATCCCATGGAGGAGGGCATGACAACCCACTCCAGTATTCTTGCCTGGAGAATCCCAGGGACAGAGGACCCTGGCAGGCCATAGTCCAAAGGGGTTACAAAGAGTCAGACATGACTGAAGTGACTGGCAGGCCATAGTCCAAAGGGGTTACAAAGAGTCAGACATGACTGAAGTGACTTAGCTTGCATACAATAGCTCTACGGGGTATGGTTGGTGTCATCGCATTATGGAGGATAACGTTGAGATGCAAAGAGGTTAAGTCACTGACACAAGGTCATACAGATAGTGAGTGAGACCGCTGGAATGTAGCTCTGGGGCCCAGGCAGGAGATGGTGGCTGGGGAAGAAGGCTGAGAGGAGGTGCCACACCCCACACCAAGGGTGTGTGGCAGACCCACTCCTTCCACCCCTTCCAGAGGCAGCTCAGCCCATGGGTCCCTCTTCACAGGCCTGTGCTTCCCTTCCTGGAACAAGCTCATGTCTGTTCAGATTCTGTTTTCAGGGGAGGAAGGGGAGAACAAATGAGGAATTTGCTTTGAATGCCTATTTTTTAAAAACCATAAACAACCAGAACTCTCTCAAAGGCCACGAGAATTGTTCTGAAAAATGATGAGGTGGGAGGGGGTGGTGGGGAAGAGATGGGGCGATGAACTGGGGCCAAATAGAGAAAATAGGATCGCAGACAAAGGTCCATGTAGTCAGAGCTATGGTTTTTTCAGTAGTCATGTACAACAGATGTGAGAGTTGGACCGTAAAGAAGGCTGAGTACTGAAAAATTGATGCTTTTGAAGTGTGGTGCTGGAGAAGACTCTTGAGAGTCCCTTGGACTGCAAGATCAAACCAGTCCATCCTAAAGGAAATCAATCTTGAATATTCATTGGAAGGACTGACGCTGAAACTGAAGTTCCAATAATTTGGCCATCTGATGCAAAGAGCCGACTCATTAGAAAAGACCCTGATACTGGGAAAGATTGAGGGCAGGAGGAGAAGGGGACAACAGAGGATGAGATGATTGGATGGCATCATCGACTCAATGGACATGAGTTTGAGCGAACTCCGGGAGATGGTGAAGGACAGGGAAGCCTGGCATGCTGCAGTCCATGGGCTCGCAAAGAGCTGGACATGACTGCGTGACTGAACAACAAAGAAGAGCAGACAACAATAATATCGATAAAACATGTAGTAATCATCGCAGTCGCTCCCTTTTAATAAGTGTTAACCCCTGTCGATGGAGTGGGAAGGTTTACATGCATGACCCTAAAGAATCTTCACAAAAACCCTAGGGAGTTAGTGCTATGGTTTAACCATTTTAGGGATCAGGAGGGTGGCAGACCCAGGACAGGAGAACCAGGTTCTCAGCCTCCAGCCCAGGCTTTGGTCCCAACCCTGCCTCAACAGACAGACACCCAGTAGGCACTTTCCCAACAGGCAGGATGGGTAGGTTTGGCCCTCGAATCTCAAGGGTCCTCCAGCCACGGCTCCAGGATGCCTGCCTCGGCCCTGGCGCGCCCAGCCTGATACAGCATCATATCCAGAGGGGCCAAGAACTGCCCTGACCCTCAGGGAGACACCCCCAGGAGGAAACTCCCATCCTGTGCCAGGAATTCAAACCCAGGTCTGCCTGACTCATAGCATGCTCCCAGCTGCCAGGTCAGCAAAGCCCAGACATCACATCCAGGCAGGGAATGGTTGGGTGCAGAAGGCCCCAGGCTGGACTGGGGATGACAGGAAGGGGAGGGTCCAGCCAGGAGAAGGCCCAGGAATCACCCTTTCAAGGGGCATCGAGGCCCACATCAGGTGGGACTGTGGGTTGGAGAGGAAGCCAAGAAGTGAAAAAGAGAATGAGGTGACCCAGATGGAGCCAGAAGGCAAAGGTGAACCCTGAAGTGCTGGAGCTGAGAGGGGCAGAGTAGGGGGAAGAAGGAAATTCACCTCTCACGCTGGGATGCAGTTATCCAAGTGAGGCTGTGGGACCAGAGTCCAGGACGGGAGGGCACGAGCAGCGGGGGCGGAGATGTCACCTGGCAGAGGGCGGAGAGGGGAGAGGGCACAGGCAGAAACGAGGGGTGTCTCACTCAGAGGGAAGGAGAAGACGACCCCATGGGCCCTGGGCCCCATTTCACCCAGCTGCAATGACAGACGTGCCTTGCCACTGGAACTCGAGAACCGTACACACCTGGACCTGTTTTCAGATAAATTCTTTGCTACCTGAGATTCCAGAAGCAAACAGACCAGAGAACATGGGATCTCTCAGTGATCCAAATCTGCTCCCCAACTTGGGAGCCGAGTGGATGGGGAGATGGAGGGAGGCTGGTCTCTAAGGACTGAGTACAAACCCTGGGAGGGGGGGCGCCTGGCACAGGCTGGAGCTGAGCCAAGCAGTTACTGAGTGCCCACTCTGGGCCACACCCCGGGGGGCTGCGGACCGTGCTGGGCGAGAGGCCAGGGACTAGCAGGAGGGTCCCGACACAGTGCCAGGGAACTGGGGGGCTCAGCTGAAGTCTGGCAGCAAAGGGGGCGCTGGAAAGGGAAGACCGAAGGGGAAGAGGGCTGCGGGATGGCTTCTTGGCAGCCCCGAAGCCCGTTCCTGAGAGATGTCCTAAGACAACTTGGAGGAACCGCCACGTGCTGCTGCAGAGGATGAGGAGTTGGGGGCGAGGTGTCGAGGCGGGAAAGACCTCAGCGAGGAAGGTGGGGCAGGGGGTCCAGTCCCCTCCAGGGACAAACAGCTCCCAGGAGAGTCCTGAAAAGTGTCCCCAGCAGCCTCTCTGGCCGGATGCAGCTGGAAGAGGATGTAGGTGGGCATCCCGGCCCTGGAGAAGGCTCCTCCTGCCTGCTGAGCTCCAGTGGAGGTAGGGGGGTCACAGCCTGGGCAGCCCCCTCCCTGTAAGACCCACTCAGCACTGCACCCTCTCTCCTTGCCCCCCTGCAGCGGTGAGCTCCCTGGAGTCGCCAGAGGGGTTTTATGATGCGGTGGCCCTTCCTGGTGTCTGTGAGTGGTCCCCGAGACCTGAGGCGTCCCTCTCTCGTCCACACCTGCCTGCACCAGCTCTTCCTGCTCTCTGCCCATGGCTTCTAGAGACACCACAGGCCAGGGATTCGGGGTCTCATCACCCCAAAGGGCTTCCCCAATCACTCAGTGATAAAGAATCCACCTGCCATGCAGGAGACCCGGCTTTGATCCCTGGGTTGGGAAGATCACCTGGAGAAGGGAATGGCAACCCGCTCCAGTATTCTTGCCTGGAGGATTCTGTCAGGCAAGTGTATGTTCCTCAGTTCTTTGTCTCGTCACAACAAAAATTTGGAATGACGGACATTGAAGCCCCCTCGGTGGGTCACAGCTTTCGGGTCTTGGACAGACCGTGTTATAGCTCTTAAATAAATCAGTGTTACAGATCAGCATTACAGCTCTATTTTATTTAGATAATAGCAGGAAAATCCATCTTCGAGGTGTGAGGGCACGTGGATCCAAAGACAGGAAGAGAAGAGTGCCCCATCGTGCAGGAGAGAGAGAGAAGAGGGCTTTGGCTCCTCTTTTTATGTTTCTCTGTCCCTGGGCCTGTCCTATGTAAATTGGGCCAGCC